AAATAAAAACAGCATAACAAAGATGGCGGTATTGTCCCTAAACGTATGTTCCTTTCAAGTTTAATGAAACCCCTAAAAAGAGACACAAGTTTAAATTACCTATAATAACATATATAGCTATTATCAAGTAAAATTATTCACTAGAAAAACGAATACATTATTATATTTTCTGATTTCCTTTGAAAGAATTAAATATTTTTATCCAAACTTTTTCAAAAATCAAAAATTCTTAATTGTTTCCGTATACTTGCAGAATCGAAAGTCCCCACTTTTTATTACAATTGGTTATTTTAAATAGCTAACGAAATTAACCAAATTACAATTTATAATTTACAATTTATCTACTAGATATACGACTATATCGAGTATGAAAAATATTCAGTTCCATGTTAAATTCGAAAACCTTCTAATTCCTCCCAAATTTTGATCATACAACACAAACCGGGATAAAGTTACAGGTCCTTGGACGTCGCCTTGTATCACAGCGGGAGTAGGGATTTTCAAAACTAATTAAATTATAATGTCTGAAGATTAGTTTGTCAATTTATAATACCGTTACTGTTTATCCATAGTACGTATCATATACAAACAAGCGTAGAGCCTTTTATTGCCTGTTGATAATATTTATTTAGTAGCCGTGTCAGCGACTTCGTCCGCATAGAATAGTTATTAGCGTCCAAATTATTTTTGCTGACCCCCTTTACCTTTATAACGTTAAGCTGTTATTTGATATTTTATGTTTAAAAATGTAAACTGACCGTAGTCTAAAGACTTTGTTGCCACCTGATACTGCTAGACCTTTAAAAGTGCTTTTAATAAGAGTTTAGACAGAAACTCGAATTAACTTTTAAAGTTGAAAAACTGTACATATAACGTGTTTCGCATTATGACTATCTAAATTAAATGGACATCTTGTAGGCGATGTTATCTATATAAGGAAATCATATGAAAATGCCCAGCTTGAAATTAATTTGTTTGAAATATTGTAATTTCCAATGGATCACTTAAAAAGAGGTCTTATTACAATTGTTTATTTAAAATCATTAAAAGGTTTCAACTTAGCTACGTTACTATTTTGTTTACTTTTCATCCCAAATAATAATATTAAATCAATCACTTAAAAGTGTTAATAATGTTACAAGCATTGGTTACGGAGGGAGGTAATTAAAAATTATTTAACTCCTTCGCGTTCTAAACCGGTAAGAGTTTACCGGACAACTATCTCTTTTACGAACGAAAGGAATTCTATGAGATAAGGCAAAGCCAATAAAAGTGGTACATAAGTAGTTGTAAGTACAAGGTCCTGGAATAGAAACAGGGTCAGCGTAAATATTTTGGCGACGGTTGCGCCCGAGGGACGTGGAGCGAACATTACGTTATCCCTTTAAAACTAGTTATTCGCAGACAAATATTTAATGAAAACAATGTGCAATTATTTGCCGCGGCGGTTTCGCTATTTATTTTTAGAGTTTCGTACGTAAAGGCTATAAATATCTATAAATTTTATACAAATTATGTATTTTGCCGTTATTTAACAAGGAATAGTAAAAACAAAATAAAATAATATATAACTGGAGCTTTAAAAAAAACCTTTTTTTATAAATTATCGTTCAAAACTCCTTGCCGTCGGAAACAGCCAATTATTTCTCGATATCAATAAGTTACAACTCACTTGTAATAAAAAAGGTTACCATACTATTACCACAAATAACATATTTGTGGAAATAGTGCGGAACCCTTTATCTGAAAGTCCAGCTCGACTTGGCCGGTTTATACATTAGTTAATTACTTGCGGCCCAGCCTCGTATTATCGTAAAAATCGTGACAAAGTGTTTGCATATATTATGCTATAGAACCCACTAATGTTCACAATAATGACATAATTGCTTAACCTCATACAAAATAACTGATGCTATTCATTCAGAATTGCTAATAAAGGTGGATTAGCTTCGCATTGAGGTCAAAAAGCTAACGACAGAGGAATTTCAATCTGCGTTTATGAGTTTGTAAAAATGTATAAAAACCTAGAAAGAAGAAAGTGGTATTTTTGTTACACCATACACAAACTTAGAACATAATCCCTTTTTAAGAAGCCCTAATTGTTAATTTTATATATAATAATTTCCTTATGAAACAACTAAACATTTATGTAGAATATTTATTTAATGTCAGACCATCCGCGTCCCAAAGGGACCGAGAAGAAAAACTGAAAATGACTTACGAAGTTGGCTGAGAATGAGCGGAAACTACCCAATGCCTATGTACTTCCTAATATCAAATCTATTTATTTTTTACACTTAGATTTTTCGTATCTTTATGAATATATGAGGTAAATAATAATTACTATTTTTAAAAGTAGCATTTAGCAATATTACGATATTCGTGTAAACCGTACTTAAATTCCTATTATAATTAATTAATTTACTAAACTATGTTTGGTTAGGTTGAGTTTTTACGCCATTAATTTGTTCTATTGTGCCAAATTTAATAAAAGTGCACACGACACATACAATTGTTTTCGTTACATTAAATTAAATACTTTTCAGAATTAAATTGTCAAATTAATTTATTTCTGTGTAGTTTTTTAGTTTCTAATCTTTCGGTGTTAGTTTTTCAAACCAAAATTTATATTAACAATGTCATATACTTCTTCCTGTGATTTTAATTTTAATGCCATTAAATTATTTAATAACATTTTGATCTTGTTCATCCTAATATAATGAAGATGAAGACTGTTTATTTGCTGTCAACGCGCTAATCCCAGGGTACTGGTAAAAATTATATCATATTTATCTTTATTTTACTAAGTAAGTTGCATACCCAACTTTTCTTGTTCAATCCTGAAATGGAAATAGGATAAAATACTACGCTTGATTTAAAAGCTAACTTCTATCGGATGCATATTCGAAATTGATTGCTTGTGTAATCCGTGCTTTCAAACTTAATTCCCATTTATTAGCACACGTAAAAGCAAACATTTAGTGATTGAAGCCGGAGGCAAAAGCTCGGAGGTACTGTGAGATTAGAGACTGAACGATCGCTCATACGCTTTTTTGAATGCATCTAAATGTATTTCAAACAGCTAAATATATCCATGTTCAATAGATTTCGATATTTTTAAGAAATGATTTTAATACAGTAATGACAACTGTTTAAGTTTGTAAGGAGTTTTTATTTCGTTACAAGTGAATATTGAATTAGGAAATCTGACAGTTAATTTAAAATTGAACTTCATAATTAGGCTAAAAGTTAATTATTATCTTTACGCACGTACACATTAACTTAAACAATAAACGGTTCAAAACGCGAAGAATAGTCATCTATTTTAAAAACTTATAATGGCATGACATCAAGAACATCGTTCCTAAAACTCTCTAAGTAGTTAAGTACTTTTTTCATAAAGTTTTAGCAAACATGAAATTACATTATTAATTGTACACATAACTAACTGCGTCAGCGACTTCGTCCGCGTAAAATAGTAATTTTGGACATCCAAATTTTGCAAAACTCTTTATATTTATAAATTTATGCTATTACCAACGACGTCGGACGCATCTCGTCGTTCTTACAAGTTAATCTTAAAAGATTATTATTAATTAAGATATGCGCACATTTTTTTAGATCACTTAAAGAAAATTGATTCTTTCATACATATTTTTTGGGTATCTTGAACAGCTTTCGCAGCGTATGTATTGGAATCCCAGTAAGTGTAAAAATTTCCCCGTTGTTTCCACATTTCCCGCTGCTTCTTTACTCCTGGTAGTCACAGCGTGAGCCTTCCTCGATAAATGTTCTAACCAACCCAAGATTTTTCAATTCAAACGATTGGTTCCTGCGGTTAGCGCGTTCAAACAAACAAACTCTTCAGCTTTATATATTAGTATAGATATATATCACACTTTTGATTAAAACGTCAAGGAGTAATTAGTCTTAGCAGAAATATTGAAACAATTTTTTATATTAACCTCAGATCCAGAATCAAGTTTTTCCATCGTTGAAGGATTAATTAATTTGTAAATAATTTATAATTCTATGTGTTATCAGCTTTCTCGCTGATTCTGACAATTTTCTTCATAGCCCTGAGGGCAGAAGAGATGCTAATTGAAACGGTACATTAAATTACAACTCAATTACCCTACACATCTAAATATGGAGAAATTACTTAAAAGTTCAATATTTTTCTTAAAATCTTAAAACCGGCCAAATGTGAAGTGATATCAATCAAAATAAGTTTCGCAAGATTGATTACTTTAAATACTCAGCGTATGTGGACTATTAATCATATTTAAATAATCCACTTTTAACGGGTTAAAACGCGATAAATATTAACATAATTGTAACATATTTTTAATTTGATTTACTTCGACGACGTTACTAAATGTATACTAGACGACTAGGATGAAATAATAAATCGCGTTTTAAACCGTTAAGTGATTTATTTAAATGTGTACCTTAGTACACTACTTAGCTGCTCATAACGTGCGGTTAGTTTTAATTATACTTTTTCTGGTATCAAAAAATATCTAAATAAAAATCCCAATTATTTTTTGTTGTAACTTACTACGAGTATAGGAACCCACTTGACATTTCCGTACAGCACAGCATCGCATTTGTTACGAATATCTACTTTCACTAGATCCAGGATTCGAACTCAGGACCTCGTATCGTGTGAAACAAGGCAATTAGTATTATCGAGTGGTTCGATTCTAAGTCTACTTTAATCTTCTTGAAATCGTTACATCGTTCCACAACCTCACTTAATCCCTCTAACTAATTTCTCTTTGACTTCAACTCGGTCCCCGCATTGACGGGAACTCAGTCGGTGTAACAAAGTTTAGAAGTGTGAATCCAGTTTTCCCACGGACATAATTCGCCGTTGGCTGAACCGAAACTGTTCTTCTTAGTCGACTATATATAATATCTCATGATGAATACCTTGTCACCAGGCCTACATTGAAATGGACGTATACTACAAACCCCCCGAAATTCACGTGCTCGACATGGATGAGGGGGCACACTGTCTCGTAGACATCTCTAATAAGCCACGCCAAGCCCCACCAGCTGTCCACAAACGCGACAGCGGCCGAGGTCGTCCCAGCTCAAGCCGTCAGCTGACCCTCGAACCGGTTCCTCGAGGGGATACAGAATATTATGACACGGGGTTAGATGATTTGCAACGTAACATCGCCAATTTAGAGAGGACTCTGCAAAGCACAGATACCGTTATTGACATGGAGGCTGATGTTGATGATGATTTGTCGCGCACGCGCAAGATTAAAGCGGCTGGGAAGCGGTTCCTGAGGTAATAGTCAAATTCGGTTCTAGTTCTTGTTCTAGAAGTATTGGGGGAATTCAAGTTCACTAATTATGATACAAGCAGTTAAGACATATGTTTACTTAACTTTTAAGTTTCCTAGCTAATGATATTTAAATACAAATTAATATATAATAGCTTAAAGTTACTAGAAAATTGTAGTTTTAACCTTATTATCAATTCAAGTGTGCTTGGAAGAAATCGCTTTTTAGCGATAAGGCCGCCATTTCTCAGTACATAATTTTTTGTAATTTCATCAAATTTAATTCTAATAAAAATTATATTTGTAATATTTTTGTGGTGACAAAGCATTTTTTGTTTGTTTGTTGTTTAGGAAGCTTCAACCAACACTTCAAATAGCAATAATATTTTAATAGGTCATCTTCCATTGGGGATGTGACTAATTTGATATCACAAAATATATTTCTAATATAATCCAAAGCTCGTATAATCCAGAGATCGTGAATTTCTGAAATAAAAATGAAGGTACATGCTAATCTTTTCCAATCTTCCGAATTTTTTTTTTTAAATCTTCGTAATTAATCTCTTTGTTTTTCACAGACGGGGATTATCCGTGGGTAATGAAAAAGTAGCAGTTCGGGAACGTAACACCAAGCGCACGTCGACATTTAAGTCTGTCAAGAGTTTTATGCGCATCGGAAAAAACCGTCTTCAAGACAGTAGCGGTGATGAGGAGCAAGGCCTTCTCGATCTAGCAGGGCCATCTAGCGAGCCCGAGGGAAACTATAGTCACAACTCAATTTCCTCTGAAGATATCCTTGTCGATCTCCATTCACCTGTCGAAACGCCCAGGACAAAGAAAATGTAAGTACGATCATGTTACTGTCAGTAAATAAACATGAAATTTCGACGATATCGACGGTTCGCCGCCCGCGGGTACTTTGATGCCACTGAGTACAGTTGGCAACGACATTCACTTAGATAAATATTGTAGTAGTCTGGCAGATAGCTTTATCAGCAGATAGATTATATTGCTATATACTTTGTGAGCTTACATAATAATCTATATATATATCGATAGAATATACATATAAGACTCTGTTTAAACGCGCTAATCTTAGAAACTATAAGGTCGAATTGAAAAATCATTAAATATTATAGTATTTATCAAGGAAGGCTGTACATTATAACAACACGCTGCGACCTATAGTAGAGAAGAAACAGTGGAAAAAACGGGGAAATATATCTTTGAGCGTAAGCCACGTTGCGTGCACTGCGAAAATGGTTAAAGAAACCAAAAAAAATACCTAAAAAAGAATGATTCCTCTTTAAATGATCTAAAAAAACACAGTCCGCGACAGTATATTTGTATTCTTTAAAGATTATCTCGCAAGAACGACGTGACGCTGACGACGCCATGGGTAAAAGCTATAATTTATAAAAGATGAGGAGGAGCTTTTCATAAACAAGTTTGGAAGCTCAAAATAACTATACCACACGAGCGAAGTCGCGGACACAGCTAGTCTTATAATATATGCATCTCGTTGCTGTAGTGGTTCACAAGACTCGGGGTTTAAATCTGGCGTCGAGGAAAATGTTCCCTAGGTTATTGAAAATTTCTAGTACTAAACTCGAGTTTGGAGATAAGTAGCAGATGGTATCAGAAATTGGCGCCGTACATTGGAGGAACTTCCGTCCTGTTTATCATTACTAATTTAATGGCAGTTCTCGTGACAGTGGGTAGAGGTCCAAAAACGCCGTGCCAAGTGGAACATATTTCACACTGTGTAAATAAATATTTATTTTTTTTACATCTTACAATCAGCCCAAGTGGTTGTACTTCCGCATTCGAAATTCGAAGTACTACGGAATGAATTTAATCAACGTATATATTTTTCATACACTCGTATTTGAAGTCGTACCCGTTTCGTCAACGATTGTTTATTTTGAAAACAGAATTTATACTTTTTACGCGAATGTAGAATTTTATGACCGTGTTTGCAGTGTTTTTTAGAATTCGTATCCAATAAAGAATATCGCTAGAGGCGAATTATTTTACTATTTCTATTAATTCAAAGCAATCAATATATAATTCAGGATATACCCAGGGCAGTGTTGTACAAAAATTGTACATTACATACAAAAAATTATTTAAATAATTCACTTTTAACTGTTTCAACGCGAAACATATTAATCTACTTATGTTAACTATGAGCCGATGTTTTAGATGTGTTACAAACGTGCGTCTGTCAACGCATAGAAACCCGAGCAGAATACTTAAAAACAAATTAACTAATATTTCGCGTTTTAAAAAGTTAAAAGTGTTTTATTTAAATGCATACTTCACGTACTCGCGTAAACTACAGCTAATGGTTGGATAAAATTAATCCTCGAGGAACATCGAAGCCTGTTATCCAAGTTTGTATTAAATTTACATATGTAATTTCCTACGTTGCTAATTATGAATTTAATAAAAATGTAGTGTGTCGTGGTGATTATAAATAATTACTGAAATTAATGCAATAAATGATGGTAAATTCAACAATACTATTGTTGTTGTTTTATAAGCGATTCACAAAATATATAGCAATACATGCACAGATAATATCGCTTCTACGCCCTATCAAAGAGAATTCTGTAATTCAAACAATATAGTAAAATAACTGAAACAAAATATTATTTTTTTAAATATCTACAATATAATGACTACTACTATATCTACACTGTTATGCACGAACATTTTCCCCTTCAAAGGTAATCTGAAATACTGGAGTGAGCCCGTGTAACAGGGTTTTATTTATTCAGGCGAGTGGCGCTGGATATGGCCGGTCCATCTGCGTTAAAAGCGGCCGATTTCCAAATCTGCATCACTGTTATAGAAGCTCGGCAGCTCGCTGGTTTAAATATGGATCCAGTTGTCTGCGTACAAGTTGGAGACCAGCGCAAGTACACCAGCGTTAAGGAAAGCACCAATTGTCCTTATTACAATGAGGTGAGCCAAATCTAAGCTCTTAAAACACTTTTACGGATTAAAACGCGATATATATCAGTAAACTTATTTAAAAAAATATTTTAACTACGGCCCAATGAATAAGTTTAACTGTTAGTATATATCGCGTCTAGTATATAACTTAGTCTGTTAATATATATCGCGTTATAAACCGTTAAAGTGTTTTATTTAAATGTGTACTTCTCGCGTAAACTACAGACAAACTGTAAGCTTTTATACAACCATGAAAATGTAAATTTTATCAAGTAATAAATTTACGTTTAAAATCGTTCAATCGCTAATATAATGCGTAAGCCTCTTTTAAACTATAGGCACATTATTATACATAGGCGCGTTATTTCGACCGCCACAGTAGCTAAACGGTTGAACTTGTTCTCTAGCATCGCGATAAGCACAGGTCTTGGGTTCGAACCCCTTAGACACAAAAAATTGTTTCGTCTCAGAAATCTGATCAACTTACCTTTAAATAAAACCGATAAATGAAACGGACACGGAAATGTGTTCGCCCCGTGTCCGCGGGGGCAACGAGATTTCACTAAGTAATGTCTGCCACTATGCCCCATCTAAAGCAAATATGGTTTCTCACACTTCCAATAACCTCTTGTTTTATGTAACACCTTCTTTATTCTTTCAGTGAAGCATTGTTTCTCACGATTATATAATTGTGAAATTAAAGCCATTACATTATTTATGACATTTATTGTGAACAAGTAATGTATGTACTGTGGAATCGGGTTTGACAAAAGTCCAATAACGAAATTTGATTCTATGCTTCGCTCAACGCCTGAATTACGTTGTATTAATGTTTGCAATGTAATTAACTATTCAGACGTGGTATTATGTTACTTAACTAAATAATTATTGTATTACGTCATTTGTATTTAAAATTAGTTATTTGTTATAAGTTTAAATAAAACACATTAACGGTATAAAACACGATATATATTAGTTGAACTTATTTGAAAATTCATTTTAACTTCGTCCCGACATTTCGGATGCTTTGCAGCAGCCGTGGTCACGGGAAGACTGTCCTGAGTCTCCCCGTCGTCTAGTCGTTAAACTGCAGACAGTATTTGTAAAAGTTATTATTTTAGATAGATAATTATTATAACTATTAACATACTAACTAACTAAGTAGATATGATGAAAGCGTTAACTTTTGTGGTGTTTAGTAATTGTATTGATCTGTTAGATATTTATTTATTTCATAAACGAGTACACAATCATGTAAGACCTTCATTCCTACCTACTTACCTTCATTAGTTCATTAGTTCATAGTACCTTCATTAGTGAGTTTTTTTGTAACTTGGCAAAAAAACCACACATATATGGCCGATTTCAAACCAAAGAGATTTAGTGATGCCCTTTTAGCAGATTGAAGTTCAGTTCGAGAGAAATTCGCGATTACATATAAATTGTGCGTTTGTTTACCAAAAATGCCAAGTTAGAAAAAATACACTATACTTCTACCAATTACAAGAGGAGTAAAAAACAATATAGAAACAAAAAGAAACAAATTAAAAAGCGATTATCTAAGCTATGACTAATTAAGTATAACCGTTTTAAACCGATCAACATTGTTTTATTAGGAAATAAACCTCCATAGGAACTTTAAAATACGTCAAAATGCACAAAACCAAACTACGGTTTCAAGTTTTGAACCGACACGAAACCTAAACTAGTTGTCAATTGCACCTAACATTCACTTGTTCATTATAACTCCGAACATGAGTTTTGGATTGTATGTGGTCTTGTGAACGAGCTCCTATATTCTTGTTCAGTGAATTATACTCAGTTTATTTTTAGTTTTAGCGCGCTGGTTCTACGAATTTCCGGAATTTTTATTGAGATAAATTAGCTTAATATTAAGAAGTGGAATTCAAAACATAATGAAAATATATAGAAAAGCACTCACATAAGCAGTTATAAACAAAAACAAAACTCCTATTCAAAAGAGTAAATAAATAAATAAAATAAAAATAAATTACTACTAACTAACGAATATAGAAAATTTAAAGTAAAAGAAGAGACAAACCGACGCGTTCTTAATCTCTGTCTCTTTTTTTATGAAGGAGGACAGACAAGCATGGGGTTGGCAAAAATGCGTTGTCAAATGGAAATCCACAAACTGAAGCCGAAACGCGATTAAAATTCACGGCTATTTCAACTGTGGGCGGTAGTTCTTGACAGGGACGGAATTTCGATATTCCCACTCTCCATTTAAAATCCAGGCTTACAGGCGAAGCACAACACGTTCCGGGATTATTAACCATATATTGCTACTATTAAACCAACGAGCCTGTCTGACGGAAGCTAAAAATAAGTAAATAAAATACTTACCTACTCCCCAAAGTGAGTCTTGGGCTCCGAAACTAAAGAGCACCATTTTTGCCGTTAAAATACTATTACTGAAGTCTTTTAAATACATATCAGCTCTAAATAGTTATTACTTCTAGGTAGATGTATATTTAACCACAAGGAAATGAAGGTCGCTAAATGGCACGTCTGGGAATTATTGGTTCGACTAACGATTTTCTTTAGCAAGTTTGCATAGTACTATCCATCAATGATGTAGGATTATATTATAGAGTTAACTGAACTTACGGTGTTGGTCTGGTTTAAAGATATTTACTAACTTATTCAGATTAAGAATCACTTACAAGAGAAATTAATATATAGTCTTATGCTTTTAACTGATGACGTTTATAAGTGGTCTTCGTTACTTACATGAATTTTTTTTTTCACTTTTGACTTTAACATTCTGAGTTTGAATCTGATCTGAGTGGCCGATAACAAACGACATTCAGCTTAATTTGATTTCGTTTTCTTTACGTTTTTTTAAATTGTATATCCCGGAAGATACCGTTATACCTAACGAATTAGCATTATTCGCTGTATTAGCTTCAGTGGGCTAAGATAAAATTAAGACTTTTTTCGAAGAACAGACGGGGTCCCCTTGCTCGAAGTCTGTGACAAGCATTCCAATAGAATAACGCCAGATTCATTAATAAACATGACTTTCTTCTTTTTCAAAAAAGTTTATTAAGAATTTTATTTCACACGGCCTCAACAATATTGCAATATTCGTGTTGAGGCAATTTTGAGTGTAAAATGGTTCTTTGCATTTGCCAATGAAGCAGTTTTGGCTTACAATACTCTCTCATCGCCATAATTGTTAACTTTAATGTGGAGTAGATACATTTTTTGACACACAAGTAGAAATGTATGCCCTGTCCGACCGCCACTTCTGTGTTCAGTATTTCTAGTATCTCGTTGGTGTATTGGTAGTAATATATAGCTAGTAATCTACAGGTCGTTGGTTCGATCCCCACCAGGTCCAACATGTTTATAACCAATTTATACTTTTTCTGTAACATTTAAGACTCGTCTGGAAGTCTGGATATTAAATGGGTGGTAGGAATATCGAAATTCCGTCCGGGTCTCGAAGCACCACAAATGAAAAAAACCGTTAAATTTAATCGCGTTTCGGTTTCAGTCTTTGGATTTCCGAATATCCAAAGTCAATTAGGTTGACGGCGCATCTTGTTTATATGTTATATGATTGGGTATTTCATCTAACATCAAGGGAACCCCATGCTTGTCTGTTCTGCTCAATCCTAGAAAAAAGATTCACATTTGGGACCTCTCGGGCTTAACACAATACAGCGGGATCAACAATTGAACCACTAAAATCACCAATATACTGTGTATAATACACCTACATTTCTAAATAGAAAATGGTAATCAAGAAGCGTTTCAAATTAATCACTCGAAGACAATATCCGATATCTTTGGTAATTGACGATGCCTTGTGATGTAAAAAGGTACTATGGAAGCAATATTTATACAGAATCTTTGACTTAAGAGACAACAACATCGTCATTACGAAATTTTACATTAGTAACAGGCGCTAACGTTAACCACGACTGGTCTACCTAGTTCGTAAATTTGACTTCAGGTCACCAGGTCTCGTGTTAAAGTACCCGGTCTAGCAAATTTAAGTTAATTCGGAAATTAAAATATTTCTAAGATAATTTTCAGTATCCTGGAGTTTGGAAGAAAGTGTCTCGGACAACGTTGAGTAGGTAGGTAATCCCACCCACCACACATGAGCAGTGGAGGCCAGCAATAGGATATTAGAAGTTTGTAATAATTCCGTTCCATTGTAAACTACATTCACTAAAATGGCAATAAATGTGTTAGATTTTTATCTACCGTCATAACACTTTTACATACAATATGAACGTAACAATGTACAATAAACATAAGTCAAAAAAATCTCAAGGCATTCGAGTGTAACCTAACCGATCGATCATTAACATGTAAAGTAGTTTTTTTAATTTATCTGCTCATATATTTATTAAAAGGCCTACCAGCGGTTATTACAAAGTATTTAAAACACAATATAAATAATGTAATGTGTGAACTGTATGTATATCTTATTTGAAGTAAGTACAACATGTATGAAACGAACATAGTGGGTAGTACAGACTAAATATAAGATTGTACCTTAATATGAGTAATGAATATTGAAGGAACTAGATTTGACTTTATCACCACAACAAAGTAATGGTAAATAATAATAACCTTTGAGAAGGGTCAAATTTAATGCGAAACATTCAATAGCGATTTGAATTAATTGAACGATTTATGCAACCAAATATTAAGTATAATTGATACTAATTAACCCAAATAATATTGATGGAATATTTTGTTCAATGTAATTACGTAATAGCACAACGCTACCTACCAATACAAAATAATATAATGGATTTCGGGTATTCTACAATCGCATTGCCGCTATTGTTCCCGCCCTTTATCTACGACATAGGTATTATCGATAATGCCTTACGAATAGCCCGTAATAACGCGTTGGTTAGTTCGAGCCATGGATTTCCCAAAATTAATCCCCAAAATAAAACAGGTTAGTCGTGACATATTTTAGTTACTTAAACTGCTTTTTAGCTCGACGCGTACGGAATGTATTTATTTGGGTCAAAATTAGAAATTTAAATTAAACACCTTTCCGTTGGCAGATTGATCTTAAATTCGGTAAACACATTTAATTTAGATGACAATACAATATAATCAAAAACATTATAAATCTAAAATGGCCGCCGATACAAAATGGCGGATTTCATATTTTTCCTTAAACCCTTAACATGGGTATGAACTGAAAGGGCTACTAGTAAAACACGATGATTATGTCATTTTATAGTTTTCAGTGCACAAAAAATAAAACCGTTTAACTTAAAAGGTTTTTTTACCGATTTTTATTTATTTTTATTTTTTATTAAAACCAGACTGTCGATTTTTTTAACTAAGATTCCTCGTTTAATGCTTCAAAATATATTACATAAATAAATTGCAACATTTTCTTCACGTACAACATTATACGACATCGATTGTACGTAAGAGTCTTATAACAGTAGGAAAGCAATTATAACAATAATAGATGTACAAATAGGGCTAATTATAGCACAGTTATGTAAATTACTACCATGACTACTTAGAAAACTATGGTACAACCGCCATGCTTCATAAACTAGAATAACCAAATGAATTGTTTATACTGTTTATAAAGGGCAAAAACAATATGAACTCATATAATTTATTATTCTCTGTAGATTACGCAATTCCAAATTTAAGAGCTTTAAACCTTTCTACGCTCCACCTTCATGGACACCCTCATCTTCAGTGTCTGCTGCAGAGCATCCAAAACATCGCGTCGTTGATAAATGATAACATAAACCAAACCACGATCAAACCATTAAAAGTGTTTGAAATGCTATTTTATCAATTAGCTTATGAGTTAAATTAAATATCATAATTGTGCAATGCAATATAATTTATGTCAAAATATTATGCCGTAAACAGCATGAGCTATAAAGATCAGCGAATCAAATTCTCTCACTTCAAATCGCTTCAAATTTCGAGTTCGACGAAATGTATATATCACTGAGCTACAAAGACCATCGCAGTTTGAATATTTTTTTTTGCTTGCAGTACTTCGTGTTCGACTTTCACATGCCACCGATCATGCTCTTCGACAAGATAATCACACTCTCCGTAAGTATCCACAATAGAATTCCATTTTTAAATTGCGGCTCAGCGTATGCGAATACTAAGTTGAGTACCTTAGCGTAAAATTCAAATTAATTCTTTATTGTCACAAAACAGAACATAACACAACTAAAATAGATTAAACTAGGTATAAACAGCGGCTTACTAAATAGCTATCTCTTCCAAGCAACCGTGGTGGAAATGAAACACAGTAATAAATGCATGCGTGATAGCAGAAATTGTATTTTCGTCAACTTATAATAACAATAATATAACAATGAGCTTAGTCTTAGATACATTGATTACTTAACTTAATTAATTCGACATAAGTACTGAGTTAATTCTTCAGTTTAAAACTAAATTTAATATAACAGCATAAAGTTTCATATAGATCATGTTTCAAACAAATCGTCGTATTTTACCCCTTGTAACTAGGTCAATACGATTTAACACTACAGTTGCGAGTTCTTGCAGGTAATTTACCTACAATTGCCAGGTTCCATATAAGTAGAAGGGTTCAGCGTAATTAAGTGTTTTCCTGTTCAGAACTAGACCGTAATAATTTTCTATAAACAGAACAAGTGATTTTTCCGTGATTTATAACATTATTACACGATTAAGCAGTGGTTTACTAGTATTTTCTCCAAGTATCATTTTGTGAAAAGAATATAGATGTTACTAATATATAGATAAAAACAGTGGTTATTAATAATCTAGTAATGTTAGTTAACGATTTATAATTACTAAAATTCGATTTGTCTCAATTCGAAATATTGTTGAAACAAAAATATAATTAAAATTCTAATGCTAAATTATAGCACATTTGTTATAAAACTAACATTATAATATAATAGTGTCTCCTAAATCCTAAAAAAAGGATTACGTGTTCTTTAAAGCGGTATCCATTTTTAAACAAATATCCATATCTGGATATCATATTTGTTAAGAATAACAAGACAGCATCTACACAGGTAGTTTTCCACGTCGGGAGTCTGTAAATTGATGTGTTCGATAATATGTTAAGAAAATTTGCGTTTGAAGTTATGCTCTATTCATGAAGTATGTGCGTGCGTAGACTTATTCGTTTGTTATTGCGACTTGTACGCATATCGGTAGCATATATCATGTTTCAGGTACTGCACTCGAGGAACTTTCTTCGCGCTAACAAGCTGCTTGGTAATTTCAAGCTAGACGTCGCGACAGTTTGGAATCAAACAGGTAAGATATCGTTTGTAAGATTACCGTTCGACTGCGAGTGTTTGTTCCATTTTAATATGTGCTTGCTTTTTGCGTACACCGAATCGTTTATTAAAACAGGTACCAACTGAAACTTCACCAATTTCAATGATTATAAAGGTAACTAAAACATAACTCCGTAATTAGACATTCCTTTGGAATTATTTATGGAGTATACTGCAATTAAATAAACTTTTAACGATTTAAAACCTGAAATAAATGCATGTCTGGAAAATGTCTGGAAAACTATAATATTTTACGTTTTAACCCGTTATAAGTGTTTCTTACTCAACATATATAGGTAGAGTTTTGAAAAAGCAAAAGTGCAACATCAGCACAAGGGACCGTTGAAAAGTATATATAGGTACAAAAAATAGCGTTAAGTTTGAACGGGCGCCTCAAAATTTTGTAAGGCATTTTCGCTTTCATATTTTACGCAGAGAAAACATTTTAATTCAAGCGATAAAGGAAATTTAAGGCAAAATATTTCTTTAAAGCCCTCTGTGAAGCAAAGCCTTTGAGGCAAGCGCATTGTAGCTAGCTTGTATGATTTAAAGCTACTCTTTTGTAAACGAAGCTTACTTATCTATACTAATATTATAAAGAGGAAAGATTTGTATTTTTGTATGTAAGGGATAAACTCAAAAAGTACTGGACCGATTTTAATAATTCTTTTTCATTAGAAAGCTACATTATCACTGAGTAACATAGGCTATATTTAGTACTCGATTACTATAGACTTCTATAGAAATTCTTACTAAAACCAACGGAAGGCGTAAAAAAATTAGCCGTAAAATGTCTTTCTTCGCATACGCTGCGAAAAGTATTAATAATAGGACAAAAAAATGTTCGACAATATTATAGATCAAGAGTATATCAATATCTACAAAAAGCATCGCGAGAGCATATTATGTCTAACTATTGTAGTTACGTCGCTATAACTACTTTTTTACATTTAACAAATTAATAGAAATGCCGATCAAAATCAGACCGTGTTATCCATACCATTTATAAATTTTTATCCAAATAAATTTAATTTTCAAGACTGTCTCAATACCTGACGATTACTTTTTTAATTATTGAAATCGGACATGCCATTCAAAAGATATCATAAAATTAATATAAAAATACACGCCGGCGGCGGCCGCCACGACGCGCATCGAGTAACTAACTCGACGAAAGGGGCAGAGGGCTCCTTACGTAGTGGGCGAGAACGACATTGAATATTTCGATTTTTTTTTTCAAACATTTTTATGCTTCACTTAAAAAGTTCTTTTCATAACTATCGCTTTGAACTTGAATATTTTCTTTTGTATATTATAAGTTTATTCTTAATTTCTCTGATTTAAAGTAAATATCCTTTATAGCAATATGCCTAGAAGAAGAAGATCGCAGCTATCTAAGAATAAGGTTTTCTTCCTAAAATGATCGTCTGGAAAGTATTAGAGTGCACGCGTCCTAATTGCAGGCCAGATAATCTATCGTCGAATGTTCAGGTTCGTCTTGCAGGAACGAAATGCAAGATCCTCGCAGCGACTTGAAGGAAATAGAGCTAGGAATACGCGAACGCGTGCACGGGACACGAACCAGCGAGATAGATCACGGTCGTTAACAGAGAGGACGCGCAATACAATTTTTGTCTAATTTAGTGATTCATGGTCGTTTTAATTAGCATGCTTATAATTTTAATATCTGTACTTATTTATGTCTACCCGTGCGAAGCCGGGACAAGGCCGCTAGTTAAATATAAACTAAATAACATTTTTAAAATACAGACCTATCTAGTCACTTGCAGAAGGTGTTCTTGGAAAAATTAACGTAGCCGCATCTTATATTATCTTAATTTTTCTTTTGTCTACTTAGTTAACTTTGTAATATGCTCTTTTTATCATTTATCAATTTGAAATTTCTTATGTTCTTTAAGCAGATACATGATTACAATTATTTTCGATAAATTTAACAATAAGTAAAGTATCGTCACCCGGACGGAATTTCGATATTCCAAAAATTTAATATCCAGATTTCTGGACAAAGTCCAACATGTTTCAGAAAAATTATTAATTCATTAGAAAAATTTTAGACCCGATGGGGATCGAATGCACGACCCGTTGATTATTAGCCGCATTGCTACCATTACAGCAAACGAGCCAATTAAATTTTATATTAATTAGAGATAGATCGAGGTTCGATGTTATTTTAATTTGCTTACTATAACTTGAATTAGAATTTGATTCATAAAATTTTATTAGAGAGAATACTAAAACTGGACTGGAAACTAAACACAATTTTAAACAGAAAATAAATATATAAATAAAAAAAAGGTCCTTTCTTAGTTACTAAACTAAACTATCTTTCCAGTTGTTACCAGATACATTTGTTCTTAAGACAAAGACAGTAAGTACGTGCTATGCCGTCGTGTGCTGTAATTACTGCCTCCTGCATCAAATCCAACCATTTAGCAAGAGTCTCCTGAGATTTTAGTCTAAGCTCCCTTATGTCCACTGTCGTTACACAGCTTAAGTAATTACCCTAAGTGGTATTATAAGAACAATGGTCACTGAGTTACTCATTTTATTTCTGCCAATTGGTATAAGTTGAAACCACCACTTTCGCCACTAAATTATTGAACGACATCTGTGATAGATGGCTTGGCTCACCAATTTACACTCACACCGTGAATTTTTATACTTTGATCGAACACGGTAAGGTACGCCGTAACAGTTAACGAGTTTGACTACTTTAGAGCATTAGCCATTAATCTAAGGATCACGGAAAATAAAAATACACCCTGCGTAAAAAAAAAACTATTATTTATGAGATAAAACTACGATAACAGGCGTATGCAACCCCCAAAATTTTACCTTTAAAGTAATACTGCTACGCTAGCGCCTTTTTTTCCGCCGCAGTAGGTACACAGCGTTGCTGTGACCACTGCTGCTGCAAAGCATCCGAAACATTCGCCCGTAGTTAAAATATTTTTCAAATAAGTTTAAGATATATCTTTCGCGTTTTAAACAGTTAAAGTGTTTTATTTAAATTGGTTCGTTTAATTAAGATCAATGTAGACTTTAAAGACTTGACTTTTTCAATGTTATGTATAAAACAGATATATTTCTTAATCCGTTTTCTATTTACACGCCTGTATCATGCGAAATCTAAAGTTGCGCTTAGTTCAGCTAATTTACGAGAATATTTTGATGGCGGTTAGAAATAACTAATTAATAATTAAGTACGGACGAGCCCGTGTTTAGATGGAAGAGGTCTAATATCACACAGCTGTTTATCCCTGTTATGTGAGAACAAGCTCACAGAAACCAAAGGGTGTATGTACCTTTGGTTTTTGCGTTGTCCCTTTAAAGTTCTAAATTCAAATAATTTGACAGGCCCGTTGGTGTAACCTGTCGTAGGGTCGATCCCCACCGGGCCCGACATATTTCTAATCTATTTATAATTTCTCTGAAACATGGAAATATGAATTTTAAATGGGTGGTAGGAATATCGAAAAAGTCGTGATTTTAGTCTTACTTTGGTTCCAATGTAAAATATACTCTGTATCTACATCATGAACGAAAAACTAAGACTATATTAATATCATTAAAATATAAATATCATGGTTATTTTATTCCCAAGTTGGCTCGCTGCGATGCTTGAAAGATATTCTATACTTCCGATGAATATTGCTTCTTCCCTCAAACTAAGGCGTTTCCGTAAGGAGAAAACTTGTCTTGTATAGATAGATTGTATAGATTTGAATATGACCTCAATAAGTAATGAATAATTCCCTCAAATAAAAGGGACACCGTTTTTCTGTCTCTTGTCCCATATAGGATTTAACTCCTTATACTGTTCATTGTTTGTCCAATAGATATTAGGATGTAGGAATATCTGTTTGATAATCAACGAATCGGTCGTAACCCACCAGGTCGACACATTTCTGAATTTCTTTTATGAGAAAGAAGGACAAACAACCACGGGGTTCTCATGATAAAAGGCGAAGTACCCCAGCCATATAACCATATAACATCTGAACGAGATCGCTGCCGACCTATTTTGGCTTTGAATATTCGAAAATCTACGGACTGAAACCGGAACGCCTTTACACTTTACGGCTACTTTCATTGTGGAGAACGGTGGTTCGTGGCCTGGACGGAATAACGATATTCCTTGATTTTAATTACAGATTTCCAGGAAGTCCAACAAGTTTCAGAAGAATTACAAAATGCTTAGACACATGTTGTAGCCATACATTACTACGATTATACCACTCGTCGAATATTGTAGACATGGTCTTGTGAATTTGGATTTGTAATGTGTGGTGGGAAATAAGGTGTCGGAATAGGGTCAATAACCACTGTGCACGCTTAAAAAATCCTTGAAGTGTAAAATAGCGCTTCGATTAGAGACTGTGGATTTCCGACTGTGCTAAGCTAAAATAGGTCGATAACGCCTGTCACTTTTCATCCAAACCCACGCACCCAAGAACGACGGGACGCAACTATATTAGCTAACGCTAATATAGTTACTGTATAATAAATCAGAAGCATACTAAACCCACAATTTTATCATCTTATTTTATAAATAATGTAAAAGTAACTACTGAAATTTCATAAACGCCTTTAAGAAACCTATTTTCTCTTGTTAATTTCGTAAAACAGGCGGGAGCCTTCGTAAACATCGAAATTGTAAAGGCGCAATCCAATTAAAATGCTAATCTTTATAAATATTCAAAAAATGTTAATAACCTTACTTTAATTAAGATAAAATGACAAGATATTTTACAATATATATTTCATTTGTTATAGATAGATATTATATATAGGTACATAAATGCATCGCAATTTATCATTTATACTAATATTATAAAGCTGAAGAGTTTTTTGATTGGACGAACTTACTAAGTCAGGAACTACTTATTGATTCGCATTGAATAAGAAAAAAAATGAATGAAATCCCTTTTGTGTTGATTAGAGCATTTATTGGGAAGCCATAGGCTATAAAATATCAAGCTGCGACTAATAGGAGCGAAGACACGGTGGGAAATATGGAAAAAACGGCGGAAAATATTTATAAAGTTGAGGAGGTTTGCACAAAAAAAATGTAATGCCCCAATTAACTATTCTACGTCCACGTCACAGCTAGTATAATGATATAAGTGACGGCCTCGTTGGTAGAGGTTAGTGCACTCCAATGTAGATGATAAGTTTTCAAGTTCGAGTCCTAGTCGGGTTTTAGGATCATCACCCCTTTCCTCGGGGAGGTAAGTCATCGTTCCCGCTTGTAAAACTAAGTAACTGAAGTTGATATAGTCCTCCAACCTGTAACGGAATCAGTGTGTTGGGTCTAAACATTTAAAAGCCTCAAAAAAGTGGGACATCTTTTAGATGTCCCATTTAGTTCAAACGATGAGTGTGTAAAGAAGAAATATATGTACGTATAATTGAGTTTTATAAGTTTGCCACAGACGTTGCGCTTTATTATTTTACAAATTAATTTGCGCTTGCGATTGTAATGTTTACTAAATGCAATTATACTTGAGTTTGGAAGACAAATAAGGAAAGAGGACCATTTATACTCGTATAACATAGGCCAATATTACTTAGAAATATTAGGATTGATCGTCTGTTTTTACAGTGACATTTATTTATTAGTGTCATTACAATAAACCCAAATAATTAATACCCGAAATATAATATAATAAAGACGAATATCTAAAAACTTAACATCTAAGTTATTGCTGAACACCGCCAAGAGCATTTTAAAGTTACAATGTTTTATTTTCATTTGTTTAAGTTTGACAGCGAGACTTGACACTGACGTTAATTTTATTAATCAATGTCATTATTTCTTGGTGAATTTGCGTCTTAAAATTTAAAGTGACGTCTATTCTTTTCCGCTTTTCAGGTTTAACTTTTCCACTGCTATGACGAAGAACTACTACAATAATGCATTTATTTGTTTATATGTATCTTCTGTGAAAATATTAATGCAAAGCAAAGCGAATTGCTTCTTTTTATGTTCTGACTTTTGTTGTAAAAAACATCGGATATATGTACAAAATATTTAGTATAATTAAAAGACAAGGGATTAAATTAAAATCGTTTATCCCAGTTTTCTTCTAGGTATTAATAATACGATAACATTAATCGAGAAGGTACATTTTCTCAGCGCATTGTAAATATCAAATGGACGCATTCGTAATCTAAACATACAATTTAGTATTATATTCTGTAACAGACAGGTTTCCGGAAAGCTATTTTTATCCACTTACATTTCATTTCAAATTCAGCGAAGCATCCTTTGAAATGTCTGTTTGTTAGAATATGCAATAAATCTCGCTTGCCCGAATAAAAATATAATATAAACTCTTAATACAGATCAGAAACAGTTTTATAGCATATATGAGTTAAAGATTCAGTGCATACGATTATTTTTGCCTGTCATATGAAATAGATTTTAGTGTTTTATTCCTCGTCCCCGTCTATTTTGCTTCTGTGCCTTGTTGGACCGAAACTTGTTTCCCTTCTCGAATTTCGCGCAGTACATTGCCTTAGGCTTAAAAGTATTTATGTTTTATAAGAAACATTCGTTATATAATTAATAATAAAAACACAAAAAAATTACTATTATAAAAATTCTGCAGACAATCTGCCTCCTCTAAGATTGATTATTAAGAAATATATGTTTGTCTCCAGATCGCCAGTTCTACCACAAATGGGCCCTGCTCACCGACCCCGATGACGTCACAGCTGGGCCGAAAGGCTACCTAAAGTGCGACATAAGCGTTATTGGGAAAGGTGACCAAGTCAAAATACCACCGAAGAGTGAAAAGGACGAAGACGATATTGAAGCGTATGTACCAGCAGAGTGCCTTTAAATTAGCTCATTTAGAATCATTTAATACAGACTAATTACTTACTGACTGCGCTGGCGCAGCGATCCAAAATGGGTCTTGGCCTCCAGAATAAGAAAACGCCACGTCGATCGTGCATCATAGTTCGCAATACGGAGACACCGAGTTCATCCAGGTCTGGTCCTGGTCCTAGACCTTACTCTAGCTAATGGGCCGTCGGTTCGATTACGAAACATAATAATGTCTAACGGAAGTGTAAATTAGAATTCCCGTTTCAACCTGTGTCCGTTCAATGCAACTCATTGCCTAATCAAGAAAAGTCTGTATAAAAAAATGTCTTTACAAATCTACTTCAAAATTTGACTAAATTTCAAGTTAAGATGCAGCAGAATTATTCTTCGTAATTATGATCTAACGAATTACATAATCTTTAAACCGTAAAATATGTTTTTATTCCTTCAGGAACTTATTACTTCCGGACGGCGTACCCATTGAACGCCAAAGAGCGAGATTCATTATCAAAATATACAAAGCGGACGGCTTACCCAAAATGGACTCTTCCATTCTTGCGAACATAAAAAGCGCTTTCACTGGGGAGAGTCAAGATATAATTGATCCCTATGTCCAAGTTTGCTTCGCGGGAATGACTGTAAGATATATTATCCGTTAGGAACACACCATTTTAAATGAACATATTAGAAGTACTGGTAAATAGAGTCGAGTTTGTCATTTATTATTTAAAACTGTATCTACCATTAGGTATTATCCGCAGTTTAAGAGAAGTCCTGGGTTCGAATTCTTGAGAAACATAACAAATAGTTTCAGTGAAGCAGACAAACACGAAATACATCCTCAATGTACTATATCTATACTAATATATAAAGCTGAAGAGTTGGTTTGTTTGTTTCTTTGAACGCTGATCTCAGGAACTACGGGTTCGGATTGAAAAAAATCATTTTGTCTTGGTTAAAACATTTATCGAGGAAGGCTAGACGTTATATGGCTGGGCTATTTCACTTTCCATCTAGACAACGACGCTTGCCTGTCCCCCTCTGTCATTATTGTCAAACTGAAATATTTAACAGGGAAGAACGTCGGTGCAAAAGAATTGCTGTGCTCCGGTTTGGAACGAACAAATTGTGTTCACGGAGATGTTTCCACCTCTCTGCCAGCGCATTAAGATACAACTGAGAGATAACGTTCCAATACACCCGAGTATAATTGCAACACATTTTATCGATTTGAACACGATTTCACACGACGGAGAAAGAGGTAAGACTCGATTTACTATAGAGCACATGTGGTCCCGGACTTCCCTTTCAAAGACATGCTTTAAACTTACCCACCACACTACTTCAGTAATGTATTATAGTAGCCTGCATGTTATAGAGCGTTTAACAATAATTATATGAAACATCTTTTACGTTAAAAAAAACTCTAGTAACGGTTTGAAACACCAAATGTATTAACTGAATAAAAGGCTGCGGAATAGAATTTGAAATGCGTAGTTTAACATACGAACTATAGATTTAAAGTTTTAAACCGTTAAAGGGTTTTGTATCAATTTACACTTCTTGCGTTCATAATACTTGCTAAGCCTCTTTTTTTAGTACAAGTTGATATTGCTTGAGCACAGCTACTAAACATTTGAAGTAATTGAGAATGTTATTGTATTTGTATTTTGTTAATTGCACTTTTAACAAAACTATTTTCATGAGTTAATGGAAAAAATCTTATAATATTAATAAAAATATGAAACTCACGCGCGCTCCTTCCAGACTTCAAGTGACAAGGGCGAGTAATTTTTTGACAGCTACAGATTAAATGCCATAAGCATAGAATATATGAACAGTTATTAAATATTCTTTTGTTTTTGATAGATTTTGTTTAACTCGATATCTACTTACAGGTTTCCTGCCAACATTTGGACCAGCGTACATTTATATGTATGGTTCTACTCGTGACTGTGCACTTTTGGACCAATCTTCTAATTTAAATAAGGGCATGGGCGAAGGAGTGTCGTACAGAGCCAGGTTTGTGATATAAGATAAGATTTCTCGTATTACCAAAGCTCCAAAATGAGTTAACATTGCCTTTTCATAAAACAATAGGAATTTATTTAAACAAGGCTTTTGCAATGGCTTCAATATATTTGAGGATTCTTCTTAATTTACTTATAAGAAATTCATGGATATAAGCAATAATTATACATATATGTATTTTCGTTATACACACGTATCGCTACAGAAAAAACCAAATCGAAATTGTTAAACAATAATAGTATTAAAATATAAAAAAACCTTTAAAATTATTATTTCATAGTTTGTGCTATACAAATGCGTTTGAAACTAAATTATCAATAAACTAGCTGTGCCCGCGACTTCGTTCGCGTGGAATAGTGACTTGGGGTAGAATTTTTAATTATTTAGGCTGTTTATTAATTTACGTAATTGCGTATTTATCGCAGCTAATTTATGTTGTAAGTGCTACTTTGCCGCAACACTCTAACCTCACATAACTGCCACACCCGCTCCCACTCCCACTCCCATGCCCACTCTCACGTCCACTCCTATTCTTAAAAAAGCCAAAGAAGAAAGTTTCAATGTTCTATCTTCAAAAACCACGAATTCCATACAAACTTTCACCCCCTCCCCCCTTCTATTCTATATATCTAGAACCTGCTTGTAGGTTATTTCACAAAATCTTTTCTATAACAATGCAATTTGTTCCTCCACTAAAATGCATTGTCTCGCCAAATAGTTGTAGTTGTTTTGATTGAATAAAAATCCGTTCACCCAATTTCAACGAATTCTGTTGACAATCAATTTATGATTCATCCAATAGTATTTAATTATTCATGTTAAATTGTTCGCATACCTAGATATTTACAAGAAAATGCGGTAATTCAGTTAAAATTATAATTATATAGCTTATTAGAACTTCATATTAGTTACAATATCTTATCTTAGACTTTCAATTAATTTTTTATACACACACAGTATGAAACACATTTGCTGTTCAGTTTTATACAATAAATAAATTATAACATATTTTGAGAGTCGAAACAGCAACTGAAGTCAATATAGTCACTTTTGACCTTTAAAATATTGTGCCGTTTACGACAAACATTTGAAACATTTTCATTTCAACAATATAGTACAATATTGAAAACCCCATAACGGATAAGATTTTTTCTAACAAGAATAAAGCTAATAGAAAAAAAACTTACTATTAAATACGTAGCCTCAAGTTTTAAATGACTTGCATTCTCAGACGTCAAACTTCTCCATTATAGATTTTATAAAAATAATCCAAAAGCGATATATATCGCATTTTATAGGTTTTGATTGTGAATGTTATAAGAAAATTGAAAACTTTATATTTTTCACATGTTATTTTGCACATGATAGCATTATATACATTAAAAATCGACTATAATTTGAAAAAACAAATACGACTCGAGCCGGACTTGAACCGGCATCCGCAGCGTTCCGTGCTGTTGCTCTAACCAATTGAGCTACCGAGGCCTTAAGTCCGGAAGTATGGATCGTATTTTTTTTCCATTTATAATTGACTTTTAATTGTTATAACACAGTTTTGCGTCTGCAGTAAGAGAGATATCTTTTTTTCAAAGGATTTTAATATCGATCCGAACTGAGATCATCGATAACTTCGAAACGCCATCATCGGAGGTAGAAGTGGAGCCCATAATGCCAATAAACGAGTTCACGTTCGAGAAACACGAGGAGTTTTTCCTTTTCGCGAGCATCTTTGATGTGAATATGATAGACAAAGGTCTGGTAGATAAACCCATACACTTTGAACTCAGTATTGGAAATGCTGGCAACTCTTTGGATGGGCCGCATGCTTCAATGCGTAGACCGCAGGATTTGGCTGTCGAGTCATTAGGTAAGTAAACTATTCTTACATTTCGAATATCCAAAACGAAAATTGGTCGACGGAGCATCTTGCTTTATCACCAACAAGGCAGCTCCATGCTTGTGTAATTCTCCTCTATGATTAAAAAAAATGGTTATAACGCAAAAAAAACTTTTTTTTTGTATAGCGAATGTATAGATATAAAATGATAGATTGTCTTATTGTTATAACCCCCCTTTCCCTCTTCCTCATGGAGCTATCACATCTGTGTCCGTTTCACTGGTCGGTTTTATTTACAAGAAAATACTTGATCAGAGTCCTTACGAAGTCAAAATCATTTTCAAATAAGTTTAATTTATATCGCGATTTGAACCAAAGTGTTTTATTTATACCCTTAACTTAGACAGTATTTACTTGATCAGAGTCCTTACCTGACAAAACATCACACCGGGTTTCGCCCCCAACACAATTCGCGCTTACCTTCAAATTGTATTAATTTTTTAAGTTAAGTGTTTAGTGTGTACCTACTGCTCAATTTTTGTTTGTTATTTTTATATCAAAAACAAAGGTATTATTTCTAAGTATATGGTTCTACAATATTTGTTGCAATGTATCTCTGATAGTACTCGTAGTGATAGAACCTAGTTGCACCTATCCAGAACTGTAAACACAATTTAAATATGTACAGAGATTGAATATATTTGGTGTAAAACCGGGAACCGAACCCCGAATCAATCACACAGTTTTCTAACACCTCGCAGATACTAGTATTACTAATGCGATGCAATTTGTAGACGAGCTCAACGCAGACACTGGATATTGGCAGAGCACAACCCAGGATATGAAGGCACAAAATACAGATAGATATTATTATTTCTTACCCTACTGGGACACGAAACAATGCATGCACGTCCGAAGCATTTGGCCCGACCATCGCCGAAGATTATACAACTCGAACATGCTGAGTTATATAATTGATATATTGGTAAGTTTAGATCAATTTGCATCAGCTGTTACTCCCACTTGTGGGCATCTTATTGCGCTGATGTTGGGAGCTTTAGCTGCTTAGGGTCCAGGACTCGACTCCGGGCTGAAGCGCAATGTTACAACGGTATATGTATTTTTTGACATCTATTACCAGCTTGACGTTTGTTGCTATCTTAATGTTTTGGAGAGGATCATTAATTTCGTTACCAGCCTTGAAGTAGGATATTATGCTTTTTACCTCCTGCACAAATTAAAAGCTTTTACATCCACGATTAGGTGTCTGCCATTTGAAAACTTGCCTACGTGGAGTACAGGGTTTGAATCCGAGATCAGGAGCAATGTAAATTCAGGATTTTGTATTGTCTTCTTAGCAAGGTTCCATTCCCAGCTCAGTTTTTACCGTCTTGCCCTCGCTGTGCCTCTGAAAAATCTTATTCCCAGCAGTGGGATGGTTAGCTGAATAGAATAAAACGTATAAAACCAATTTGTATATTTATAGGAGGATGGAATCACTGATGCAGAAACGGCGTTACGTACGAACGGCTGTCTGGAGAATACAGCGCTGGCTTCTTTGAAATCCGTTATGGAAACTGTTACGATTCATTGCGCGAAATATATTGAGTACATGAACAACAGTTCTCCAATCGGAAACACTAAGTTAGACCGAGAAAGGCAGAAGTTGTGCATTTACGAAATAGTGGGTCTCATTAAATTATTTATTATATCACATAAATCCTAAAGTGCCTTGGCCGACCGAAATTGTTTTGTTTGGGTTTCGAACACAGGACGTGTTTAGGCTTAACGCAAAGCTTCTATTAACAGAGATGGTCAATGTATTATATTATATACATATTTATTTATTCTATATATTATGTAAAATCGGAAATTGTACCCCGAATCTATCACACAGTTTACAAAACGACGGGCTTTATGGGTCAAGTTTAATAGGCACTAATGTGTCTATTAAGTTACAATTGACTAAATTGTGTATTGAACATCTAAAAATGTAATGATACGCCAGCTGGAATAGAATTCGTGACTAACATCATACCGTGTTGTGGCTCTAACTACTGAGCTACTTCTAAAGCACCTTAAACACATTTTTTAATTTATACAAGCTCTCGTGTGATATAAATATAATTTTCTTGTAGGAACAACTCGCAAGTTTAGCTCGTACGCTGAAAGCAGTCATAACAAGACATTCTGTAAAGGATCGTCTGAAAACAACATTCGCTTATATAAATCGTCTGAGATATATTTGTGAAGACGTAAGTACTTAAAAGTGACTATAATTTACGTCATGTCAAAAAATTATTCACTTTGATAAAAGATTGGGCTTTTCTCAAAGTCGAAGTACCTAATAACTCATATATATTTAAATATTTTTTTTGTTTAATTCCTATAAATCTTTCAGTCTCAACATGCCATGCCCGATATATTTATCTGGATGATCAGCAACGGGAAGCGGATAGCTTATCAGCGCATTCCGGCAAGGGATATTATTTATTCCGACAGACCAGATGAGATTGGCCGACTTTGTGGCAAAATGCAAACTTTGTTTCTAAAGGTACGTAAAAAAATTATGATCACTTACACGGTCACCACGCGTTAAGTGCAAAGTATAAGTACTTACTTTGAGTGTTATGTGAGTATATGAAAATCGCTTAAAAATTAAGTACATTTCACACCTAAAGAAAGGAGCATATTTTTATATATAACCTTATTATAGCTGATCCGGCAAACGTTGTTTTGTTGTTTGCCGGATTAATGGTTGGATTCGATAACCATAAGACAGTTCTTGCTAGTTAATCTTAAAAGATCGACTATATAATGCCGCGGACAATTTTTTTAGATCATTTTAAAAAGGAATTATTATTTCATACATACAGTAAAACCCGCTTAAGACGATTTCTCAGGGACCATACCAAAAACGCGTCTTAAGCGAGTAAGCGTATTATGCGGGATAGGGAAAATACATCGTAAAACATATTATTATGTATTTTATTCTAATTTTGGCACTGTAAACATAGGCATTAAATTATACTGTTATAAATTATCTACACTAAGTACTTAGAGTAATTATACATAATTATATTATTTAAAATAGACCGCAAAAAGCAGAGATAGGTGGAAAGGATAGGAAAGAGGCCTTTGTTCAGCAGTGGGACAGTACAGGCTCATAATAATAATATTATTTAAAATAATCACTAATTTTGGTTTGACAGAAAGATTTAGGTGCATTAGCAATTAAAATATTTTCAAGAAATGACGACCGCGCCAACGGTGTGCGGCCTAGTAGGAGGTCTCTGGGCGGGCGGGCGTATTAAACGGGATGACGAATCGTATTAAGCGTTAAGAAATGTATGAAAATATGTGTCAAGTTGCAGGGACTTGCGTGAAGTGACATATTATGCGAGAAATCGCATTAAGCGTAATCGTCTTAAACGGGTTCTACTGTATTTGGTTTCTTAAAATATTTCTACAGCGCACGCAACAGACGCCCTCAAAGTGCCTGTTTTTTTCCACTATTTCTAGTGTTTCTTTGCTCTAATCAACGCAACCACCATTCCACAAGAGACAGACCATTTAAAAAGGGGGGGCTTTCACCACATGATAGCAATGTAGTGTAAAGCCTTCCTTGTTAAATGGTCTATCCTACACAAATTTTCAAATCAAATCAGTAGTTTCCGAGACTGGCATCACAACAAACAAACAAACTCTTTAGCTTTATAATGTTGGTATAGATTAGATTATTATGAATTTTATGTGATTGTACACGATAAGTTTTCCTTTAGTGGCCGGGGAAAAAGGCTTCAACCCCTAGTGGTTGGACGGTTCCCGCAAAAATCGAAGTTTACTTATGGCTCGGTGTTCTACAAGACAAAAAACATTTTATGGATGGGTTGCCGCACGGTTATTCAACAAGTACCGAAATCAAAAACGTGGAAAGACCACGAGCCAATCCCCCTTCGACGATATTTTATTCTGAGAGACATGTAAGTTTAAAGTTTGTTTTGACGTAATTGGTGCGCATTATAATAAAAATAATTACAAACTTTAATTTACAGAAATTTCAAATGCGGGCGTATATCTACCAAGCAAGATCCTTGATAGGCTCCGATTCTTCGGGGTTGTCGGATCCTTTTGCAAGGGTAGTTATAGGAGATTGCTCAGCGACGACGCAAGTGATCGATGAGACTCTTAGCCCAACTTGGGACGAATTACTCGTGTTCGACGATGTGCTACTTTACAGCACTATCGATCAAATAAAGAAAGACCCACCAACTATAGCAATTGAAATTTTTGACCAAGATAAAGTAGGAAAATCAGAATTCATAGGGCGCGCTATAGCTAGACCCCATATTAAATCTCTTTACGACAAATACGAAAAACCTGACTTTCCCCCGCGCTTGGAGTGGTATAATGTGTTTCGTGGTGGTGAAAGCGCTGGAGAGCTTCTAGCAACGTTTGAACTTCTTGAGGTGCCTTTGAAACAGGGTACTCCAGATTTGCCAGACCTTCCAGAGCCCAGAGATCCCAATGGGAAACCACCGATCGATGCAAACAAGGGCCCAATTTTACCCGTACCCGTTGGAATTCGTCCGACGCTCTCTCGCTATCGGATAGAAATATTATTCTGGGGTTTACGAAATCTAAAACGAGTACATTTGCTGTCTGTCGATAAGCCGAGAGTTGACATCGAATGCGCTGGCCACATAATATATTCATCCATAATACAAAACAGCAAAAGGAATCCCAATTTCTCTAATCCTGTCAAGTATATAGACGTAGAACTTCCGGACCAGGATCTTTATCGACCACCATTAACGATTCGTGTATTAGATTGCCGCAGTTTTGGCAGAGTTACCCTTGTAGGAACCCACACCATCAATTCAATACATAAGTATATGTATACACCTATGAGCAAACGTGAGAGAGAGCTTGAAGATCGAAAGCGATCATTGATTCAATTACAAAATGTTGATTTACATGCAAACCGTATTGTCCAAGATGACATTATTATGACCACGGATGAAAGGGAAAATTGCCCACTGATAATACCAGACTTTCAACTCGTGGCTTACGGATCCAATGCCACTTCGCCAATGCGCAAAAAAGGCCCAGGATATGCAAAACGAGAACTTAGTAGAAAAAGAAAACCTAGTTCCGAATCAACGACCGATGAAGATGACAGTAGTAAGGATTGGTGGACAAAGTATTTCGCATCAGTAGAGCGCATGATAGAGGAAGAAAAGGAGAATAAGAAAGAAAGGCAAGGACTGTTGCAGCCCTGTCATTTAAATTTCATTGACGAGACACTATCTCCTCACGAAGAAGCACATTCGCCTCGATCAGAGCGTGGTGCAAGACGACGTCGAACTGCCTCGCCTAAACCAAAGTTGAGTCCGACAATAATGAGCAGCAGTGAGATTCCTGTATCAACCTTGACTAAGGTACGTAATTATTTATGTCATTCTTAATAACTAGTTGTTTTATTAATGATACGGCAATTGTCTTTTATAGATATTCCCCCACGAGCTTGAAACTGTGCCTGAATATGAAGAATTTAAAGACTGGCTACACTCTTTTGATCTGTACCGTGGTAAAAAAACTGGTGACGATTCAGAGGACGAAAGTCGCGTCGTTGGAACATTTAAGGTATGTTTTCTATTAAAATTAATATTTAAATTTTTATGTAGACTACGTTTTACAATTTAAAGCTTTTACTTTTAGGGCGCCCTTAAAGTGTATAAATGGCCGTTATCAAAGGATATTGATGATCATAATTTAATGGGATTTGATCCTAATAACGGCTTCTTTCAAGGAGTACCGAGTAACGAACCAATACACGTCCTAATAAGAGTATACATAGTGAAGGCTACTGATCTACATCCTATGGACTTTAATGGGAAAGCTGATCCATATATTGTTTTACATCTTGGGTCGAGGAAAATAAGTGACAAGGAGCATTACCAATCGAAACAACTGAATCCCGTATTTGGCCGTTGTTTTGAAACCGAAGCAACGTTTCCACATGATTCCATGCTAACGATTCAAGTGCTCGATTGGGACTTATTAGGGAAGGACGATTTAATTGGTGAAACAAAAATCGATTTGGAGAATAGATTTTATAGCCGGCACCGAGCCACATGCGGCCTACCAACGAAATACGAAGAGTAAGTATCTGGTTTTTTATTCTTATAAAATACTATTTAACCACATACTAACATTACTAACCGGATAGAGAGGGGTACAATCGATGGCGTGACGCAATGAAGCCGACGCAAATATTGGCCAAGCTATGCAAAGATATCAAAATTGATCCACCCGTGTATGAATATGGCCGCGTCAGAGTTGGTCGCACAATATTCAATATGTCTATGGACGATCCAGAATTATTTACTAACCCGGAGACAGTTCAAGAGCAAATGGCTCTCAACGTGTTGAGGCGTTGGCATGAGGTTCCCCGTTTGGGGACCCATCTTGTTATAGAGCATGTTGAAACGCGACCACTTTATAATCCTAATAAACCGGGTAAGTTGAAATAAGTCGTACTCCTTACTGTGATAGTCATAAACACTATATTAGTTGCATGGATATATGAAGACTAGCTGTGTCAGCAACTTCATCCAGCATACATTTGTTTTAAAAAATTTCCACCTTGTCTTTATAAATTATAGCTGTTTAAAGATCTATAGATCATTTAAAGAAAAATCATTCTTTCGTACATATTTCCTTGGTATATTAATCCGCTTTAGCAGCGTACGCATCGGAAAGATGAATAATTTTTCACGTTTTTTCACATTACAGCGCTTGTGTCACAGTGTTTTATACCCTTATAGCCGTTCTCGGTAAATGATCTAACCGACACAGAAATATTTTTTATTTCGACCCAGTAGTTCCTGAGATTAGGGCATTCAAACAAGCAAACTCTACAGCTTTATATATTTAGCTGCATAGATATAAACATTTAATTTTTAGGTGTCGAACAAGGCCGCCTAGAAATGTGGGTAGACATGTTCCCAATGGACATGCCTCTTCCTGGACAATCTGTGGATATAGCGCCAAGGAAGCCGAAATCGTATGAAATGAGAGTTATTATATGGAATACCGATGACGTGGTTCTTGAAGACGATGCATTTTTCACTGGTGAAAAAATGTCCGACATCTATGTTAAAGGGTAAACAATGTGTTACATATTTTAAGAAAATCAGGATAAAAATAATTAAATAATACTATCGTACAGACTATCGTGGCAAATATTGTACTTATTTTTTATGATAGAGGAGGACAAAGAAGCATAGAGTTTGCTTGATTTATCGCTTGATGGTAGGTAAAATATCCCAGCTGTATAACATCTAAATAAATTGCAATGTCGATTTATTTTAGCTTTGGATATTTGGACATCCGCAAACAAGAACCTAAAACTATTAAACTCGACGGCTTTTTGAACTATGGGCGGTGGTTTCTGATCCAGATTGAATTTCGATATTCCTACCACCCGTTTAATATTCAAACATCCAGACAAATCCAACATGTTTCAGAAAAACTATAAATTGATTATATCCAGTGGAGATCGACCCCAAGAACCATTGATTACATTGCCTTATAATGCTATACACAAACGAGCCCGTTAATTTATACTTTCTTTAGGTGGTTGAAAGGTCCGGACGATTGTCAAAGTACGGATATTCACTACCGCTCCCTAACTGGTGAAGGCAATTTTAACTGGCGCTTTGTATATCCATTTGAGTACTTGGAAGCAGAAGAACGTATAGTTATATCACGGAAGGAGTCCTTGTTTTCTTGGGATGAAACCGAGTGTAAGATTCCAGCTCGACTTGAGCTACAAGTTTGGGATGCTGATCACTTCTCTGCTGATGACTTTTTAGGTAAAGACTGTTATCTTCTATTAGTTGTATTATCTTCAGGTCGTTTACATTATTACGCCGTGAATAAAGATGTTATTTTCTTAAGTACTGTTTACGCGAGTAGTTCACATTTACATAAAACACCTTTAACTGTTTAAAACGTTTAATGTATTAGGTTTCGACATTTTGAATGTTTTATGATAGCCGTGTACTTTTTTTGCCTGTTTTAAGCGGAAATGAAAACCCAAGGCTAGTTATTTCGACTGATTGAATAATAAAATCTAATAGCATCTGCACGTAAAGTACGAGTAGTACATAGAACACAACCTCCGTTGTAGAAGTGATAAGAAAAATATCATTATGATGATAAAAATAATTATTGCAGGAGCCCTGACATTGGACCTGAATCGTTTCCCTCGCGGTGCCAAATCATCTAAGCTTTGTACATTGGATATGTTACGAAGCGATGGCTCTGTACCGATGGTAAACATATTCAAGCAGAAACGTATAAAAGGCTGGTGGCCTTTTTATACCAAACGTGATAATGAAGAAATGGAGCTCACTGGAAAAGTTGAAGCAGAGATACACTTGCTTACACGCGAAGAAGCTGAGAAGGTGCCAGCAGGACTTGGCCGCAATGAACCTGATCCGTTGGACAAACCGAAGTAAGTCCAACTAAGTCCTCACCGATAATTACTGTTCCTTTTGACTTGTTCGATCGATTGAACCTTCTCATAGTAATAATTGCAAATATATAGTGTTAATTTCAAAGTTTGATGGGTGACAACTTTGTCTTTTTGTTGCAGTCGCCCAGACGCATCATTCATGTGGTTTTTGAATCCACTCAAATCTCTTCGGTATATTTTATGGCATAACTACAAGTGGACCATCATAAAAGCAGCGTTCATTATCGGAGTTGCTTCCATGATCTTACTTCTTGTATATGCAGTACCTGGATACACCGTCAAGAAGTTCCTCGGCGCCTAAGAATTGCGACGATACCATTAAACCATTCGTACATTTTCATTTTACAAAATTTTAATTAGTTATTTGATTTTAGGATGATTTATTTACTTAATTACCATATGAGTATCTGATAATTCTACTAAAATCTTGACATGTAACATTTTCTGGACATCAACGTGATAGATATTATGTAAACAGCAATCCTGCAAGTTGATTCGAATAGTCGAAGATTTTGATTTTACTCCGGAAATGAAACTTTTATACTCAGAGCTCAAGCGATGATCGCTTTAACGATTAAAGCTCGTTGAATGAAGCTTTTGACTGTCAGAATTCTCGATTACGGCAATGAAACAGTTTACGTTTCAGAATTCTTGAAGTGTGTTCATGATGAATGCCAACCGGTGTTCCCGAAATTTGCGTGTCAGTTTAATTTTAATCTATTGCTTTAGTCCTACTAGATTTCTGTTTTATTTTGTTTTAACTTATAAAGATGAGCTTTTGACACTACCGCGACTAAATTTTCATAATCGGGAACCCTACCGATGAGACCGGTGACGAGTTAAATATACGTTGAATGTCATTTTCTTTCTTGGTTATAGTTTCATTAAATGTAGACCAAATATGTTTAATATACTTCAATTTCTTAGAAACCTCCCTCAAGTTGTAATCCGTGGTTCAAAACCTTAAAGTGTATTGTGTGAAAAAAAAGCATATTTGAAATGACGCCTGTAGTCTAGATGTAGAAGGAAATAGACAATTTCTACTAGTTCATGTTTCTCCTTGATATTTTCTAAGTAGCTTTTAATACAATAATAATAGCTTTTTATTTTAGAAATATTTACTCTATCTCCTGACAACATATCTAATTTTACAAGTCCGTAATAACACGAAGAAATACAAATATTTTCTGACTTATTTTTTTACTTGATATCTTATTTCTTAGCAAAACAATTATATACTCGATTTAATTCCTAGGTCTACAATTGATATATAAATATTTTAGGAATCTTTTATATATTTACAAGTAATTTTTCTAATATATTTTACCAACATTTTAATTCCTTTTGTATAAATTATTTAGTATGATAATTATCTTATTTTGTAAAAATATTTTTACAAAGATTATCACCACTTCGTTAATATATAACTATTTATAGACTTCAGACGATCGCATTATCTGTTCAGCAGCTTATTTAACTTACACACGTATACAATATAGTTAATTTTCTACCTTATGTGCTCAAAGAGTTTACCTTAAGACCGGCTAGGAATATATAATCTTCAAAGTTCTAACTAAATTTAAAAAGTAAAAACAATAATAAAAAGATACATGGAAACTTGAATCCCTTTATTCCAAGTTTTAAAGCCTGCCTTTAAAGTAATATTGACGTCTCTTGAGGTCGGTTTAATTATTGTCCACTGTACACTACCATTTTTCACTATGTACTTTTCTCTTGATAGATGCATGCAACTATAAAATAGATAAGTAAATGTTACGTGTTAAATTATCTTGGCGTGTTTAAAGAAAAACTTTGCAACTATTTGAAGTTAGAGATACGATGAAATTATATGTACACATTATAATCGTTTTTATTATAAATTTAATTTATTTAATACTTAAAATGGCTTTCAAAGCTAAAATGAAATAACCTGTTATACAAAATGTACTTACTGCACTTTTCTCAATGAAATCCCATTCTTATTTTGAACTATTTTTATAATTTTTAAACCACATTCGAACTAGTTGGCAAAAATTATAATCACATTAGCTGCACTACCCTCAAACAATATGTCTCATAGCGCCGTACTTCTAGTTCAAATTAAACACATCTCATTGAATTTAACTTCATCTGAAAATACTGATATTAATAATTTTATTGATACAGAACGTACATTATAATGTACGTACAGTATATGTACTCAAATAAACTATACACTTTCACAGTACATCGTCGGTGAATTAAAAACAATATAAATCGCTTACACTTTTCTTTGAATGGCTACTGACGAGTGTTATAATAATTTTGAAGTAGGACTACAGACTGAAATTGGTATGAGATTAGTTGAATCGTGTTTTAAACGTAAATACAACCCAATTATTTCTCGCTCGTTTCATTATAATTAAGTTCGCTGAGAAAAGGCTTTTTTAAAAGAATTTGTTTATTATGTATTCGCACAAAACTTTAAGTTAAATGAGTATTTTAGTTGTTATAACATCTTTAACAAACATATCATAACATACTATTTATATTACTTTAAGTATAGTTGACTTTTCAAAGATATAATATAGGTAACGTCCTATGTACGTGGGTTATATGCACGTAGATGAACAGCCTCCTGCTCTCCTCTCCCCACCCACCGAATCAATTCACCTTCGGAATCGAATCCAGGACCTTTCGGTTCTCTATGTCGTTTGGGTAACGTGGAGACAGCACACGCAATTACTGTACGTCTCATGTTAATTCTAAAATTCAATTTTTTCATTCAAAACTTCTCACTTATTTGTATAATAATCGTATACATCATATTCCATTTAGCTATAAGACGTAGTTATTGCTCAGTATTATGAAACATATAAGTGTAATGTTATAGTTTAAGAACTTTACCGCACTTCTGATTAAAAACGCTTATTTGACCCGGAAAATTGTCTAGTCACATTTGATATTAGTTTGGTACTACGGAACGAAGTATTACGTAAGCAGATTTAATTTAACGATTTACTTTCCCCCTAACCTCTTACTGCGAATGCTGACCTTTATTTTTTTATTTAAACTGTAAGTTTTTATTGATAAAAGGTGCGTTTATTCCCTTTTTAAGAACTTACAATGAGTGGTTAAAGAAGAAAATCCAGATAATGTCGAAAATAGAAAACAGCTAAGCTCCCCCCCCCCCGGCTTGCGTAATACTTTTAGGACACTAGGATAAGATTGTCAGTTGTTTAACGTTCAAAGAAACTCAGTTGCTGTAAGTAAAACCTATGCTTTATGTTGCTGTTGCACTATTTCCGTTCTGTTATCAGATTATGTATTTTGAACCGATGTTAGATGTTAGGCCTACTATGTAACACCTTATCTAGATACTTTGCGTACGATTCCATATTTAGTTAAGTACAGGATAGCCTTTGAAGCTGACGAAACTGACATGAAAATTAAATAATAATTAAATATAACAGATAACATTTTGATTTTCTAATATAATACTATGTTTATTTAATAACGTAAGGTTTCGGCTGTCGGAAAATGTTCGACTATATATCGTTAATTATATTATTGTGTCCTCAAAAAATCAAATACATTACACGTTAACCTAAGGAATTTATAATGTTCACGAAATAAACTGTGTCGTTCTACTGTGTCACATTTTCTCAATGATATAATAAATGTCAAAATCAACAAAGTGTTTTATTACGATGCTAGCTGTGTCAGCGACTTCGTCCGCGAGAATCGTTATTTTGGGCATCCAAAAATGTTTTTGCAAACTGTTACCTACGTCATCGGTCGCGTCCCGTCGTTCGGTTCCTGTCGTTCTTGCGAATTCATCGTAAGAGATAGACATACTGTCGCGGACATTTTTTTGATAATTTAAAGAGAAATCATTCTCTCATACATATTACTTGGATCCCTTTAACCGTTTTTGCAGCGTACGCCTCGGAAACCCATAATGGCGAATAGTTGTTTTCCCAATTTTCGTCACATTTCCCGCTGTATCTTCGCTGCTATTAGTTACAGGACGACGTTCTATAGCCTTCGATAAATGCTCTAACCAACACAAAAACAATTTTTCAATTCGAACCCGTAGTTCCTGAGATTAGCGCGTTCTAACGAACCAACAAACTCTTCAGCTTTATATCAATATATTAGTATAGATGTATTTATTCAAACGGCTTTGATTTAACATCTCCTTCCCCGCGTTTAAAACTATACAATTTTAAGCCACAGTTCCTATCCAAACGGTCCGGCTAATTTGGTGTGCTGCCATGGTGTATTTAAAATGGCGTCACAGTTTATGGTGTCATGACTGATCGAGTATCATTAAAGCTTTATACCAAATCTAGGAAAATGACGGATCGACTAGAGAAATAGACTTCAATCTGGTAATATTAGTATTAAAGCTTAATACTTACAGAACTACGATCAATTGTTGTTTTTTTTTTGTAAATTAGCAATGCCTAGAACTACACCGCTAAAATCTAGATTACAAATAAACGAAATGATCAATAAATAGTGTTTAATAGAACTTTACAAAACATACACGAAACGAAGGACAACACTCAAAATTCGAAATTTTAATTATCCAAAAGTTACCACAGATTCTTCTAGATTTGTCGTGGCTGGGGTATATCGGGTAGTCAGCAACCACAGCGCTTGCGCCGCCTGCGTCTGCTGCACTTACGCTTGCGCCGGCATCGACTTCGACGTCGTCGTCGGCATCGGCTCCTACGTCTTCTGCGTCGACAACGGGATCTCCTTCGACGTCTACCGCAGCGCATACCACGCGCTAGATACGTGATGAAATGTGAACCTTTCCTCTCCAAAAAACCCAGAGCAGCTCCATTGTCCAGTACCGACTGTACAGCCATGTTCAAGTCTTCGGTCGGTCTCTCGCCATGCTCTTCGCTAAGGTGTTGCACTATGTCCGATAATGTCGCCCCATTACTGTTATTTGCAAGTGCACACTCTTGCAGGTACTCTATGATGAGTCTCCCTGGCGGCAGCTGCAATGGCTTCTCGGCGTTCGCAGCTGTAGACATTGCTAAACTATTTTATTATTTACGGAATTACTACAAAACATTTCATGGAAGCAAAAAAACTTAAAAGATTAACATGATAAATTTTCAATCTCTATTATCTAGAAATAAACTAAAAAGAAAATTGTTTAACTGTTACCGAAATGGGTTATTTGAAGTAAGTCAGTTGCACATTCTTTTTTCAAATTATCCTTAGATACTATCGGAAATAGCGACCAGTTTCAATTACTAAATAAATGAACAAGTATTATATACGATTTACGTATCTCGAGAATTGTCTATTTTTCCGACTAACGCATTACGACATAAATAAAATATATATTAGAGAATATTGTTATACACATTTAGAACTGGCTATTGAATAAAAAGTCTGGGAACTGCTCAATCACAAACCGAAGTGATTTGACATTAGTTATAATGTCATTGGATGTCTAGCTAAATTTACACTTTGAACAAACAATAATAATAGAAAATGATATATTACTAGACCATTCTGTAGTGTTCTAAGGATAGGTATATCAAATTATAATTGTGTAACAGTAACCATGAAGGAGACGGAAAAAGAGCAAGAGGATAACATGGCTAAGTTGGTGATAACAGCCTTCCGCCGACTGGACAACAAAAGCGGCGTAACCGCTAACGAAATAACAAAGTACTTGCAGGATAAGTTTGGGGATATATGGAGTATGTATAACTTAACCAAAAGGGCTGAAGAGACGCTTAAGAGAAGTGCGGCTTTGGGCTTCCTTAATAAACGTGGCGATCGGTACGTGGAAAACTTTGCACGTGTAGTTTGCGGTCGCAGGAGACGCTGCACTTGCAGGCAGCGCAAGCGCAGATGCGGCCAACGGAGACGAAGACGCTGCGGTTGTTAATTTTTTGTTGAAATATCGCAATAAAATGCTAAACAAAAACATAAACACGGTCCTATTGTTGGTAACTAGCACCGATTGGTTCTATTAATTATGTTTGATCGCGTTACGCACACTGGGCTAACGTAACGCGCACGAAACTAATTTAGCTTAACTCGATGTTTCTTTGTAACCTGGATTCGGTTCAAACACAATTAAATTCCAAACAAATAGCCGTGTACTAATTAAATCATCATTTTTGGTATATACCATGCAAGAATATCATGATAAAAATTGTTTAAATTTCGGGACATAATATAATAATATTACTATGTAAAGATATTATTGAACGCCAAACGCTCACAGCGAACGAACTTGAACTTGCCAAAGAGGACAAGCGGTAATAGCATCAAAGGGTAAAACGCGTCTTTCTAGCTTTTTTAGAAGACCAGAAGCAAATAGCCTGTCGTACGTCTTTACATTACTTGCTAGTGATTTTGACGTAGTTTGATAGGGTTAAACAAGCTTGTAAATTTAAATTATTATTTATTTCAATTATCATCATTTACATGTAATATAGCAACAGATACATTTAACATTCACAGTTGTTTATTGCTGGAACAATAAGAACAGACGACGAATAGAGCAAGGTGTCACGAAATTCGATTAAATTATTCTAACCATTTTCTATACTGAGCGAAGTAATATATTTATATCATACAAGTAACGATTCTAAAACAAATCATTTATTAAATAAAAAACACTTATCGTTATCTATGTCAACAGATAGTAAGTATACTACATCTATGAGTGTCACATTTATTTTAGACGTAAACTTTATTTTTACAAACAAAAACACACCATTATTGTTTCGCTGAAAATATTGCGTTATATAGAGAGGGTATGTTATAATACATTTATCACATAGACAGCGAGTAAGTAGAAAGGTAATAGAAATTGACGTCACTCTGAAATAGAGTAGTAGTAGTAGTAGTAGTTAGTAGAAAGAATAGAAGAATATAATTTGGAGAGAATATTGGAAAAAAATCTCGTTAAAGTTGTTAATCATTTAGTGGGTTAGTTTAAATGGTAGACAATGACCCCATCCCCCCCTCTTTTTAAAGCTTTCTATAAATGTGTTATTACTACATGTTTAAGGTTTGATGAATAATGCTCTGTTACACATCTTTGACACTCTTGTAAAGAAGTCGATCGATCGATTTTAGTCAATTCAGTCATACTTATAACTATTAACAAAAAATACTAAATAGTATTGCAGCGTTAAATAAATATAAATGTAATAATGTATTTGTGCGTAAAAAAAAATATTGAGGGTATATGAGGGATAAAATAAATCATATAATAATCAGAGTTTGGGTTAAAATACTTACAAACGAAAAACGCCCAAGTAAAAATGGGATAAACTCAAGCTCATACACGAGAATACACAAATGAAATAGAATTAACCCGAGAGGCTTTTCAATCAATCCATTTCAAACATCATAATATGCTTAAAATTAAGATATTAATTCATTAGAAACGAGAGAGACAAACAGGGAAGCAAAACTGAATGCGTGGTTGCTGTGTATGATAAGAATAAGTTGTGGTTTCATTCGGCTTCACTTCACTTCGTATCTGGTAATTATATTTTTCACGGGTCATGATGTTGTATTTATAATTAGGAACAGCCGCTCGGGTTTGTCATAGAATGCGATGGACAGGGAGCGATGGATGCCATAGCGCACCATCTTTCGCATTCAATCAACAATTCGTATAGTTATCACAAGTTGAGTTAGTGTGGGGCGCACCAACAGATCAGGCCGTGTCGATGTCGCCAACGTTGATGCGGTCTTCCGCCGCCGTTACAGAGAAACCCAGGATGCGAGCATCCACCTTCATCATCTTGTTCTTCTTCGCTTTCTTGCCTTTGCCCTGTGACAGAGGCAATCATTTGAAAAAAGTAGTATTTTTTTAAAATCGATTTTTAATTTATATCCAATCACATGTTTTCACAGTGAATGTAAAATGAATGAGCCAGGTAAATTTTATATTGCTTCTTGAGTATTTGAAAACTATCTTGGCTTAGTCTAGATTTTCTTAACCACAAAGCTTGCAAATGGCTCAAAAACTCTGTACAAATTACAATAATAACGTTAGAGGACAGACAAGCTCGCGATTCACTTGATGGTAAGTAAAATACCCTAGCCTAGCTAAAGGTCGACCTATGTTGCCTTTAAACATTCACACATTCAAATATCTCTGTGTAAATTCTATTAATCGTGGACCTGAGAGGAATCTCGATATTGCAATCCCATTTAAAAATAGATTTTTAAAAAGATATTGGACTCGAACCCAGAACCTGTTTTATAGTAATCCTATATTATATATATAGATAGTGCTTTGTATAATAACTGTACTTTCTGTATACTTGTATTCATTAATGTTATCAATATCAAGTATGCAAGTACAGTCTTTTATTTATTCTTACATACCTTTACCTCTTGATAATCGGAAAGTGACGTGGTTCTTGGGTTTATAGCCATGGCAGGTGAGCACAAGTCATCCGATGGAGTTACAGTGCCAACACGAAGGAGTTTAGACCTGAAATTTTTATAAGGTAATACCATGCACATAATATGTTAAATAATATTTTATATTTGGATATTAAAACAAAAAGCCGTAAAAGTTACCTTCGCTCAAGGAATTGTCTAGAAAAGTCACTGGAATCCTTCGACTCTCCAAGGTAGTACTTGACATAGTCCTTCACTTCATATGGCGATTCGATATCCTTGAGGAATCCCACAAAAGTAGGCACTGAAAAGAATGGTAAACAAAATTCGTTTTATTACTTAAAAAAGGGGCTACAGAATGGGGAGTTGCATAGAGATTGTTTTCATGGCATTTCAACAGAAGATCACTTGTTTGTCTCTTGTGTTTGTCAAATTATGACAAGTTATTACTTTTAACATGTTTACAATAAACTTATAACTAAATTGCGTAAATAAATTGTATGTAAATAATAAATATACAAGACATGGTTTTCAGACTTGCCCAAGTACTGTTCTTTATTTTTATACATGTTAATTATATGAATTATTTCATTTTATTTAATTAAAATAAACAATTAAATATGATAGTTAAGTCAGAGGATCACATTTTTTATCAATATTTTTAAGATACAAGTGATATACATATTACAAAAATGAGCTGAGTAAATAGATTTTTTATATACCATCAATCTTTGAGCTCCATGTGCCCAGAGCTTGTGCACACCAAGTTTCAAACTCCATGGCTGGGGAAGTTTCTTTCTTGTTTGTTAATGCCGGTTGTGGATGGGCTTTGATTTTGTTCTTGTTGAAATCAACAGGCTTGGAGTCCATTTTCACGGGCTCCGACTTGGTGAGTTGGTTCGGACAGTCCCAAAAGCCTCCTATAACGAGGAAATATTTAGTCTGTCTGATCAAAGTGGAATGTCCAGTGTCTTAAATTCTTATTGGCTTAAGTAGAAATTATATACTTAAACGCACTTTTCATAACATAGCATCAAGAATTATTTTTCAAGTTTTACTAGCAACGCAATTCATGCGAAATGTAGTTAGTAATAACGCATATCATACTTTTTTCAATTCACCTTCAGTAAACTATATAAAACTAATGAAACAATGAGATATAAAGAAAAAAGTGTACTGAACACATTTTTTTTTAAGTTAATACTTAATTTGTATATATGTAATCAAATTTAAATTTCCCGTGAATCCCAAAGACTTAACATGCGTAGAGTCAAAATGGAAAAAGATTTTAAGACGGTTTTAACGTAGAAAACTGAAATGATGTAATTTAAAGAAGTAGGTTAATTTAAAACATTAATTATTGTCAAAGTAATTAATCTAATATAGTTTTCATGCCGTATATTCCAGGTCTTAATAATGACGTAAGATCATACAACTTTCTTTCAGCTTCGCCATAGTTCAGGAATAGTGATAATGCAAGTAATAAATAATTACATACCATTAGAGTTATTTCCCCATGGCAGACTGGGGGCGTGGTTAGAGATGACAGGGACAGATTGCGCTTTCTCTAAAGCAGATCCGGTTACGGCCATCACAGCAGCTGCAATCTGCCTTTTTGTCTAAAAAAAAAGTACTATTCAGTAATTGTAAAAATATTTCAATATATTTTTTATTTAAATTTGTATTGGCATACAATTAAATTCACTTTATTGAAGGTGAAATATCACCATATGCCATATAATATCTTAACAATTGATTATTTTAGATATGAACATTCAGAAATACCTACAGTTGACATTACAAATGTTACCTAAAAGTAAAGGAAACAATATATTGTTTTGGTCGGGCAAGGCACAGAAGTCTGATGAACTATTTGCTTATATGTAAATCGGTTTCAATCCGATGCCCCATAGGGGGAAACGTGTTCACATTTTTTAAAAACCAAAGACCCCAAATTTACATTTACTACAAGTTTTCAAAACACTTACCCATATTGTAACTAAAGCATATCATTTCTCTCACATTTCAAAACACTATTAATTATCACTTTTTATCTTACCTGATTCTCATCGATAGGTTGGCTCGTAGCAATGTTATTGCTGTTTCTCTTTTTAGCCCAACCAAGACCAGCTTGCATTTCCTACAAAAAAAAATGTATTATAATATATTTTTAAGTCATAAAATATAAGAGATAGCATTTTTCTTATGCTTTAGTTTTAACCAAAAAATATACTTGTTTATTCTATGAGTATAGCTATTCTTGATATGAAAAAGAAATTGATTTTTTAAAGCTGAGTTGTGTTTAACTAAACTTACCAGACATGTAAATTCTACTTTAAATCAGAGAAATGTTGTTTTAGCTCCTTGGATAACAAAGTTTTGTGATAATGGCAATGAATGAGTTCATTCTTTGGTTTCAAGATATACTGTGCTTTGAAATAATTATTGAACATGTAAAAACGAACCAACAAAATAGTTAAGCTCCTAACACAAACAAGTCAAGATTTACAAAAAATAATGGCAAGTTAAGAAGTTCCTCCGGATACAAATTTACAGGCGGAAAAGTCCATACATTTTTACACTATCATTATTTCTGCTTCTTAATCATTAATTGGATCAGTCTTATGAAAATTGATCTCTTACCTGCTCCCTGGCCACGGCGGCGGCTTGTTGCTGAGCAATTATGTTCATCATGTGTTGTTGTTCTTTTATTTGTTCCAGTTTCTTTTCACGCTCGAGCTTTTGGATCTCAGCCAGCGATAAGCCTTCCTTGCTAGTCGCAACTGTTTGGTTGGCGACAGTAGACCATGGTGCCTTCTTGGCGACGGATTCAGCCGCTTGCTTTTGTTGAAGCTGATCCTGTAAATGTTTTTTACGATGAAATGAGATAAAGAAAAGAGTTTTTATTATACTTAATTTTCAAGGCTCTCATTTGTCCTTTTGGAAAGTAATTCATACACAATATACCTGTTGTTTCTTTATAATTGCAGCCAACGTTCTCTTCCTATCGTCCTCAGCAGCCAACTTTTCTTCCTCTTTTCTAGAAATAAAAACCTTAGTTACTAGATAAATTACATACATCCTCAAGCTGACAAACGTTGTTTTTACCACCTAAATTATTAAAATACTGTCTATAGGTTACGCGAGTAGTACACATATAAATAAAACACGGGTTAAAACGCGATATATTAGTTAAACTTATTTGAAAATCATTTTTAACATCGGCACGACGTTTCGGATCGGGTCACGACTGCTGCAAAGCATCCAAAACGTCGGGCCGAAGTTAAAAATCATTTTCAAATAAGTTTAACTAATATATCGCTTTTGAACCGTTTAAGGGTTTTATTTAAATCTAAATTATTTATAGGGAATTACTACTGTGTAAGGATCTTGTCAGACCTGCTTTGGTCAAGAAGTGTCACGGATAGACGCCTGGGGGGGAAACTTACCAAATGATAATTGATTAACTATAAAGAGTTCAATTTGAATAGATTGAGGTTGATGATAGGATAGTGAAAATGTTGAGAATTTTTTAATGCCACGTTATCATAAAAATAAAAATATATATTGTTTTTTAAATAAATAAAATATTACGGGTAAGTAATCAATTATCACACCTACTGAATATGCATATAAAGTTTCATAAAAAGCGTAGTTTCGGAGGCGCAGGTAGACTTTTACTATTCCTTTAATAACCTATCCTGGTCAACTTTTTTTTTATTACATGGACATGTTTTAATTATACTTCTTTTCTGCTCACTTATTTATCAACTTGACACAGATAACACGTAGAGTTCCAAGTCCACGACGCGTCATTAGCTAGTTCGTCGATGTTCTGAAACCCGTTCACATATCTATAGGTAAATTATGTTATGTATTATTACCTTTTACGTTCAGCATCTTCAGCGGCTTTGGCCTCCTCTGCCTTCTTTTTGTTCTCTTTGTTGTTATTTTTTTCTATTCCCTTCACAATCGTAAAGCCATCCTTTATCAACTCCTGGAACAAATTTAGAGTTAAATAATGGCAACCATAGAAATAATTTTGTGTACATCATCCATAATAGTTTGTTATGTGCCAGCCCTAAGCTGCACTTTATTAGGCGACAGCCCTAAGCTGTGCCACTACGGGGAAAGTGCGGATAGTGCGCGTCTTCGATACCCGAGCGATCGGTATGTGACGGTACCGTTGCCGTACCCATTTTAGCATAAGATATTAATTAGAATTATCGTAAGCGTCGACCTGATGCATCGTGCACAGGGAGACAAGTAGGATTAATTAAATGTAATATTTTTTATTAAATTATTTATTGAGTAAATAATTGAGTTTTTTGCAACCACCGGTGGCAACTAACATAATTAGTTAGTAAACATGGCTAAATGACCCCTTTTTCATGCATGTTTTTATTTATGTAGCAGTAAGAAACGCTTTAAACAGTTTAAAACGCGAAATATATTAGGGAAAGAGTGGCCCAAAGATTCCGAAACGTCGGTTGTAGATATGATTAATCAAACATAAGTTTAACTAAATACATTCCATGTTTTGAACCGTTTTACTAAGTTAAATATAAAATGTGTTTCTTAAAAAGTAAATATTAATAACATCTTACTAGAATAAATTAAATGACGTACATGCTTATTGCCATTAAATACTTCTATGTACTTAGGTCTACACTTTATGAAGAAACCATAATATTTCATAATATTTGTTAATCTTGTTTTGTCATTAATGTTTTGATTTACACAAATTGAAGCTATGTCAGGCAAAAATAATTGGCTGTTATTAAAACTTTGTTGCGCGTCGTTATAATTTACAGTTGTATATATACTCAGTTAAATATGTCAAAAACATTACATCATTTCTTATCTAAGACTTTGGAATTGACTCCCAATGGATGTATGGATTATTATATATTTTAATACCAATAAATAATACATCACTTACAGTTGTCTGAAAAACCTGAATGTACTAAATGTGGTGTTTTATACGTCGTAAAATGTATATGATTTTTCCGATGTCAATTCATACCTTCTTCTCTTTCTCAATTTCCTTCCGGCTTGCTGGTTTGACATCTTTCTGCGCTTTTGATGGCGATGACTCTACTGACCGCTTCTGAAAAAAGAATTAACAGAATTATATAAAAGATAAATAATATAAAAGATGTTCCAAAATAATTCTATTTATGTAAAAAAAAGTAGCTTGTAATCTAATACATTACTGTTCTGTTTTTGTCTTCTTCGATTACAATAATTATTCAATCATATTAATATTATGAAATATTTTAGTTGTAACTCCTTTCTTAAGAAAATATGGTATAATTAAGAAGGTTTTATTGAGAGCACAAATAAATTAATATAAAAGAGAAATCTCATTTGTTTTATATAAGCTAAGCTAAGACATTTCTTTATGTTTCTGTCAATTTTATTTCTTTTTACCAGTGGCAAAGTGATGATACTATGTTTTCCCAGAATACTTCTACGACTAAACTACAGCAATGATCGAAGTAAATGAGGAAGTTAATGACCTTGTATAGCATTAAGTAATGCTTGAATTAAATCTAAAAAAAACTTACTTCTGTTGGTTTAATAGGTTCCTCTTCCACGGCTATTGCTTCATCTTTCTTTTCTTCCTTGGCCTTTTTAGTCTTAGTTTTTGTCCCGTTACCATTGTTTTTCACTGATGTATCACTTTTAGGCTTTTGCAACTTTGGCTCCTTCATTTCTGGTTGTATTTTGGCTACTACTGGTTGAGGCACTTTCAGAGTGTTTGCCTCAGATTGTTCTGGTTCAAGTGGTACCGGTGGCTTAGTGGGTGCCTCCTGACAACACAAGATCTCCAATTAATGGCTTTGCTTTTTTACTTTATTATTTTTTACAGTCTACATTCCATCAGTAGACAAAATGTAGAATGGAACAGTGTACTAACGATATATATATATACAATAACATTGTAGAATTACTTGCATTTGCAACTTGAATACACTTAGCCAATTATAAATAGGATGAACATACCGTAAATATGTTAATATTGAATTAAACCAAAAACTACAGCAATTTTATCAAACCGAGAAGTTTGGAGAGCACCAGATTGGTAGAATTCTTATTAAAAACTGATTAGTGCTAACTTTACCTCAGCTTGTTTCTTCTCAGTAGCAACTTCTACCACAGGCGAAGGCTGTTTTCTAGTCGAATCCTGTTGCAAAGTCTTCTCGAGCGTCGATAGATCGTTAGACGCTCTCTTAAGTACATCTTCACTAGCATTAGTTGTTGTAGTAGAATTCACGGTGTCTTTAGGAAAGGGCATCCGCGATACTGGGACGTTCTGGTGACCACGTATTTGTGCCAAAATCTCTTCTTCAGTTTTCATTTCCCTCAAGATGTCCTCGGGGAGCATGTTGGTTGATGGAAGTGTTGATGGCTGAAAAATGATAAAAGTTAAGACTTAAGAGTAGCTTTAATAATTATCAAAGCAACTACGGTAGGATGTTAAAAGGTAAAATAACATACCTGCGAGTCCCAGAAATACATTGGTAGATTATTCACTCTGGATTCTGAGCGGTTCATGGGTGTTTGCATCCACATTACATCTTGAGATGCTGGTGGTTGGCTCCAAAGGGAATCCTAACAACAAAAGTAAGACCTGACACCTTTAATATGTAATAATTTGCCTATAAGAAATAAATGTTTGTTGTAAAATGTGTACCCGACCGACAATTCTTTTACATGTATCCAAATTCTAAAAATGAATACTTACACCAATTCCAAGGGTATTTTGATGGCTCGCAGCTTCCGGCTGTGGTCGGTTCTCGTAATTCGATAATCGAAAGACGTCCTAAAAGTTTACCGCAAGATAAACTATTTTTGACAGCACATTAAAAATACATGTAACAGCGAACAAATAAAAAAAAATACCAATTGTACAAACGGCACTATCGGCCCGTAGGACGCGAGGGAATTCATCATGGTTTCACAAGCTCTGCGTACCATAAGGCTTGGTCTGAAGAAGCCCGCCTTATACCAACTCCACATTTCCTTTGATGTGAATGGTCCTTGTATTTGTTTCTAAAACAAAGGAAACAAAAAACTGAGAAGATTTTTTATTTTATCGTTTAACGGCTAATGTTGCCACTTTATAAAATACAATGGCCTGCCAAATGGCAGTAGCTAGCTTACAGATCGCTTAAATGCATAAACCCGCGAACAAATTATCGCTTAAGAAATATGTAAACATAACCTAAAAATCTGGATTTATATTAAATTGTAGAAGTCTCTTTAGGTGATTTCGTATGTGTTCCAAAGAACATAAATGTTTTAAGCAGTAAATCATTGTATAAAGCTCGTCTGGGTGATAAGTAATATTGATTTAAACAAAACACCAACGAAATATTACGAAACGTCCAGTCGTTTTTTCCAATTTTTTTTTTTTTTTTTTTTTTTTTTTTTTTTTTATTTTTCTAAATGTGAACTACTCGCGTATTATAGACAGTCTTTTAAGAAAGTGTTTATCTTAAAAGACAAATTATTTTAGTTCGCTCACATAATTATTTACCAATCAATAATTTTAGTTATTTGTTGTATTTATATTATATCGTTTAATATATATTTTTGAAGTTTTGGACCAAAGCGTTTTGTGAATATGTATTAATTAATTAATACATATTCAAATAGAAAATGTGTGTCCATGTGTGTGGTGGTATTGTGACCGCTTACTATACCTATAATTTTTAACATAACTTGCCCTTCCTTAGGGGCAACATATACATACACACAATGTCGAGATATTTTGTACACTAAGTTCCATTCAAGAATCTAGTTTCATTATAATAAAAATATAGATATGTATATAAATATGAAGTGAGTGCATCGCAGACTATCCCTGATGATTACAATATAGAGTTATGTAATATATCAAACATTATGTCTAAGTTCACGCTAGCAGGACAGATGATATGTTCAAAAGTCACATGTTAAAAGGTATATCTATTATAATCTATAATCACAGATAAGGCAATCAAAATAAGTCGCTGGCAAATAATACTTATACAAGACAAAGCAGATACAAAACATTATAACCGTACCTCTGGATCTTCATAGTACCATAAATCAGCCAAACTAGTTCTATTTGGTGCCGGCTGGGTTGGTGGTACACCTCTAAAAACAGAACCAAACGGCTGTTGTTGTGGTGCTGAATGTTGGATTCCAGGCATAGGGAACATATTATTTTGCATGTCAGGCGCCTGTGGGTGGCCATTAGGTAATGGTATCTGCTGTAAAAGATATAGAGACAATTATTAAATTATTTCTAAATATAACCCATCAATTAAGAACAAGAGGTATAGAAAAATTACCGAGTTATTATTTTGTCCCATGAATAACGATGAATCGGGAACATTTGAAGGTGGAAGCATGGTCACATTCCGTTGATATGCTCCCATCACTTTCATATGTTGATGTAAAGCAACATTTAGAACTGAGTTAATACCAGTATTTGGCATAGCCTGGGGTAGCACTCCTTGCGATGGCATCATAACAGGGTTAGTAGGTGTCATTGGCAAGCCTAGAGATGAATTTAGAGCAGAGTTCTGTAATCCAATATTTTGAATGTTACTTGGCATGTGATTAGGTAAAGTGACGTTCAGGGGAATGCCATGTTTCTGCATCCCTGGCATCGGAATCCCAAGCTGGATCGGTGGATTAACTGTGGGTAAGGGAACACACATCCCAACTGAGGGTCCATGAGGCATACTAGAGATATCATCCAATGACATTTCAAATATCTCTTCAACAATTTTTTCTTCAGCGGATTGTATAGTAGCACTGCAAGAGTTTTACAAAAACAATGAAATCATTGTACCAATATAAAATTCAGTTACAAATATTAAAGTATAATGTTTATACTAACTTATCGGTATTATTTTCATTTTTCAGTTCACAAGCTTCTGGGATCCGCTGGAACACAGTGGAGTGTCGCTGTGTTTCTTGATTAACATCGGATGTCGATGCTACTATATTCTGATGTTTCTGCCTCAGTGAGTTGTTTGAAGCAATCATTACGGACTTGAAATTGCTACAATCATCATTCGCTTTTGACATGTCAATATCTGAACGCAGAAGGGCGTCAAATGTTTTACTTTCACTAAATGGATTCTTTGTATCAGGATTGGTTCTACTTTTAGCTTCAACATTGGGCTTTGTCTCTGTTTTTTCAGTATTTTCATGAATATTTGAAAATGTAACGGCTTTTCGAGCAGCGGGTGCTTCACTGACCTCGGAATTTTGTGGCTGCAAGGAATTGAATTTGTAACAAATTCATGTAATTTTATAAAAAGTAAAACCATGTTACGGAATAATCAATCCCATTTCTTACCTTCTCCATTTTAGTAAAGCCACTGGAAAGTAATCGTTTTGGGGATAACTTTTTAGCTTTTTCAGACGCCCACCACTCTTCCGATCCCTCCTCGGCGGTCTTAGAACGAGTTAAAGCTGTAGATCAACAGACAAACATTAATAATGAACAAGTGTGTGACACATTCCTAAAGAAGAAACATTCATAGAAATACAGGTATCGAGACAAACAAAAGTCATTTTATTATTACGGAATGCTTCCTGCTGACGCGGTGGTAAATTTGAGTCGTCGTTGCTGTAGCCATGGAATGCTCCAGAAGCATCAAAAGTACCTGCCCCCGCTTCAGCGCTGTCGTTAGCCCTGTCAAAACATTCTATAATATAATAATTATTATATATAAGCATCGTTATAGAATTATAAATATAACATTAAGTCTGAAAGATGCCTTTCAAAAATTTGCCTTAAAACATAGAATTACTCTAAAAAATTAAAACAGCAGGTTTAAATAGTTATTACAAAATTGTATTAAGATTCGTACCATTCAGGTATATCGTCTGTCATTACATTATCTGCCCAACGTCGACCTCCCCATGACTGCTGTCGATCTTGTGTAGGCCTTTCAGGCCATTCACGTTCTACAAACACAAAATTTTATTGATTTTTATAAATAATAATGCCTAAGTAGCTTATACTTATGTTAAATTATTTTATGTAATTGATATCAAACCATTATGATATATGTAAAATAAATCTAATTAAAAGTAATTTTTAAATAGTCTAATTACCGAGGTTTGCTGATCTTCTATCATTTCCTTCTTGCATGCGCCACTCATCACCTTCTTCTCTGCCTGATTGACGCCAGTTGGTATTACTAACGGGCCGTCTGGAACAAATATATTTCAGATATAGCTTTGAAATTTTGCTCACATATGTATAATAGAATAAACATTGAAATGTTTTACGTTGAATAATTATGGTTGATAAGAAACTCTTATTGTAACTTAAGCGCCTCGGCCATTACAGACAAAACAGGTTTACCTGTTTCTGAACAATTTATTTGTTGGTGCTTCAGGTTGTTCCGTTTGTGTAGTTCTACTTGGAACTCCATTACTAGTGCTCCAAGGCCTTAAAGATGGAGGTTCATCGTCTGGTGAAACAGAGTTAAGACCTGACATTCTAGCCCTATTCCAACCCCTAAAAGCATAAGAAAATATCATCATAAGCATGATTTTTGTCTATAATATGACAAGCAATGTTATATACTTTATATATTATATTTTAAACAATTTATTTCTACAGAAGCCTATAATCACAAGCATGGTGGCATTATACCTGCTGGTGTTTACAGATTGTGACCTTAAAAATGGTGGTCTTTTTACTGATGGAGATGCCGCCGCCACGCGTCCGCGCACGTTGTTGTTGCGCTCGCCAAGTGTTGTTGTTGGAATAACTGCTAATCCACCGCGAGCGCCTTCTGTTGTCTTAAGAAACATTAAAAAATTTTACAATAAGAACAAAATAACTATAAAGCATTAATGTGTTGATTATGATAACTTTTCTCACAATGGTTTGTTCATCTTCAAATATGTTTAGAGCACTTGGTGGTTTTCCTCGGGGCTGATAAAGTGCATCAAAGTACTTGAGTTGTTCTGGTGGTACTGCACCTCTATCGTAAAGTGCTAACATCTCTTCTCTGCCATACCTAAACAAAACAAACAATATAAGAAAAACAAACATTACTCCCTCTTTTAAATATAATAATAATTACAATAACAAACCCCCTACCTTAAATTGGCCAAAAATATTCTAGGGGCATTTGCTTGTCTAGCACCCGAAGATGCTGCCCCGGCAATGTTAGGTGTTCCACTTGCATTTGTTATATTTTGATTCAGTAAGGCTGCTCCAGTGACAGGATTTCGAGGCGAGTTAGTTTGATTACCATGGTTGGGTTGCAGTATGCCAAGCCCTTCATTATTTTGTCTATTAGTACCACCTGATTGGGATCTTCCAAAGTTACGAAGCCATTCCGGACCAAATTTAATAGGAGTACCACTACCCATAACTCCTATTAATTGAATAAATTGAAAACTGAAACAAATAAAAATTTGAGTAATGCATGTACTTTAGTTTTTAAGCTGATATTTCAAATACTTAATTCACAAAAAACATAGTTAAATTAATTTCCTTTGAATTAAAATTGCCTTGTATTTTGAAAAGTATTATGGAAATATACGTTATAATTGAAATTTGACCTACATATTTTACTTAAATGATATATTTTTTTTACAAAGATGTTTTCAATTCTTTGTAACGACTGACACTGTACCGACCAATTAATTTGTACTAGAATAAATGTATTATTGTATTTATTCTAGACATAAAAATTGTAATATATTAAATCTAAAATTTCAATTAAATACCCAATTTCATTATATCTCTTTGAATTTATAGTAATATCTCAGTTTATCTAAAATTAAATTAAAATTTGGGTATTTAAATATTGGCATGGCATAATAGTACATTTATCAAACTACTTCTTTATTAGGAGTTTGATAACTCAATTCGCTAAAGAGAGGTGTGGGACATTTGGTGTAATGGTTGGTAGTAAATGTCGAGAAATAACCCCAAAAGGAAATAATAATAATCACTGAAACAACAAATATTGTAATACCAAGAACAGTTAAATGAGTATGGTCATTTTCAAAAAATTTCAAATGTTTATGCAACTCACACAAAACTCAAGTGTTTAATTGCTGGGTGTGCAATGTAGTGCAATAAGATACCTAAGCCAAATAAGTTAACATTATGCATTAATTTTAAGCCGAGTTATAGTTTGTAACAGAATTTAAAGAAAATGATTAGTATCAAGAATACAATAAGAATTATGATGCTTGTTTGAAAGCATATCAACACAAAAAAAAATACTTATAATTTCATTTACAAATTCAAATCATCTAACTTATTCAAATAAGATATTCAAAGTCTTTATTTAGTTGGTGGTGTTTGTTTCGTCTTTTAGAAAAGATTGTAAGGTCTAATTTTACTTATTTAAAAAATCAAAAGTAAATAAATCTACTATTATTTTAAAATTTTTACACTTGGCAATATTTAAAACTTATTATATACTGGACTTTTTCATCAGAAGGAAGTGAAGTCAGTAATCAGTTAATATAAAAAAATAACAACTATTGCATTGACAACATATATAATTTGCAATTGGTTACTTCACCTGAAATAACCTTGGATTTTGAAAGAACAACAAAGTAATGAGCAAAACTGAATGTAAAAGTTTTATAATTGTAAATAATTTTTGAGCTAAGAAAGATTAGAATAGAGATTTATAGCTAACTCAATATATTTTAACCTGACATAAGTATACAAAAATAATAGAAAACTAAACTCATGATTAATATAACATGTTAAGCTTTATCAATAAAGATAACAAGAAGAGTTGGTAACAAACATCTATTTATGCGACCACAACATTATTTCAAATGTACACTTTACTTTACTGGACTTAAGACCAAACTCAAATTTTCTTAATTACCAGATAACAAAAAAAAAATACAAACAATATAGCATACTAAAATATACTAAGCATTTAATTTTTTATCTGTAATAGATATAAATAAGAACCAGATGGTTCCATAACATTTGTTTCATATTATTTTTTTACCCGTCAAGTATTATTATTGTATAATAAGAACTATAGTAGCAGAAATGTAAGTAATACTGCTGGCTTACAGACTACTTTATTTTAAAAAAAGATAATGAAATAAGTGCGACATAACACAAAGAGATCATGTCTTCCGGACGTTAACTCATGCAAGAACGTACGAGCAGTTTTAATTAAACAGATAATTATAAAACCCACAAAAAATACACTTTTAGTTTAAACCAAAATTAGCGCCGTTTTTACGAAATTTATAACTTAAACACGTCGTAGTGACTGCAATTGCAAAAGATTAAGATTAATATGCGAAAGTAAGACAAGGTGGCATACGATATCTCGATATATTAAATTATTCGCGACAGGTAGGGCATAGTAATTAAATCGCCTGTGGTGTTACAAATTGGATTGTGACCTAAGAATTTATAAAATGATTACCTGAAGTATAACTTAACTTCCCAAATCACTTAACGCATCGAGCACGGCGACAAACCAATATGGCTGATATTTTAATTGCTGTCGCTGACGAAACCATAAGGCCAGGTTTTAGAGAAAAACAGTTTTTTTTTAAATATTTAATGGCCTGGTAACGAGACCTTTAAGCCAAAGAGAGGATATTATTCCAAAGACAATAACAGATAATCTCTTTGCATTTTATCGGTAAATCGATACTAGAAAACCGATAAAAAAAAGGGAAACTTCTTTTGCACTCTGAAAGTCTAAGGGAAAAAAACATGCACTTTGATGTATTCTATTCTATTAATATTCTATAATATTTTATCTTAAATCATTCCTTTTTCTTTAGATAAATAATGTACCACACTAATTTGTAATACACACTACTAATGCCACAGGCATGAATAAAAAAATCAGCTCGCGTGTACGTCCACAGATAAGAATACTTTTGTATAATCACACACTGTGTCTGTGCTGCATAATACGTACAGAGTTGCCAACTCAAAATTAAGTTACATGTACTGATAACTGAAGTACTGAGACATATCATTATAAGAACCTTTATGAGAACTCATAACAATCAAGTTTAAAGATTTGCCGAGTTGAGATGACAAACTGCAAATGCTGCGTTTGCCCACTCACGCCCCTCAGCCTATCATATAAGAGCCTTCGGATTTTGCCCTATTTGAAGCAAAGTCGCCGGTCGCCTACCGTGCGTACTTCTTTTGGTAAACATGCACCAGGTAAATAAGCCAGGGAGGGAGGTTTATCAGGATGTTTGAAATTTCTGCGATGTCTTTACGTCAGCTTGTTGAAGCAGGGCGTTGGTGTCTTTACTGCTATAACGCTTTGGGGCCACGGCCAAGATTCTCCTTCCTAGAGCTTGGGAGTGTCAACCGTTTTGAGCACTTGAATTCATCACTTAGCCTTTAAATTGATATCTCCAATGGAAAATAATAATAATAACAAAAAATTTGATTGCCTTTATTTGTCCTGTTGCTAAACCAGTTAATGAATTAAAGTTTAAAGATAACAACAACAATCACATTCCATAATTACTTCTTGCCAATGCCTTTTAGTGTTAACTATAGGCAAAAGTTAAACATACAATGTTTAGTTTTTATAAGTATTCATATTATGTTAACAAAAATATGATTCTGACTTTAATATTAGTAGACTATTTTTCATTGTGTGTGATTAAGTAGAAAGTACAATATGATCCCATGATGTAGATTAACATTTTTAGACTATGAAGTAAATTAAAGTCATGAAATTAAAGTTGGGCTACTCAGCCTCTAACAGCCTCATATATCCTATTATCATGAGTATAAACTATTTTTCTCCTTGAATTAAATAATATATGTATTTACAAGTACACGCTTATTGTTAAAGTTGTTTTGTTTTTATTTATTATCATGCAAATTAAAAGTTAAAGTTGCAAGATGTTGCCTAGAAACAATTTTTGTACATTCAAATGAGAATGAAGATACATATAGAATGAAGCTAAACATTTGGCAAGACCTGCCTCAACATTGATATGATGATAGAACGAAACCAATAATTTAGTTCTAACGTCCATCACAAATTACATTTTCCTAGATCTAATCACTGTAATATGCACGTTTAAAATAAAATTATTATGATTTAGAATCTAGACATAATGACATTTTAAAAACCTTCCCAGTTTTTGAATTTAAAAGGGGGAGAAATTGAAGGGGCCACAAATATTTTATAAATGCAAGGCAGATAATATAGTGTTATGCAATCTTAAAGTAATAGGCCTGTAGCTAGTCTAGATATAGGTAGACTGCAGAATACAGAAAATACTAATTTGGAAAGATCAATAACATAGAAGTAACAAGATTATATAAATAAAAATATAATATTTTTATGATAACAAAATATTATACATTTATTAATTATAGACTGATGTGGATACTACTTAAATGTATACTAAATTTTTTAACTATCGCAGTGATCCATCATTTACTTTATTCATATTATGTATATAAATTTCATATAATTTATAAATGAAATAAAGTGTTGATTAATATTGTTTTTGTATTATTAAAAACCTTATTTACGAACTTTTTTAAAATTATATACCTAAACCTAAGATGTAACTTAAATATGTTGATAGATAGTAATAGAATAACGTATCATGATTTTTTTTATGTATTACATTATTAAACATCGTTATAAGAATAAAGAGATTCGAATACTTGTTTTTGCTTTCTCCTTTTTAATACATTTTAAAAGAAATCTTCTTCATTCCTCCAAAATAAGTAAACTTTGTAAAAAGTAGCCTACTGTTCTATGTAATTTTCTTTGAAATAACTATGTATTCTATATATAATGATAACCATTTTACAAACGAAATGTTATGGAAATCAAAAAATATTAATATAAAGAAAAAAATATTAAAACTGAGAGTATGAAATAAAAAATCAATACGCAAGGGACATGCGTACATGATAACCATAATAAGACGATGATCGGCGTGGGAGCCATTGGTATCCTATTTAATTTTTTGAACATTGAGGAGTGGATTCAATACTGTGTATTAAATGTGTAATAATGCAAATATAATACAGGCTATAAAATCCGAGGTGAATTTTAAAGTATGTTTTCTAGATATTTTATGTTGTTTTATGTTGGCTGTATTGATTTCGAAACTCGATGTCAACAACTTCAGAGTGGTGGTGCGTTAGTGTTGCGCGTAGTGTTATTGTTTTGTGGAAAAAAATTGTGAAACCTAACTAAATTCTACTTTATTTCACGAACTTTCGTATATTGTTTTAATCTTTGTTCCTTAAAATTAGTTTCTTGTGTGGAATATGTTCTTCTCCGCAGAGGTAAGTCATACGAAACTTACATCAACATCTGAGTAGGGCGGTACAATTTTATTTAAAATGGGATCATTTCTTTGTGGGACAGCTATAAAATAACTCAAACTATTAACATAACCACGAAAATTGCATAATTATTACTTGTAGTATTTATATATTCGAATTTATTCCTGTTTGAAAGGTTCTGTGAGCACTTCGTATATTATGCATCCTCCATATTTTACAGCTACGTACATGGTACCAACTACATAAAACAACTAGCTATAGCTTTCGTATCTCGCCTTTTGGGATGAAATCTTAAAAATACGTGTTCACTTATGAAAGTTATCATTGAAAAGTTAATTTTTTTCATATTTCCGTGTAATTAATTATGATTATAAAAATGCTGGATGATTTGTCTATTGGAGTAAATTTGGCATCATAATTTTCGAAAAATCGATTGTAGCTCTATTTTAGTTTAAATAGAATTGACAGACATTTAATTCTCATCCTAAAACTTAAATTTATGTAACATGCTTGAGGGCCAGTTTCTCCTTTATTTTATACTCACAAGACAAAGGTCAGTGACCTTGGTCCATAAAATTTTTAAGTTATTTTTCTTAAATTAAACATTTTTAGTAGATGAAAAATATATGTAAATAAGAAAATTATATAGACATAGTCTGTAAAATAGGCTAATGTTAGGTATCATATTTATTCATGCAATGTTTTTAATGAGAAGGATTTTAAAACTAGGTCACAAGTTAAAAAGCCCTTTTTATATTTTTTGTTGCTTTTGTTTTTCAGTTTCCATGCAACAATTTCATATAGCTCATGACATATTAAAATAATGTAACCAACGTACTGATGCTGTCCTAAATATTTAAAAATACTATATAGAAAGTAGCTTAATTTAAAATTGGCAATGCAATTTGTAACGAGAGTTTTTTCCATAATAAAGAAAATAAAATTGCATGTAACATTTATTTTTGTAATGTTTTGTCTACACATTTCTAAAAGAACAGTAAAATAGAATTTACATTTATTTTAAACTATCTTCATTACAGTATTAATGAGTCTTTTTAACATTAAAGCTTCAATAGAAGCATGTACTTTTCTATGGAAGACTGCTCCACTGCTTATCTTATACATTGACCTCCTTAGCTCTATGATTAAAAGCAATTGCATTGAGCTAAGCACAAGAGGTCATGGCTTAGAGTCCCGGGGAATATAATAGATGGGGTCGAGCAGGGCACGGAAGTATGGCCCTCACATATATATTTTGCTATACATTGTTTCCCTGAATTTTCAGTGTTTACATCAAAGATAATTTAAATTAAGTAAGTACATTATTATGAGAGATGTTAGATGCCAGTTATTTTTTAGTCTAAAGGTTGAAAGGTTAGTTTCCAACTAATAGTTAAGGTGAATAAGAATATTGCAGTGAGCCTTGGAGAAAAGGCTGTTCTTGGTCTTAACTAAATTCCTTTTAACACTATGTGTCTCAAGAACCATATCTAATATGTATAGAATAACTTTTGCCTTTTGGTGATATCCATGTAACATTTGATTATCATTTCTTCATAATCAGTCCATTTTACTGTATTCACTTATTGAAAATCTTCTTGAAGGACGTAAAAGAAAGTTTATGTAAACTTCGTTCTAACTGAATTTGTAGCAAAACACTAAGAATTACTATGAAACACACAATTTATCTCACATTGTACATTGCCACTATTTAACTACACAATTTCTTTAATAATTGTAAAAAAATTCTGTATTTCTAGAGTTTTACAAGGGGTACAAAATCTTAAAATAAAACAAAATCTTAAGTATAGCTGTCATTTTTATACTTCCTTCTACTTTCTCTGTGAAAAGTCAATTTTATAGTATATAATTTTGTTTATTATATTTGATATTTTCATTGAACATTTCACAAATAATTTATAGACCAATGAAGAGATTTATTTTACATACAGCTGAAGTAATGGGAATTTCTACAGAGATTTTATTTAATATTAATCCCCATGAACTATATTTAATAGTTGTATGACACCTATTTGTTTCCCTTTTCCACAAATTAATTTGAAACAGAGTAGTATTCTCTAATCCCTTATGATGTTTTAATAAGTAAAGGAAAATTAAAGTAAATATTTAGGTTAATTGAAAATAATTATTTTATTTATAAACCTAATAATATACTTAACTAAAGTTGTGTGACTTGACAATGGTGAAAAAATTCTTAGTTTAATCTTTGTATCCCTAAAATGTCTTTACAGTTTTAGGCAAAGATAATTTGAATATAGACATGAGGACTGCTTATAACTAATACAAATGTTTTTATTTAATTAGACTAACTTACATAACATTATTGAACATATGTAATAGAAAATTTGTGATGACAGTATAACTCTAGGGAAATTCAGTATTGGTTACATTATTAGCAACCACATCAAATAAACTTAATTTGCTTACACCTTCTATTAAGTATTATGATTTAATATAAGTAACTAGTTTACAATGAAATATCAAAATTGCTTTTTAATTTTTGCTGAATGGTTAAATATATTTGTTCTAATTCTTAATTTATAATCAATATCATATTAAGTAAGTGGCAAAAGTTAATATAGAAATAGTATTAATTAAAACAAGAAGAACTTACAAATCTTTGGTTGTAAACGTTCCGTATATCAGGTTGTGTAAGTGTGTGTATGTATATATGTAAATCTTTCTACTTACTTTACTTACGGTCGGTAAATTAATTTTAAGCTGGAAGTGTGTAATCATTAATGGGTGTTAAAAATATGATTTCATTCATAGTTGAAACTTGTTCTCGATAATATTCACTACCTATATCCTATTAAACCTTTTTATTATTAACTTTAAAATTTTAATACGTCCCAATCGTTAAAAATTTTAAGTCCCAGCAGTGGTGGTCCCATTGCAAGCGTTAAAAATAAATCAACAAATATATTTCGCGTTTTAATATGAAAGAAATGTTTTATATACAGTGTTAATAATGAACGTACAACTAAAGCGTTTATCCAACTTTTAGCACAAATTCAAATGGTTTACGTGTATACTGGCCCTGATGTCGCTGGAAATTTCGAAAAGCGATTTCGTTTAGTGATGGAAGAGGACGGACAGGTCATGGTTTACCTGATACATGGTGAACTGAACTCAGTACCCAGTAGGATTTAATTAGATAGATGCGATGTCTACCTATTTTGGTTTCAGAATTTCGGACTGAAATGAAAGATTTTTCGTTTGGTGTAACTTTAGTAAACTTAAAAAATGATTAGGAAATCTGTTGGATCTGACCAAAACATTGCTACCGTCGGACCAACGAGTCCGTCTAATTTTATTTAAAGTTTTTAAACTTCGAGTTCACAAAGCTTTAAATGTTAGTTCTTGAGATATTTCTTTGTTGGCTGCACGATTGCAGATGATGTTTAATTATAAAATATAGCTTATTTACTCGTCAATACTTCAAAGTTATATATAACTCGTAGGGTTCTAACAACGTTGACTTGACAAGCGCTTTAGATGGTAAACCTTTCAAGAAGGTTGTATACCTAATTTGATTAAAATCTCCTTTTTTAGCTCCTGTAAACACGTTAAGTATAATAATAACTAGCTATGCCACCGACTTTGTACGCTAAGAACATTTATTTTGGGCATCCAAATTAGTTTTTGCAAACTCCTTCTTCTTTCTCCTTTCAATGTTTATAAACTTAAGCTGTTTAACCCACGACGTCGGTCGCGTCTCTTCCCGTCTTTCTTACAAGTTAATTTTAAAAGATAAACATTAGTGTCGCGGACTTTTTTTAGATCATTTATATTTATTCATTATTTGGGTGTCTTGAACCCTTTTTGCAGCGTATGCCTCGGTAACCCATAAAGATGAATAATTTTCCCAATTTTTTTCACATTTCCCGCTGTATCTTCGCTTATTAGTCACAGGGCGATGTTCCAATTTATAGCCTTCCTCGATAAATGCTCTAACCAACACAAAAATAATTTTTCAATTCGAACTCGTAGTTCCTGAGATTAGCGCGGTCAAACAGACAAACTCTTCAGCTTTACATATTAGTATATAAACCGTCTCCCAAACTACTTTAAAAAAAACGCAATGCTTTTTTTGCACTGTTAATTTTGCTTCGATAGAAAGCTTTTGCTTTTTAAAAAGGCAGATGTTTTGATGGTTTTCTAAATTCAGATGAATAGCGCAACCATGTAACGTATGTGACATAAGTAATACAGTTCGTGAAGTCTGCTGGGAAGGGTTTTCAGTTAAAATCCGGTTTTCAAGTTCGACGTATTTCACGAAGAATTTTAGGGGTTTCTAGTCGTAGGATTTAAAAGATATATATATTTCTTAATTGAACGCAGAAACCTAATCTACGCTGAAGTTAATTGGACACCGTACCCAGGGCATAGGAGCTCGAAATACCACGCACTCCAGTCCAGTGCCGCCTGGAAATTGAGTTACCGAATAGATTGATAATGCATAGCGTTCAGAAAATGAAATATTAACTCAATTTGTGAAGTTTTATACAAATGGTACTTTAACTGCCGTTCATCTAATGCTTAGTGCACTCGAATGTAGGTTGACGAAGTACCCGGTTCGAGTTTTGTGTGAAATCTATGTGTGTATTAAATAAAACACTTTAACGGTTTAAAACGCGGCATATATTAGTTAAACTTATTTGAAAAATATTTTAAACTACAGCCTGCCGTTTCGGATGCTTTGCGGCAACCGTGGTCACGTGAAAACGTAGGACCGTAGTTAACAATAATTTTCAAATAAGTTTAACTAATATATGCCGCGTTTTAAACCGTTAAAGTGTTTTTTTTAAATGTGTACTACTCGCGTAAACTAGAGACAGTATTTATGTGGGTATTTTAAATTTATCTTGGAAAATTTAATACTACCTCAGGCTTTGGATGTCGGAGTGTTAACGCTTCCTTGCCTCGAAGAGCACGTTAAGCTGTCCATTTCAAGTCCGTTTCTTGATTTGGCTTTAGATTTCCTACTCAATAATAAGTAAAAAATAATTTTTAACAAAAAATTACAGCCAGACAGTAAACTAAAAATATTTATTTTTTAGAGGTTTTCGAGAACAACAAACAAAAAAGTATACGAATCGAATTACGAACATATTTTTGAAGTTCGGTTAAAATTAATTTAACTTCTTATCAATGTTAAGTGCTTACTTTTCTAGGTAAATAAATGAAAAAATATCTTAAATTTAAAAAAAAATTATAAAACCATATACGTAATTTATCACACGTCGTTTATATAATTACTAGGTGTACTCGCGATTTCGTCCGCGAAGAATATTTATTTTGGGCCTTAAATTTGTTTCCTCTGCCTTCCTTGTCACCTCGTCATCTTTATAAATTAAAGCTTGTTGCCCACGACGTTGCCCGTGTCCCGTCGTTCTTGTATTTAATCTCAAAAGACAAACGCTGTAAACAGATGGACAGTTTGTTGTTAATTTAAAAGTAAATCAAAATTTGATATATATATTATTTGTGTAAGATGGATCTTAGAACCCCACAATTCTAAAGATACCTGACGTTATTACGTGGTGAAAAGAATTTTAGGAAATTATATAAAATATGAACAAATGAATGCTGTTCATATGCAGCTGTAAAATGGTTCTTACAGTTTCATAAAATCCTTTTTTATTTCCTCTAATCCTTATTATATGAATGACTTGGGGTGAATCCATTAATGCTAAAAATCAAACACTTCGAAACGATAATCTCATTTCAGACTACGCGGTACATTTTGTATTTGCGCAACAATATCGCACATCCTAAATTAATATTATGGACACGTTGAAACTTGCACATGTATTTAGTATTGCTGTATACATCTAATAGCATCTGAAAAGAGCTTTATAACGTAGTGTGCATCGAGCCTTTCTACCTTGCAACGGTGAGTGGTTACCCGGTAATCCGGGTCTGCCCTCCCCCCGAGTCCAAAGCGCAGGACGCGAGGGTGCAGGGTGGTGGGCTGAACTCAAAGCTTCGCCTCGCACCTCGCAGTCTCGATTTATCTATCAGATGCAACGGTTTCTTTCATTAGCTGCAACAAGTCTGCTGGTCGTTTCGCGACGTGCACTGTTTTTTGTTCGCGCGTAAAAGTTTCACTTTTCACACAAAAGCTTCAGAAGAAAGTTCTCTACATGTCGAGCTTCGTGTGATATCGGTAATTAATTTTACCTTTTCCACATTTTTAAGCACATAAATTGTTGATTTTGAGGGTCCGTGGACAAGAGAAAACCCTGAGATTATTCTATGACTAGGATTTCGCAATTTATGAGAAACGCGAAAGTTCAATGGTTGTAATTTTCGCAAATTAGGTTTTTTTGCCACTCTGTATTAAAAGTAAGCGGGCCCCGTACTAGTTTTTTTTTGTCTTTTGGCTTGATATCAATAAATGGTGTAAGTTATTAATTTTTTATACTTACTGGTGTCTATCTATTCTATGGTACCTACGGAACCCCTACGCGTGAGTCCGATGCGCATTTTCCCACTCTTTAATATTATGAATGAATGAATACATTGTTCATATTGTACATATTTTTTAATTACACCTTGTACAGTATATCATTAGAACCCGGTACTTTATTTTAGATTCTATCAAATCACATACAATACGATCATATAAGTATGATACTAACTTTAAAATTTTATAAAAAAATACCCGTTATGTACATTATAAATAAAGAATACTAGTACGTTTATTGGCTACAAATTCTTTTTCATGTGCAGGTCAAACTACTTGGACCAGGTACGAGGTTCTAAGGTCATCAACCATTAACTGTTTTAAAGATGTCCTTTTGTGTTTCACTGGAATATGGCTTTCTTACCACATACAATATGACTAATGCTTCGTTTTTTCAGTTATTAGCATATAATGGCTTTTCTTCATTTCTATTTATGTTGTTGTTTTACTTGAAGGTTAATCACGTGCATTGTTTTCGGTGATTCTCAAAGAATTACAAACGAACTGGATAATATTTTACATACATTTATATTAATGAAACTTTCTTTAAAAATAATATATCATTATATTGTTTTTCGTTTTAAAGCTGTAATTTCGCGAATCGCTTGATGTGTATATCTATTTGAAGAAACGTAGGCAATTTTTTAAAACTAAACAAAAGAAATACTACATATTTCTTAAATTGGATGAACAAAGCTGATAGTGAATCTTTTAGCCAATGCGCGTCTTTAACACTTCGCCCAGGTGCGAATCTAAGAGTGCGCTTATTCCTGTTCCTTTATTTCTCCTGTATACGTGCCTTATCATATTATGATTCAATTAACGTTTCATTTCCATACGTATTTTCGATGTCGTCGTTTATCTAAATAACTTTCACTTTGTTGAAAAAGCACAATATTGTTGAAATTTTCAGGTACTTCCATTTGTTGAAAGCCTGGGGCTATCCCACGCTGGCTGTGCATACGTCTTGCTGTGAAATAAGAAGTAACAGCTTTTTGAATATTCGAACAAGCGAGGAGAAGGCGCCACGTGTGGACCTGCGTACAACCGGGGGCGGGCGCTCTGCGCCGCCCCACAACTTCATACGTAAGTTATCCAAATTATAGTGTCCAATAACAGAAGACACTTATAAATTTTTTTAAAGACATTTAACTAACTGGCTATCCACTTTTGATAGACATATAATATACCACTTTGCGATTAGTTTAATGTAGAGATGCACAGACCGCGACCTGCCGGTCGAATACTGGTGGACTGCCGCCAGCAAAAATAATACTCAAATTAATAAATTCTTTTAATTTTAACACATTCAACATCAATTCTTTAATGTCTTACATTACCTATACTTCTGGCGGCTCGCCATCAGTTCATGATTTGCCGGAGTGGCCCCTAGTCTTAATAAGTCTGTGCATCGCCGGTTTAAGGGAACTCAAAAATTAAGCGTCGCTGTAACACTTTTAATGTGAATTTAATACATATAACATACAATATATGAATATAAATAACTCGGAAAAACTTACTATTTACTTTATCATCACGTCAGTAGCGTTGCCTAACATATGTTTATGTTCGTTTGGCTGATCGTTTTCATTTAAGTGGAAATAACATAACAGATAAGGAACTTTCATTAACATAATAACTAAATAATTTTTAATGCGTAAGTTTTTATTACAATAAGAATGAATGCGTTAAAACTTAAATTGTTCCTGTATAGAATGGATTTCTCTTTTATTTAGCAAATGCGATTCACAATTTTTTAAAATGTTGCATTAAACAAAATTCTCAACTCATTTTCCTCATTGTTTTTTACAAATTTTAGAATGCTTTTTATTTCATTTTGGATTTTCGTTATTGTTTTTTGTAACTGAAATGCAATATTTGCTGATAGTTTCTAACGTCGGTAAATGCCAGATAATCCTCCAGATTATCTCGCACTTACATTATTCGTTAAACATGTGAAATATTCCAAGTGATCATTGCCATGCGAATTCAGCTGTGTGTAATCTAACGATCTTGACAAAATTTAAATATGTAGATCAGAACAGTATCAGAGCATGATCTACCTGTATGGGAGGCCAAGCTAACAGGTCAAGATTCTTCTGCAAAATCATAAGCTAACGATACAAGTAATTTAAATGATAGAATATGATATTTATGTTAATATTTAACGTTTTTCTATTTCACCGCTGCGAACGCTCGAAAATAAATAATGGGCTTATGCAGTTTTTAATTGCGATGGTGTTTTCAAATGAAATGTGTATATACATTTTAACGCTTTCCGTTTATTTCGACTGTCTTTGTGTACTTATGTTGTATATGTTTTGGTTCAGATACCCGGATGATATATTGACGAAGGCTCAAAGTAAGCATGATGTAGGCTTAAATCCACACATCATTGCTCCAGATCCATATGTAACAACGGCTGTGTATATCGATGTCTTTGGCCCGGATTATAAGGACCTACTAACACCGTAAGCATAAAAGTTTTATTTATTTTTCTTCAATGAAATTACTATTATAAAATTGTATATATATGCCCCTTAAGCATATCTTCAATAATTTCATAATCAGCAATACATAAACTACTTAAAAACACTTCTGAGAAAGTTCTAAGAAGCAAAGTAATCATTTATGTTTATAATGTTTGATTATACTTCTACGTTTCAGGTCTCAACAACCGAACACAATGAGCACGGGTGACGATGATTCATCGTCAGGCATAAATGGTAGATTAAGGCCTAGGAAGTCGTGCGTGTCTAGTCCACAAACCAATAAGGCTACACGAAAACTAGACTCCAAACCATCACAAGAAAAATCAAAGCGTATCACAACCCCTTCTAAAGCTTTGCTGACTAAACCTGATGATCTCTCTAAAAAGTCTGACTGTTCTATTGTAGAATACCTTTGTCCTTATTGTGACAAAATTTTCGTTTCAAAACAAACGGCGTCCAAGCATGCTCGACGTATTCATTTCTCAACTTCAAAACAGGATACCTTTATCAACTGCCTCTACTGTAATCATACAGAACCTGAACCTAATGACATTTTCAAGCATATGATTGACAGTCATCCAAATCAATACTTTGCATGTCTCGATTGCCACACACGGTTTCCATCGACGAAGCAATTAGCTGAACATAAGCTAAATGTATGCGATAGACAAAAGCTTCCATACAGAAGTAAGCTGCGCCAGAAATCATCCAGAACGAGTAAAAAACCTCACAAAATTGACCGTGAGGTTGTAATTCACGACGAAGAAAGACACGGCTACAACAGCATTGTTATATCCTGTGAACTAAAGCCTACACATGTGTCTGATGCTGCCGATATTGAGGATAACATACCAACCAACCTTATATTACCATCAAACAAGAACTTGGCACACAAAGTGATTGATAAAAATGCTGTCATCTTATTAGATGACCTACAATGGACGAAGCGCATACCACATAATTTTTCATTTCATAATTCTGATGCTGACCAAATCTTATCAAGACTAGGCGTCGTGCATAGATCCCCAAGGACCGGAGAATCAACGCGCAAAGAGTGGTTTAAAGCAATCGATGATGCCAATCAAAAATTCGAAAGATGTTTTGATACCAGCTTCTACTCTAAAGTTGCCAGTAATGTACAAGAAAATTTAGCAAAATTCCTTGATGGTACGTTTAATTTCAATCCAGACTCAAATCACACGATTAAAACGAGGAAAGCAAAGAATAGCGTACCTATTAATACTGTCGAGGGATTTCCAATATTATTGTCATCCGAACAATATTCAAGAAACTTGTTTGATGGGTACATGCCACGAGCTATAGCACCGAAGCACAAATGGAAATGGGACAATTTAGAAAATGAAAAGAACCCTTTCAATGCTGACCAAATAAAAAGAGATTCACATGTAAACAACTGTATCGTTACACTGGTGTCTAGCCTAGATATATGGACTCAATTGTGCATGAGGAAAAAATTTGAAGAAAAATTCAAAACTACGCCTTTAGAGAAAAAAACTGAAAAAATAAAAATTATCGGCAATGAATTGAAAGAAATACTCGAGAGCAGACAGTTACCAGCACCTTCTACACACGTCACTCGCAACTGTGTCGCTCCATCACCAATATGCCAAGGCGCAGACTTTCCTTCGTCGTTAGGCTTAAGACCGACCATCACAAAATACGAAATCACACCCGCAGTTTTAAGTGGGGAATGGGTGAGGCCTCGCTGCTACGTCTGTTGTGCCTGTGGAGCCCAAACGCGAGACCCTCGAGCACTTTCATCACATATTTCAACACAACATCCCAATGCCCAAGTTCAACATTACGAAATACCTGGCGAACTATTAATGAATGCGGACATATTGAAGCACTTGTATGTGCCCCCAAGTCCGGTGCATAACAGGACTAGGCCACCGAGAGGCTTTCGAGAGTGCACAAAATGTAACAAATCCATCACAATTGAAGACTTGCATCAGCACATGTTGGATTGTGCTGGAGACATGCCAACTGTACGAAGGAAGTGTCGATATAGACAATTTGGCGTTCGTAAAAGGCGAGCACGTATTCAAGATAGTAGGATGCGCAAAAAGTTACGAAAAGACATACATAGACAAAATGGGAGACCCCGACCTAAAATAAGAACAGAAGTTGGAGATGGTTAGTACATTTTGTTTAATTTAACTTTAAAATGTATAAAATAGTTAATTGTAAGAAAAGCATTTCGCTTCAAGGAAAATCATTTTCCAACAATTATGAAAATGTTTTTTTTTTTAATAAGTGTTTCTGTTACAGGTGAAACAATTCGAAAAATGTTAGCTGACTTACCAGCAAAACGTCATCGGGTAATGATTACTCCGCTGAATTCCTCTTTAAGACCAAAAAGAAAAATTGTTAAACAACGAGCTCAACATAATATTAAGAAGCGCCCGACTGACGAATTAAAAAGCAGAAAAGTAAATATGGGAAGTGTATCTGAAAGTAATGATAATTCAAATATTGGTGAATCAAATATATCCAACGATCCACAAGACGAGAGTACTTCAAATGTTAAACGTATACAAAACAAATTGACAACTCGTAATACATTATTAAACAATAAGAACGTGAAGAAAAAGCGCAGAAGAGCTGTACAGTTAAAAGAAGACAGTCAAAGCGTAGACGCCGATGATCAACCCTTACAAGAATCGGACAAAATTCAAACGGATGAATTGTCTATGGAGAATAGACCTAGTAGAATCAATTTAAATACTGGCCCTAACAATGCTAGAGAGCAAGCTAATGCATCTAATAATGATGGTTCGAACAATCGTGACAATCGACAACCGGGCCAGAATGAAAATAATAACGGAAATTCGCGGGATCAAGGACCTCCCCCACAAAATGTACCGTTAAAGCATTCTATAGCCCGATTAACTGCTGATTATGACACCCAAGATAAAGCTGTACAATTTCATCATTTGTTCTTAGTTCAACAAGAATGTAATAATGTGACTCAACATGTACCTTCCGATCGACGGGACCTTTTTGAAAACAAAGCGGTTGCAGCAAAGCTTGATAAACCGCCTTTAGCCCATCATCAAAAAGATGAAGCTTCTGATTCACACAATTCTCAAAAGAATAATAAGCTTAATAAAAATAGAAAAGGCTTAAATGATTGTATTGCTATGCTTAGGAATAAATTAGTTGAACCAACTCCAAAAGCTCCTGACGTGTCAATACAGTGCACGATTGATGAAACAATACCTACTACCAATGAAGTTAAACCGATAACGACCGTAAGCCGTATCGACATAACAGTTCAATGTCCAGATGATAGTCAACCGATGAATACATTAGTTGCCCCTCGTGTTAAGCAAGCAAAAATCTTAAAACTAAATGAGGAACTATGTCCTAATTTACCTTCTACAAGTGAAGATAAAAACGAAAAGCATGAGTTAAAACCCCAGCATAAAAATACTGTATCCGAAAAAATAAGTAACCCTGAGTTGGAAAAAACTATTAAAGTAGTTGACAGTAAAATCACTCAGGGGCTGAATGTTGAAAAGTTAATACAAAACCAACAACAAGTCAATTTATTACACAGGCCTCACACTAACATCGGTGATAGTGTGACTAAAAATTATGAAAATATGCACAATCACTGCACTCCAGACGCTGTTAATTTTATTAAAACTGACATTACTAAATCTACAAAAGAAGTAGGCAGTAATAGCGCAGGCACATCTGATATTAAGGCTTTAATACATTCTTCGAACACATCTAAACAGGCAATAAGTACGGCGCCCATGTCCACAAGTACCATTCCAAACATTCGTGAACCTGAAACGAATTTAAAAACTCTTAGAAGTCATGTGCAAAGTCACGAAAAGAAAGGTATTGAACCAAAGGAGCAATCCTTAGAATTTCCAGCACCATTAGTAAAATTAAAGGATTTTGAATATAAGGAAGAAAATGTTATAAAGAATAAAATGTATAGTGCAAATGAAATTCCGCTTGCACACTCCAATTCTGGTGTTGAATCTATCCTAACAGTACCATTAGATTTATCAGGGAAATTGTATGCCAATAAAGTGACTGCTCATTGCTCTAAACAAGATACTTCGTTCGGAGTAAAAACATGCGAGGCTTATGAAACACTGGACTTGTCTAATAAAACTATTAGTAAACAAGATAACGTTGCCCCTATGGTGCAAATAGAAGATGATGACGTAGTTGATTTACGCGTGAAACATATAATTTCGACTCAATCTGCAGATTCATCCATATATAGTGACGAGAATATCGCTGTGACTGCTACCGATCTATCTGTGAGAAATACCGAAACAAACTGTTTACCAACAGATTTGTCTATAAAACGAAACCTGAAAGCTCCGTCCTTATATTCTAATGTATTGCACAAGCAGAGGGTCAAAGAGATACACCCACTTGGTTTGATAAACACTGACAAAGATATTGTTTGTTTAAACTTATCAGCAAAAGAGGTTCCCACAGATTTATCTAAAAAGACTTTGCCAATACCTACTTCAAATATTAAATCTATAGAAAAGGGTTATTTTCATTCACCTCCTACAGAAAGTGAAAAAATAAAAATTGTTAGTGCAGCAGACTTATCACACCGCTACAGAAGTAAACATATTATCAGCGACATGGACAATGTTAGAACTAATCAAAGTGCACAATGTAATACTTCATTGGCATCTTTGAAATCTTTCCAAAAAACGCACTCCACCGAAGAAAATGAATCTAATGAATCCATTTCGCTACGTAAACTTCAGTCTGGTACAGAGCCCATGCGAAGGTCTTCATCTTCTGACGTTACAATTTCATTCATAAATAGACAAAATCCTACACACTCAACAAATAGTGAGATCCGGATTCAACAAAATTCCGAAAAAAGTTCTATATCTCTAGATGAAGTTGCAAATACACCAAATGTTGCTAGTAAGTCGCCAAAATCTGGTGTGATCAATATTTCTTCTATGGCTCAAATGCAACCACAAACTACAAAGTCTCTGTCACCCGACAGTTTTATTTCCCCGATAAAACTAATTAGCCACTCTACTCCTATTATGAATACTGTTAATGTGTCTACACCTGAGCTAAATATTCCAAATACAACATCGAATTATGCTCACATTACTGGAAATGACAATGCAACACACAAACTGTTACACCAAGTAAAAGATAGTCAAAATATTTATGAAGAGCAATTAAAAATATCTAAATCGAGGCGCTCACAATCAATATACCAAGAAAGATATTCCGATTTTGATGATAAAGTTCTTAAATCATGCATAGAACAAGATCCGGAAACTGCTAAAAAGATTGCTATGCTACCAAAAGAACTTGTCGAAATATTAGGAAATATGCCACTTGACCATCGTAATCAATTGCTTAATGTGCTTCCCCAATATGTGTCTGTATCGACAACTACAACGCCCAAGACACTTGATGCAACTGTAACACTATCATCGACCAACGAAGACTCTAAATATAATATAGATAGACACGAATATTTCATCCAAAAGGAGACGAATAGCTCCCGCGTTTCATCATACACAGGAGTGTCAGTTACCGAACAACTAACAGCTGATAAATGTGAAATTCCGCATACCTTAGCTACTAATTACTCTCATACAAATATTAATCCTAACAAAACTCCAAGTGGCCAATTTTCTGGCAACACCGACATACCATCTACAAGAGAACAAACACATTCAAACGATTTAAATAATTATCGTGTTATTGACTTGACTGATGATACAGTTGATATAAAAAATGTTATTGCGTGTCCGGATAAAGAAAAGACATCGATTGCCAAAGTTATCGGACAAAAATCTAATGAAAAAACTGCAAGTCTCAGAGCTGTACGTATTAAGGCACCTTCCGAAAGGCAAAAATCAATTATAACGGAACCACACTTTAAAAAGCCTTACCCCGAGAACAATAATATTATAAGCCTTAAGAATTTAGACATTAAAAAGGATGTGGTACCATTAGCTGTTCAGCAGTTTGAAATAACTACAACAGACGAAGCCAAAGTTGTCAATTTCTCGTCGAAATCATCAACGGTCAGCCCTGATTCCAGTTTTAGTAACAGTACTAGTAATGTTACTACAGCGACATCGACACCGCCGTGTGTTGTTAGTGAAAATAATGAAATTGTTAAGGAGAACATCACGATATCATCATCACAAATTGATACCGCGAGCTCTGCGTGTGATATTGCCTTGCATTTGCCTTGCGAACCAGTCGGTGAAACACATTCTCTCACATGTAGAGTCATGGATAAAGGTAAATCAGAAATTGACATCACAGAAATAAACGTGGCCAAAAGTACTCCTGACCTGGAAAAATGTCCTCAAAAAGATGATGAAGATGACTCTGAAGATGACGTCTCCCTTGCCATTATTGTTAAACAAAAACAAAAAGAACAAATGAAGACTCCTGTTTCTGCCGTTTCGCCTACTCAAATATCTGCAGTTAAGGATGTTAAAGAGAACATACATGCGGACGCATCTTTTGAAAATATATCCAACATAGATCTTTTAAAACCTTTAGATAAAAATAACTTTCAAAGTGCTGATATTATAAAGAATGATCCTAATCTTAGTCACAGATTTAACGTAGCCGATGAGGTAAAATACAAACATACGAAAAAAATTAAGAAACCCAGCCTTACCGTGTCTATACCTGCAACACATGTTGTAGAAAAGCTTATAGAATCAGAATTCGAGGGAAATAAAGAGAACACTGCCGTTACAGAGAGTAATTGTTCTAAGATTGAAGAAAATCTTGTCGAAAAATCTTTGGAAATTGAAGAAAAAAACAACTCTCACTTAGAATCTACAGATGAGAATAAAAAAGCGAGTATCACAGAGAACAACCAATTGAACGAACATGTATCAGAATCAAACATTCAAAGCAAAACTATTTTTGAGCAGAAACATGAGCAGGATTCTAATAATGTGATAGCCCGCTCTTATAATGATACCCCAATTCATAAAATTGACGCTATATTGACCTATGGACTATCTACTAAAACACAAGAAAGTAAACCAGATGTGATAGTTTCAAATAATATCTTACCACCAAAAATAAAGAATGCAACAAGTTCAGAAACGGAACAAAAACTCAATGTTGTTCTAAATAAAGACACCATTAAAAATTCAAATGAAGCACAACCTTCTCAAAACGATAGTTTTATCACGCCTCTTCGTCGAAGTCGGCGAGGAAAATCACTTTATATCGAAAGTAGTGAACTTTCGTATGATAATAAAAATTGCTTAGATCCTGGGGCAGAGCATCGATTTCCATTTACGAAAAAACAATTAATCTTTTCGAAATTATTACAAGATGAAGAAAATATTGTGACCCAAACAGAAACCTCCCAGAATGACGAATTTAAGGAACAGAGTCAAGGCAGTCTTCACGAAAATATTACTCACATGTGTGATAATATTAGTAGCAACAAACTAATTGATAAACGCAAACATTCTCCCCACACTAAAAGGAAACTGAAGAAAAAGAAGGCGATGATAGAAGAGTTATGTTTGCAAAAGGACGATTTAAAAGAATTATCTACAGAAACTAACAACCACTCCTCGTTTGTAAGTTCAGAAGGTGAAATAAGTTGTGAAACCAACGAAAACAAATATAAATCCACACCTGTTTTAAAGGTCAAAGAGCTTGCATTGCCTTCGCCATCTAGTGAGGATAAACGATTAGATTTATTAGATTCTCACAAAAATCATAAAATAAGAAGTAAGAGAAAATCATACTCTTTTAATGTTAAAGACGAGGTCAGTTATGATAAATCAAAGAAAATAAAAACAAGTATTGAAAATGAAACGGATCTCAAAAGTAACAGTAATGTGGAAAGAAATAATATTTCAGAGGAGGTAAATATTCCGGAAGTAAAGTGCAAAGCTGCAGCGCGTCGGGGTCGTTCAAAATCTGTATTTGTAAAATCATCTGCGCCTATTTCTTACGACCCATATGATATTGATTTAGATGAAGTAGTACAAGGGAATGAAACAAATCTAAAAAAACAATCCTTCTTTAGGCCTTTGCTTCGTAAGAATTTAAACAAGAGTCTTAGTACTAATGCTCCTAAAGACAAAGATGTCAAAAATGTTCCATCTACTAGTGATTCAAGTTATTGTGATTTTAAGAAAGACAAAGAAGAAAAAGTAGTAACTTTACAAATTGAATCGATTGTTGAAACGAAAGGTTTTGTAAGTGATTCTGATGAGTCTGCAAAAAGCGATGAACCATTGAAAAAGTATGTTGAAGAAAAAGAAAAAAAGAAATCAGACATTAAATATCGAGAAAAAGGCGTTGAAGAAAGTAAAATATCGCGTAAAAAACATAAGAAAACAGTTTCTGAAAAACCTGACAAAAGTCATACAAATGTTGGCTGCGAAGATACTGAGGAACAGATACGTTCTGAACAATTTATGGAAAGCTTTGGATTCTTTTCAGAAAGGAAACCCCGCAAATCAAATTTGTTAGCTACGAAAAAAATATCGGAGACATTTCACATTATTGCCAATGAAAGCGATGATTCATTTTTCAAATCAAAAGAAAAATCTAGCAAAAAAGGTCTGCATGAAAACAGAAAATTGGCGGATGATGAAGGTAATTCGAAAGAATATTATGCTCATAAAAAAAATTCTAAGCGTGGTAGGAAAAAGAAAATTTCACCTAAAATTGAGTCTTCTTTTTGTGGAGTCTGTAAGAAAGATTTTCGTAGACCCGATAACCTTTTAAGACACCAAATGGGTCTTGCACACGCAACACGAGTGTCCGAAGTAGAATTGAAAGTAAAAACTGCGCCTTTAAGCGATGAGGATTCCAATTATTTAGTAATTTACAAACAGCAGATAGATCGGTTGAGATATTTACAGGATACTATAAATAGAAGAAAAAAATATTGTAAATCTGTCGAAAAAATTGCCTTACCAACATTAGAGGAAGTTATTACAGATGTGACGAGGACAGTTCGACAGCAACAAGTTGCCCGACGTGGTCTTAGTAGAGATGAGGCTCTTTTCCTAGATTGTTGTGAATTGCTTAATGCAAGTCATAAAGATGATGGTTCAGGTAGGGCTAAAGATACCTCAAATATAAGCTGTTATTCATGTGCACAAACATCGGCTGAGTGTTTGAATTCATTAGAAAAGCGCATAAATGAACATCTTGATGAAAAATGTGATGATGGTGATGTAGATTCTATTACAGCTCAAGATATTTTGGAAAGTGAAGAGGTTCGAAATCTGGAAAATGACTTGATCTCTGGATTAAAAGAAGCAGCTTGTGCAAATAGCTTTAATGGCAATAAAATTAATCCTATTTTTACTCAAGATGTTGATGTGAAAACTAAGGAAGACATCGACAATGTTATAATAGCGAAAGATTCAGAAACTGAAAGCCAGTTTCGTGAATCTAAATCAAAAAAGGCGTTAGAAATCAAAGAAAAAATGTATCCTGATATAATTGAAGACATTGACATGTTTGAAGATAAATTCGATAAGATTAAAAGAAAATGCAGATCTCAGGCAGCTAAACAAACTCAATATGTAGAAACGAGTATAAGGTAGGAACTATATTATTTTAGTATTAGTCATTTTTGGTTTGACCAACTACACTCTAATACATTGTTATTTTTTCAGTTTAAAAAGCCGTAAGAAAGTTGAGAAGCAGAAGAGAAGGAAGAGCCCAAAAAAGAATTCGCATAGTGCAGTACCTACGAAAGCTGCATTGAAAGGTTTTGAGGGAGTTAAAGTATCAATACTGACATCAGAAATCAATATGTCTTCTATACTTCCCCCTTCTTCAACTCCGTTGAAAAAGAAGAAGAGAAGTAACTCAAAAAGAAAAAGAGAGCGAAAACATCACGGTGACACTAAATATGACCCTGATCACAAAAGTAAGGAACTTCAGAAAAAAGTAGATGTTTACGAATTTATGGACAATGATGATGCAGAATTATTCGAGTTTAGACCCTCCACATTAATGGAACGCTTTAAGAGTATAAGTAACAAAGATGCGCCAAGTACATCAAAATCGCAGCCTGATATTGACCCTGATTTATCCAGCGAAAGTGCTTCTGATGGTGATGACTTTGTTTATATGTCAGATGACTATGTATGCAGTGATGCTGAAACTGAAAACAGTTTATTGTCCTGTGAAACAGGGAATAACAAAAGTTTACCAGAAGTAAGAAAACCCGTGACACCACCTAAAAAAAGGGATACGACAGAAAAGAGTGCTGTGATGGGAAAGATATTTAAACATAATGCTGTACGTACTGAAAAGAAACCTACAAAGGCAAAAGAACCTGTCAGGCCCAAGGCAAATTTAGACCAGCTTTTTGATAGTTTATTAGAGGAAGAACCCAGTTCGTCTATTCTTGCAAAAAGCTCGTTGTCCCCTAAAAGAGGTGACTATGATCTATATAATATTGAATCCCCGTTGACACAAAACGATACGCAATCAGAAGCTAATAAATCTAATAGAGATTTAGAAGAAGACTTAGATGATTCAGAAGCAGAACCACCACGAAAATACACGAGAAGTCCTTCACCCATACCCTACACGGGTCTTATATTACACAGTAAAAAACGGAAGTCTAGTACATCTCCGAGAAAGAAAAGACTGTCATTTGAGGAGGAGGACAATTACTCTGTTAAACTTAGCCCTTCCACCTCAAAAACCCCCGATGATACCAATGCATCGAGTAGTGTTGATAATAGAAAAATGGACTTAAAACACACATCCCACAAAAAGAAGAAATATGCAAACATTAACGACAGTACATCAAAACGAAGGAATACTTACTCTCCGAATTATGACGACGATTCCCTTTTGAGGGTTGATAACGCAACACCAACTGACGAAGATTATCTGACGTATAAAAAACGGAAACACAAGGACAAGGTTCTACACAATAAATCGCCCAAAATGTCTCATAAAACGCTTACCAACAGCTACGATAACAACGATAGATTTTTAGATGACTCAGAAGCAGGTGTTGCAACACAAAGAGCGCGTCGAAAATGTACAGTGGGAAAACAAAATGTTTTAGCTGAAACTTGGAGTTCTGAGTCGGAACCTGATGGTATTCCGCGACGGCCCAATAGTGTCGATTCAGTGGTCGCGGGTTTGAGTCGGAAAAAGAAGAGTAGAAAGAGAGACAATCACACACCGGGTAGTCGAAAAAGCACCGCTCGGCCAGCACTGTTTCCAAAACGAGGTGAAATCGGTGGAAGTTGTCGAAATTCCTCGGAAGTTATATCGAGAGTGGTTCCGACAACACGGCCCAGTGCCGTGGGCCCGTCGAGTTCGAAGGTACGACCTCGCCCTCCTCCCTATTATTGGTCAGATGAAGAAGAAGAGCAGGAGCACGTGCAGCAGCACGGGTGGATCGTCGGTGACAGCCACAAGAAGCTGGTCACCATGCTGGCACACGCTAAAGGTAAGCGGAACAATGACGACAAACGTCATTTCGTCGATTAAGATTATAGAATTTAATGTTGTAATTGTAAATAGACTGTACATATTCTAGTTGTCGACATATTGTCATATCTCATGACATTTGACCAGAAACAATTTAAAAATTAAATTTACTTGTATTCAATTGAGTTTTGTACATATTGTATATGGTTTCTAGCATATTTAATATTTGTTATTATGTAATAGTAAATTCTGGTTGTCTTGAATGATTAAAAGCCAAGTCAATAGTGAGTTTTGCATGAAATCATTGTCTGGTTTTGAAATATTGACAAAAAGAGGCTTTTGACATGAGCTTATTGGAAATGTCAAAGGCATGGATAAAATCAATTTAGTGAAATTATTGACTGGGATTTGAAAAATCCGTACTCGAAAATATTTTTGTTTAATCATGCTAAAAATCGTCATTAGGAAAGATTTACAACCGTTTCTGTAAATACTTTGTTTATGTTCCTTGCATAATATTAATATTTGACAAAATAATTATTATGTATAAATAATGAATTAAAACTTTGCGTTACAAATTATTAATATTATATTATATACATTATACACATAAATATAACATTAAGTTGCAAGATTATATTTTGTATTTGCTTATTCTTAGTTAGCTTATTTTATTATTAGAGAAAGAATGTGTCTAATTTTGTTAAAAGGGGCTGATATGATGGCGTCTGGATGTCGTATATAAGGTGAGTTGGTTAATTTGTTAACTATTTTTAAACGTAAGATATTTTTGAATAGTCAGTTTACAAATAAAATCTCAAGCTTTAGTTATTGTATTTTCTAGTCCAGCGTAAAAAGTTATCACCACTATCAGCCTCCTTTCTAGAATATGTGATTTTTTTTTCAACAAAGACTAAGACTTATATTTTCTTAATTGGGTGTATGTTTTGACACAATTCGTTAATTTAGCTTGATACCACGTGCAACAATTTGTCTAAGAATTATGCAGTGCCCGCATAATGGTTTAAGAATCCATTATTAAATATGCGGAATATTTAGCTGATATTGTAAATGTACTGGTCTAAACGTAGTATATTACAATTTGTGTTAGATCAATTGTCATTTCAGTTATAGATCCCACGGGGAAGGATGTTAGGCGTCCTCGTGGCGTAAAAGATTCAATATGCACTTAGTAAAATTACTCCTCTTCATATCGATTTCATAACTTCTATGTCCTTCAGTGTTGCAGTGGTTTCGTAATTATGATACGTACACGATATAATATATAAATGTATTGAATGTTGTGTTTATCATGTCGCTGTTCGATGCAGATAGCCGATGTTTATGGAATTTACGTATCAGCTCCTTGCTGTACGATCAAAGGTTTCTTATTATATCAGTCGGTGTACTTTACTGTGTTAAAATACATCTGTGTGTCATGACTATAATTCAATGTTATTTCTAAGATGGATAATTATAATGAATACATACTTTCTAAATATATGTGGTATCTAGAGAATACGTTTGTTTTTTATTTTCTATTCTCCAAGCCCGTAAATTTCACGCTCCGTGGAAATATCTACAGTCGTTATCGATTATTCAATTATTACTAAATAATAATTTTATTTGTTAATGCCAAAATAAAACGTATGAAATTATATAAAGCATTTTGTTGTATATGACTAGTAATGTTAAAGAGAATAAAGTAACAACTCTACACTAATCATTGCTAAAATGTGTTATATTCGCATATTTTGACAACTTAGAGGACTATAAGATGGCTGAATCTTATTGTCCCGTAAGGCTAAATACAACGATGATGATTGAGTGTTGATGGAAGACAAATAAAAGAGATGAATAATTAAGAAGTATATATTAACAATAATTCATAATAAATGCTCTATTTGTAATTAATTTAATGTACAAGTCTCATTATGTTGGAGTGAAAGCCTTAGAAGCTTTTCGCTCGTCTCTTCGCCCAAATGATGAGCACAAAGCCGACGATGGCGACGACGCCGCTCAAAGAAATCAATATCGGTATAAATATACTAACTAAATTTAAAGAACCTAACAGTCTACTTTTGATCATGTTCGAGAGGTCTTCTGGCAGCGACATTCCCTAGAATAGAGAGTAAACGTTTAGTAAACGGAATCATAGATATCAGCTCCACAACAATTACCACTGGTGGAACTCCTGCGTCTTGACCCCCCGCGCTGCTCAAATGGGTTTTGTTTAAATCAGTTATAAATAGATGTGATGAAAAAAATTGATGTATGTCAATGTGAAAGCTAAGTACAATATCGACTATTTTAAGCTCTAACATTAATTAAGTATGATCTCGTTTCCCCCGTGGGTAATGACGTGGACACAATTTTGTGCCGATTCACTGACCAGTTCTTTTAAGGCAAGTAATCTATTGTTTCCTTTGGGATTGGGGAACCATTTGGCTACAGAGGCAAAAATATCTCAATTGTCAATAAATACGTTTGGCCTATGTCCACATATGGAAAACAGGATTAGGCTCACTGTGAATTGAACTACGAATTTACCTCGTCTACCCAGAATATTGGCATTAGCGTAGTGCGGAGATTTTCTGTCGCAGCTATGTCGGTGACCGGGCGCATAAAAACATTGAATTGAGCCTTCTTGCTTCCTCGAATCACTGTGCCTGTGTACTGTAAATATAATACAATATTGGAATATCTCACCTCATAACAAAATTAGTCATTGCGAAATTTATCCAAACAAAATCCCGTAACAGCAATTGCATTTATAGTTAATTTAAGGTTGTTCTGTGGCGCTTAGTAGAAGTTTGTAGCTTACCGGGTCAAGATCTGCGAAAATTCTATGGTCTTCTGTAACTGGAGTCATCCCTATAACTCCGTTTCTATAAATATAGTCAGCGAATAGGAAATGAGGATATGACAGCACCATTAAAGCACCTAAAACAACATTATAATCAACTCAAACAACTCTCGAACAAAAGTATTGTTCAAAACAGTAGATAGACTATTTTAAGCAGACGTATTTTTGCGACGAAAATGGAAGATAACGGTCATGGTGATAATGGAAAATTAAATACAGGAAACATGCAATATCTAAACAAGAGGTCCTATTGACTTCTTTGATTCGGTAATCCACAGACTGAAACCAAAAAGCGATTAAATTTCACGACTTATTCTTGTTTGGATGGTGGAACGGATTAAATTTAAATATTTCTTGCACCATATAGATTGTAACATGTTTCCGAAAAATAACAGATATGTGGTTCGGGTTCGAACCTACCCGTACTAGTTATTACCAATACATTGCTATCGTTAGACTCACGACCCCGCCAGAAATTAACCAATAAAAAACTCAAGATATCCCAGTGTTCAAATCCTGGAAAAATGTGGTAATCTTATAAAGTGTTGACAACATACTGAAAAACTTCAGACCAGTCTTACGGATAGAAAAATGTATGTCCGGAGTTGAATTCAGTTTTTATGCTAAAAGTCATTTTTGAAAACTTAATATTTCTCACATTTTATTGCACATAATGGCACTATATACCTACTTCAATAAAAATCGTCCTGCCCGTGTCGTAATCTATAATCTATTTTTAATTTAAAGCCATTTATCAAGCTACAAGCCAAGCGACTGTAATTTGATACTCTTCGTATAATATATTAAGTTAATGGAAAGTTTTCACTCTCAACAAGAACGGGTCGACAATTTCACGTTTGGCATTCGCAGAATCAAGGCACTTAAAATGTATCCGAAAATGACTTTCCTATACCATCAGTTTCTCGGAACATGTGTTCCAAGGTTTATGTACTTATTTAACTTGTGTATGTCACTAGGTAAATAAAATGGCGGCATGTGTTTTCATAATACTAAAAAGAACTGATATTTCCTTGCTGTGCTCATTATTACGTTATGCTATTTTACTTCTATTTTTTCCCACCACAGAGTGAAGTGACGTTTTCCCCTTGGGACCATGGCGCGGATACATTTCTGTGTCCGTTTTATCCATTTTATTTACATGTTCGTAACTTTGCGATTTCTGTGCCCTGCCGGACCGAAAAATATCTAGTCGTTACTAAGTTCTAACCAAATAAAACTTCTCTCTCTTAAGCTACTTATAGCAAACTCCAATAGCACACGGACCAAGTCACCATCATCAAGTATACACTCATACCAAAACAGCAAGGAATATATTTCGTTTGACCGGGATCAAATAAGGCAAAACTTACTCTTGAAATTTGTACTTGCTCTAAGTCCAAAGGTTACGATGATAGACAATTGCATAATTTCAGATTTGATAGCTCGTGGATAATTAAAGTAGTAATTTACAATACGAAACAATGCATGTTTAATTAAATCAATCAGCGTAATTTTGCTACTATTAAAAAAGTGTTTTCTTGCTTAAAAAATGAAAGAAAAAGAAGACAAATCATTATATACATATTAATTTTTTTAAATAAAACACTTCATCGGTTTAAAATGCGAAATATATTAGTCAATCTGTCTCCGCGTAACCACGCCAGCTGGAAAGCATACCAAACGTCTGGCCCCAGTTAAAATAATTTTTAACTAAGTTTTACTAATATATTTCGCGTTTGAAACCTTTAAAGTATTTTGTTACTACTTGCGTAAACTACAGACAGTTATTAAAAATTTTCCTTCTCCTTTAAGAACTGCATTTTGATAAATCAAACAATGTCAAAACTTTCACACAAAATTTTTATAGAAATTCAATAAACTCTCATTAAAAAATAACGTGACCTACTTTTTATAAAAAAAAGTTCAATACGAAGTGCTTCATACCCACTATAGTGCTGCACACAGTTAATTGGTGCTAATTGTGTATTCGTGTTTGTTAAAACCTTTTTGTAATGGAGGAGGATAAAGAAACATGGCATACACTGGTGGAAGGTACAATGCTTCGGGCCGATAACGTGTAAATAAGATTCAGTATCAGGGGCTTTCCATGCCAAGCGGATAGGTAAAATATGTTGATGCTTCAGATTTTAGTATGTTATACCTATATAGGTCGTAGACGATCAATATTTTTACTTTTATTATTTAATTTTATTATACATTTTAAATATTTTTTTAGAGAGTCAAAACTTCATTAGTCTCTAAATCGATAACTATATATCACAGAGTAAAAATATTGATCGTCTAGTTTGAGGACCTATATAGGTATAACATACTAAAATTTTACTGAAACCTGAAGCATCTACATTTTTTACCTGTCCGCTTGGCATGGAATGCCCCATCATTCAATTATGGCTGTGGATGTGAAATTTTGGATTAGGTAGTCTAGATCTTAAATCGATGGTTTTGTGGATTTAAGATATTCCTTTTACCTAAAATTACATCTTATTTCTATCATAACGTCGACGATAATACTACTACAAATATTATATTGAAAAAATCGTATAGGCACTACACAACTTTATGTTTGAAAATTGTTCCTTGACATTAACATTACCTTGAACATTGATTGCGGTTTGTTTATCTAATTTTTGTTTAAATGTAGGTATCGGTTACGCATCGATTAAGTATTTGTGACAAATATCATGATCGATAGACGTTCAGCTACTTGGGTTTTTGTCGTATGTGTAAGTTCTCGTGGAGAACAGAAAATTCTAATAGTTTTGAGGTACAAATTACTTACTTATAGTTGTTGCGACGTTCATTACATTGTAATACAGACAGTTAATATGTTCAAAACTAGTTTTTTTCCGAAGCCGAAGCCGACTAGGCTCTAAACTTAAGCCGAAGCGAATGTTTTATAAGGGCATTTTGGTCAACTTTGGTTACAGAAATATTATGTGATTAAAATAAACTTTTCTTAATGCCTTAATTATTAACGCAAACGAAAAATTCTAGTTGTGCTAGAACATCTTATCATAAATATTGTACACACACTGTACCTTAGTATGTTAATTTTCCTTGTACCTACGGAGTACCTACAAAAATATCTGTACTGAGTACAAATGAAAATGATTTAAATTCCATCCACACAACACAACATTCCCTTGTTTTTATTTACCTATCTCACTCGTCGTTGACCCTATCTGTCAGACAGGGTCATTCGTATTGCTATAACTTACTAGACATTTGATGGACAGACAGAATTACATGCCAAATTTACCATTATAAATTATTATCATAACCATATGAACTTATAGTACGAACGCAGAAACACCACCAATATTGCGACCGAAATTATTTGGGTGAACTAATAATTATTTTAGCTCTCATCGGTTTTAATCCAATTAGCTTGTTAGATATAATTTTCAATGAGTTTCATTATATAATCTGCATGTAATGTAATTGAATATACTCTGTTCTGGTCACTTTCTGACTGAGCTGATCGCAGAGACAAATTAATCCTTTGCTTTCATAGCGCAAGTACAGCCCCAAATCGTCTTCTATCGATATTAATATTATGAAGCTGAACAGTTTGTTTGTTTAAGCTAACCACAGGTATTACTGGTTTGAATTGAAAAAATATTTTTATGGAGTTTATCAAGGAAAGCTATATAATATCACGCTGCGACCAATAGGAGTGAAGAAACAGTAAAAAATTGGAAAAGACATCGAAACTTATTGATATTTGTGGTCTTATGTTGCGTGCGCGGCGAAAAAGGCGCGCACACAGCAAAACCAAAAATATATGTCAAAGAATGATTTCTCTTTAACTTATCTAAAAAATATCTGCGACAATATATGTATATCCGTAAAGATTAACTAGCAAGAATTGTTTTTTGGGTAATCAAATTTGGTCAAAAATGCATGATTACCAAATATTTCTTAGAGTTGTATCAACGTTATGATGTTAATCTTGCGAACAATATAGAAACGTTTGCCGGATTAACTAGTAGTCTTTAAAATCTAGATATTAAGCGGAAGACGAGGAACGAATTAATATTGTATAGACGCATAATAATTTAATATTTACATTTTTAAATAGATGTCTTGATTACTGCGTTTTCGAGCGTTGATTTGATATTTAAATTTGTATTTTAGGCGATAGATGATTTTAATGGCCAGGCCAAGAAGCTTTTATGTGTTTATATATAGCAGGTATTTCTTAAACTTATAAGAAGTACCTACTATTGCCAAAAAATGAAAGTGATTATTATGTATTTTGTTTCATTTAAATCTGAAGAAGAACATTTTGTTTATTGCGGTTCAATGGCTTCATAATCTAAACAAAACAGCAAAATATATTTGGAAAATCAAGAATTATTTTATGTAACACTTTCTTCAATCAAATAACGCTTCAAACGGATGGTTTACTTTAAACATGTTCCTTCGTGAACTCTACTACTACGCTACTCCGTAAATACGCGGTCTAAATGTAAATTATTTTTTATTTATCCAGACTCTACATAAGTGTTACTTGATGAATTTTAACAAATAAAGATCACGTAAACCTGTTGCTTTTTTATTTAAATTATTAAGACAATTATTTTATGTAATGCGATTTAAATAATTATTAACTGCTGTATAATGAAGTAAAAATTACATAATCTCATGGGGCGAACACATTTCGTGTTTCGTTGATCAATTTTAGATACAGACAAGTAGTTGATCAGACTACTGTACCCGGTGTGTAAACGTTTCCCCGAAATTCGCACTTGGTACATCTTGTACTTGACGCAATTTTGTGCAACGCGTTTGACTATTTTTCTTCAAAGACGACTTAAGTGCATACATAGATTATTACTATATATATCGCAGTCATCAGACACTAGTAACTACTTAATGAAGGTTTACGAGTCAATTCTTGCGATGAGAGCATCACCCATGGAATCGTACGCAGTCGGTCAAGTATCAAGAGATGGCCTTTAACAACCGGTAGGACGAGACAAGCTGTTCTCTGATTAAGTCGCTTTCCGAAGATTCAAACGTAATATGAATAATAATCAGCGACAGCAGAACATTAAAACTTGTACAACATAATTATTATTAATTTAATTGTGTAATAATGGTAATTCAATAATGATTCTTCAAATGTTTCAAAGCATCGTGTTCTCAGCGAAAATGTGCGGAACTATTGTCGCGGACTAATTTCATATTGCGAAGAATAATGTTCTCACAACAAGTGTTGTCTTCTTGGCTATTTGTGATTTGTAGTTCACAAAACAGTAGATTCGAGGATAAGTAGAACGAGTTTGTTGTGTTAATTCATAATTTCAGCATAAATTATTTAGGAGTAAAAAAAAGGTCAGAGTTCGCTGCAAGGTCGACCTTATAATCAACATATTATTTTCTGGTTAAAACATGTTATTAGCTATTTTAAAACTGTATATTTTAATCAACGCTCTGAGCATATTTTTCGCATTATGTATTAATGGGGATAATCAGGAAATAAACGTTTAATATTAAGAATATTCAAATGTATTAAATACTAGGAATAAACACGATATACCTATAAAATAAATGCTTTTTGGCTATACCCTAGGAATTTACGTAATTAATCTAATTATGTTTATATGGCAGTGTACAGAAATCACAATCGTAGAAATTTTAACTTGACGTTTGATTTGACTTTTTGGGAAGATCGGAGCTTCTAGAGTTTGTCAATAGCGGTGCATGTGTGGTAGTCCCACCGGCGAAGATTCTTATTTTATATGGACTCTCCTTGAATTCGGGAAAATGAAATACTATATTTGGCCGTTTTGTTGGATTCAAGTAAAGGTCGAATATTGATTGCGTTGAAGTTTTAATTCCACTTTTCTCCGTTGTAGCTGGAGTTTGGGCACTAAATGAGTTTCTTTGTGTTGGTGAAGACATTCTAGGTCTCGTTGTAGTGCCCTCAGTTTTAGGAAGTGGAGAAGTCAATCTCGTTTGTTGATTCCAAGACCTAGTTACGGTTGAACGGTTGGTCGTGGACTCCATGTATTGCGGCGTATATGAAAACCTCCTTCTGTTTAAAAACGTTGTACGCGTAGGCGACACAGTAGTTGACATAATCTGTGCCTTTGTTGTGCTAACGTCAGATTTATTTGAGTCAATATCGAACTTCATCTTTCTGCCAACCTTTTGTGGACCTGAGGATTGCGGTTTTGCTGTAGAGCCTTCTTCTTGGCTTTTTAACTTTTGCTCGTGTAATAAGTCGTTAACGGGTGAAGGAGTCGTTGAAATATTATTTTGTGCGTAGTATCTCTTTGATGTTAAATATGGTGTTTCAGATGTAAAATTAGTGTTAGGGGAAGAACTAGTTTCATCCTTAATATTCTTTATTTTTTCCTGCGATCCTGTCTCTCTTATTTTAAAAGAAAACACAGGTATCATTTCAGGCTTTGTGATGTTAGTGAATATAGTCGTTGACGATTTATCTATAGTAGTAGTTTTATTGGGTTCTCCAGATTCGTTTATATCATTTTTCTTATCATTATTTTCAACATAGTTATTTTTGAAAGACATCATTCTTCGCCGAAATTGGTTAGTTTCAATTCTTCTCGGATTCGGCGGCTTAATTCCTATTAATTCTGGATCTACAGTTGTTGTACGAATGGTTGTAGTTGTTGTAGGTGTTGAGTATTCGATCGGATTTCCATTACCAACAACGGGAGGTTTAAGATCATCTATATTATTTATTTTAAAGTGTGTTAAATCAACAATGTCTGTCTTTAGTAATTTCGTGTTTAACCATTCAAATGGATGCTTTTTGTTGACATTTGTATCTATTACGTCTACAGTAACCTGTTTAACATGATCTTCAACATTCGCATCGTATATTCCCCGTAAAAGGACATTAATGGGAACACTTGGAGGTTTCAGATCGTCAATATTGGGATATTTCTTATAAAGTGGAACAGCTGCATTATTATTAAGAGCTGCATTTTGCCATTTAAAAGTACGTCCGCGGTCTTCTAATTTATAAGGAGTTTCCTTAAACGAACCATCGCAGTCAGCAAGATATTTTTTCGCATTATGTTTGCAATAGTGAGGGTAAACAACCCAGGCTAGGAAACCATCGCCTTGCAGTCTCGTGTGTTCCTCATGGATTTGCAGGGCGCACTCTACGTCGTCTGCGATATCGTCATCCCTGAACGCGGAGCACGGGGCACCACATGCCTTACCCGGTCCGCACCAATATAGTTCACTGATCTGTAGCAATCCATGGTCACCACTATTGGGGTTGCGTGCTGCCGTATCGAAACGCGATTCGTGGAAAGCGATGCACACCCACGTCGCTATGTTATCCTTTCGAACACCGAGGCGATGTAAGTCGCGTGCTAGCTCGCAGCGCTCGTAAATACGTGCACCGGCTAACGCAAAGAGCGCGCTAGTCAACAACGCGACTCCAAACATTTCAATTTGCGTTTGCGCATCAAAAGCGTGTGCGCGCTTTTTTACTAGTGACCTCCCGCCGCGCGCCCTCCACCAATCCATGACCGGCCCGTATGTTAACGGTATACTTAACTGCAAGAGTAAACTGCCTTGCATTTTAGAGCAGTGACAAATGGGTTCATCTGCATTGATATTGATTGTAACCATTACATCTCTAATGATAGTCCAAGTGGTTCAGTGGTAACGCATGATATTAATATCTCGAGGATTTTTAACATGACAGCGCTGTAATCTTAACCGACATTGACAGTCACACTAACAATTCTCTCGCGAAAACATTACATGTATTTCGAATAGCTTATTTGGCTGTCAGCTATATGTCAGAACAATATTGACAAATTCTTTGTATCTATCCATCGAACAAACTTATAAAAAGGACAATTAAATGATTATTTATTACGACAATGAAATATAACACAATTCTATAAAACAACATTCTTTCAAGACATTTAACATGTAATGAAGATTTTTTGGCTTTGAATACTTACGCTGATCGATGTATGGATTTAATGTCTAAATTTTAAAGACACGCTAGGACCTGTATTGTTTATTAGTCATTCTTTTCATCTAGAAACCAGACCATAAAAATTAATATTAAAAAGACCTGTCCCACACTTTTATCGATCTATGTAATACGTTATCCGCTAAAACAATGCTATTGAAATTTGTTCAGGCGTATTGGTTCAGAAAAAAATAATAGGGAATTGATTATTGTGTTTATTTTATAATTCAGATTGAAACAATTGTTTTGTAGGTGAAAATTCGCTTCAAATAAAGAACTACATATAGTTGCGTATCTCTACAATACAATACAACCTCTCTACACTGTCACAGAAAAAAACACAAGTAATAATACAAGATCGATTCGTTGGTTTCATCGGGTCCATGGTTCGAGCCCCAACCGGTCCAACGTATCTATAATTTTTCCGAAACATGTTGAGCATCGTTTGTAAATCTGGATATTAATTATCTAACGACCCTTCACAGATGAAAAAGTCGGGAAGTTTATTCGCATTTCGGTTTCAGACTGTGAATTTCGGAATATCCAAAACAGACCGTTGGCTTGTTGACCTGTTTAATGACTGGTGTATTTCATTCATCGTTTCATTCGTCAATTATAAAAAATGTAATTGCGTAGCATTTATCGATGCATAAACAATGACATTCTTATCTATTTAAACATACCGTTAGAGTTATTATTTGGATTATTAATTGAATGGAATTAGATACAGTATATTAAAATTTCTCGACGTCCTAAAACGGTTCTCATGAATACATTAAATTCAATAAGCATTAAACCAGTTACTTAAATCTTTAATGTAAGCCTCATTACTTCAAAAGTAACGGGTTATATTAAAGTGTTTTGTTCTTCTTTTGTTTAAAACTTTAAATTATTTATAACTTGAGCGTGACTCAATGGTTGATGTTGACTAGGATGTCGAATCATGGGTCAAATATGGGAACAGACACAGAAATGTTTCCGCCGAATTTTGCATGTAGAGTAAATGTGATATCATATTTTTTTTGTTATGTTGTATACGCTCTAAGTTCTCTGTTTATTAATAAATTAATAAATGGCATTATTAATAAATGTTTCATGTATTAGCAACTTGTACTGTAATCAGCCTGTTCAACATTTTCAAGAGGTAATGCACGTCGTTGGCTAATTGACAGATGTCAGAGACACAGATGTACCAAAGGTATTTGGTACACAAGCAATAATTGAAGAATTATCTTACCAACACAACTATACAGTTCCATAGCGCCTGGGTATAAGCACCCATTCTCCTGTGTAATTCCTCCCGTTACGTTGAGGCAGAAGCAACCCTCGTGATTGTCCAGAAACCATTCGTTTACCGCGAACCGAGCAACTGGTATTCCATCGTACTCCGTGTCATATTGGTACTTTAGTTGCACCGACCTTGAAGGTAAAGGTAGAATTATCAACGTGTTATGATTACAAAATTCACTACCTACGTAGTACCTAACCCTTAAACACGAGATGTTCTGGATTCGGATCCAGGGAAAAATTAAAACTGTTCTGGTCGAGCAGGGAACAGAAGTCTGATCAACTATCTCGATATAAAACACTTTTAACAACATATAACGCCAAATGTATTAGAAAACTTTACAAATTATTTGAACTACGGCCCGACGTTTCGGATGCGTGACCGCGGCTGTTGCAAAGCATTCGCGTTAAGCCGTTGAAAGTGTTTTATTTCAATGTATACTACGGACAGTATTGGCTGTAAATAAAAAAAATGTCTGGTTAAAAAGATTTGTGCAAAAATGTCTGTTGTTGTTTAGCCATGTATTGCTACTTGTGTAATTGTTAATCAATAGTAATATATAAAGCAGAAGAGTTTGTTTGTTCGAACGCGTTAATCTCAGGAACTGCGGTCGTATTGAAAAATTATTTAGGTGTAATAGTCTATCTTTTAAGCAAGATGTTGTAAAATGGTCGACTACTTACCGACAAATATCTAAATTCAGCGCAAATACCGACTCATCTCGATTAACAAATGGGGCGTAAATGGCCGAATCAGTTCCATTCACCATATTACATATCCCTGGCCAGGTACCGTTGTCATTCTCTTGGTGCACCCAGTTGTCTATAAAAGTGGATCCGTTAAATAAATTGATCAGACCAAGCTTAGTGTGATCTTCTATTCCCCTATGTACTTCGTACAACTCGGTGGGAGTGTTGTTTTTCTGGAACAAAAAGAGCGATTTGTTTTTATAGGTACAAATAAATAAGAAAATAAATATATGTTAGGTTTGAAAATTATACTGTAAATATAATACCAGCTCGTTAAAAACTACATTACGTTTAAATTTACTTGGCAATCATTGTAAGGAAGGTTATTTATTTATTATTTGATTTCAATGATTATATTTTTCAATTACTGAATTAAATATGACAGCCTCTCTGGTTTAATATAGTTCCACCGGGTCCAATGTGCTTCTGTCTCTTTCGCGTTCGGGCTTTTAATCTGAGAATTTTCGAATCCGAAGTGAAACCAACCCCTCCCCCCCCCCATTGGCCCTTGCATTCGATATTGTTGTTTAACTGATTCTATTCGCCAGTTATACCTCCTACTTGATTTGAAGCCAGAATATCCTTAGGTTTTTTATTGAGCAGGTCTTATACAACGGTCATATTAAACGAATACTCACATAGTTCAGAATGGTGAATACAAGTGAACCGTCTTCTAATTCCACTAAATTCTTAACGTTCGCACCAATTGATCGAATCTGGGTACATGCGATCCCTCCTAGAAGACCTGCGTCCTTACAAATGGGGATTCCGTCGAACAAGAAGTCGCCAACTCTAACTGTCATGATGGGGTCATTATTTGCCCCAAAAACTCCACTCATTCCCAAGCTCAAAGCACCCATTAGGAACGGGAATAGTTTTTCAGCCATTTGGAGAATTCCCTAAAATAAATACATACAATACATGTAGTTTGATAATAATTTAATAGCATGATATCGCACTCCCTGTATATAAGTACAAAAAACACACAAGAATCACTCGTCTGTACGTAAACAGACAAGAATAACTTGTCTGTACATAAAACAGACAAGAATCATTCGTCTGTTTATCTACTGACATAAACAGTCTTCTAGTCTCTGGCCCACGGAATTTACGCTGCCTTGCGTTTCGAACTTAGGACCTCTCGTTCTCAGTGAAACAACATGTCAGCGGAGATGCGGTATCGATCATTGACGTAGTTATAATATTTTCAATAAAACTAATACTTTTTAAAATTAAGATCTGAAAGTTGAAATAAAGCTTTCGGAAATAATAAACTTGCAATTTTCAAATATCGAATCTTTTAGCCGACTTTACTAACACGATAATGATTAAATACTGTCTATAGTTTACGCGAGTAGTACACATTTAAATAAAACACTTTAACGGTTTAAAAAGCGATATATTAGTTAAACTTATTTGAAAATGATTTTTAACGTCCCCCGTGACCTGTCTATTGCATCGCTTTGAGCATAGAGAGGATTTTTAACTAATCTAGAATCTAGATATCTATTAAAAATATTAATTCACTTGTGGAAAGTTCCGAGTCATTAATGATAATAGACTGTGTGACAAACAAGTATTAATAATAATAATTGTTATTGTTATAATCCTTTTTAGACAAACTGTGATGATGCTAAAATTAATTACGAATGCAAAATACATTTATTTACAAATAAAATGTGAAAGTGGAGGTAAAAAAATTAATAATAGAAATCAGCCTACAATTATTACAAAGAGCGAGTCATATTCTCGCAAGAAGCATGCCGTATACAGAATACAAATTTTTTATTTTACTTTTTTTCTACTTGATTCGAGTCATTGCTTTAAGAACAAACGTTGCTTCTAGGTAAAATACAAAATTAAGTATTATTAATGAATGTATTATTAACAATATCAATTTCTCTTCTTAAAGTCTACGATATCGTATCAAAGTTTCAAACCTCAAATAGATATCGAAACGTGATTAAGATAAGAGAAACTATTTTTTCAACATGTGCTTACCTACGCAAGTTAATAACAAATAAGTCGATAGCAATTACACAATTAATGATAATGAAGGATTATAATAATTTCAACACGTTAAAATTAGGTTGTCAACATTCTCTTTAGATAACATTGTTAATAAAGATATCGGAACCGCGGGCAAATACATTATATGTATTACAGCTGAGGAACTTCGAAGCAAAAATACTTTTCCGTACAGGTCTCATCGTTTTAACGCTCACGTTGTCTATCTTCGCTTTAAGAATCAGATTTGTGATAATAGCCAGGACTAAAACCTCTCAAATTATAGATCAAAGATTAAGTACCATAGAAATGTAATCTATATAGCGGCAACTAAAACATATCAACCAGGTACGCGAAGCTAAACGCTACTTTTTCAATTAGAGTCCAACTACGAGTATTTCGTAAAATATTTTACTTGGCACGTCAAAGCCATTTCTAAAAGCAAATTATACACTCAGTCAACAGGTAGAAATGTCCCAACTATGCAATCAAATAGAGGGGGAACCTAAACCTTTGAAGCGTAGTTTTCAGTAACGAGATGTTAGAGCCACCCAAAACACCCGCTTTGGAAACAATTTTCCAGCTTTAGTATTGTTACATATTTTTATTAGTGGAGCGCAAACGGACATTTGTGAAAAGTAAAGTAGAGAACGGATTAATGAGTTGGCCTTTTTTTTAAACTTTTCGTTCAAAGCTATTCGCAGTTTAAACTGTTTGAAAAGTTCATAGATAACTTTTACATTTTGCAGATGATAATAGGGATTTCTGTTTAATTTACTGTGAGTTAAGCAAGAGTGGTGGCTGTTTGATGTTTATTTTTTTTAAGAGGATATTCGGAATTTCACAGACTACAACTGTAGCAAGACTTTATAATGTAACAACTTTTTAATCTGTTAAAATTGGTTCTCCGACTATTAGACGTGCTTAGTTTTTTAAGGAAGTCCAATAGTCGGAAAGAATTTCCTTTAAATTTTATTGAGTTATTAGATTATTAGCCTTCCCTTATTCAACGAATAAATGTCTTTCGAAAACAATGAAAAAATAATTTTTCCAGACCACTGACGTTATGTCATTTAAAAAAATCAAATTAAAAATTAATATTTGAATTTGGAATTCGTTAATTTATTTGAGAAGACAAAATACATTATTACGTAAGTATATGCAGCAGACATTTCAATAACCAATTAATACTGGTTTGTCTGTATGCCACCTTCGTCCGTTCGATCAAGAGAATATCTCCTATATTATTTCCCATGGCAAAACGCCTTAGGCCTTAAATACAGCTCGCTTTGTTTGCAGTCTGCATTTCATGTTCGTAATTAGAATGTCTTTCGCAGGGTTTTTAATTTAATTAACTTTTTATAAAGCCCATAGTTTCTCTTGGCCTTGAATCTCACATATTTTCTGGTTTACGTTAAGTATAAAGAAAACAATATATTTTCAAAGGAAAGTGTGTTAAAAAAAAAAGATTGTGCTTTATTAGATACAAAACACGGGGCAGGGAGCAGAGACCGATACTGCCCCATGGGGCAGTATGAGTAGTATCGATGTATATTTCACCGTTGCATTAACAGACAAACTTCTGTGCCCTCTCCGATCGAATCTAATAAATATACCCAGTATTCAAACCTAGGACCTTTTGCGCTTAACTCAACCTGGGTTTAGGTTAAACAAGTGGAAATCACCCAGCTAAATATTACTAGAATACCTCCTCCATTCTACTTAATCGAGAATATAATCATCTGACAAGGTAGTTACTTACTAATGAAGCAGAAATAATCTGTCAAGCCATTTGGGGTGTAAAGCGTAACAAACATACATTAAACTTTCGCATTTATAACGTTGGCTTCGTACACAATAAAAATATACCTACCGATGTAGTGTATTGTTTATATCCCACGACTTAATCTGCTATTAAACTGTAAATATACCTACATATGTAATATCCTGGAATCTTTGATATAATTTAATGACAAACTACACGCGACCGTAGTTATGTATAAGCGGGTGGTAACAATGCTCTCGATTGCTCAATCCAGTTCTTCAGGATAAAAAGCCTAACAATAATAATGATCTATATTTAGTATAGTGTTGCTCTAGTTTCAAACAAACATATACGTAATGTTTTTTTTAAACCTCTAAACAGACAACAACTCAATATGTATTTATAAAAAGTATCTACTTCGATTAAAGTAGTAAGTTTGACTTTTGTGACCGCCCTAAATCGAATTACTTGAGGAAATAGATTTTTTGTTTTTCCGAATTTCCAAAGCCAAAATAGAGGGACATCGCATATTGTTTAGATCTTATACGGCTGAGGTATCCTATGTCACGAATAATACTGGTACCTACTTGATCAGACATCTGTGCCGTGCCGGACCGAAACATAAGCGGTACATCTTATCAAGGTCATGCAACTTAAGAAATTATCTAGTAAATTTTCAGTTTATTTATCTATTCAGGTCAATCATAATTCTATTAAAAATCGTTACCACAGATTATATCAATCACGGCTTCAGCCATATTAGCAGATAATTGTAATAGTGTTAGCAGCATCGGTAATTTAATTATTCGCTTAGCAAACACTAGTCAATTAATATAGACGCAAGCGAGTAATGAAGAGCCAATAATAATAAATAGTGATATTTTCCTTCCTTTGAATAATTCGCAAAGCATTTATAAGCAATATTTAATTGCAATTTTCATAAATTGGAAAAGGTAACGATGAAAAATTTAATATTTTTCAAACGTTGACACGATGTCATTATATAAATTAAAAATCGATTATATTTTGAAAACATTTACGACTCGAGCAGGACTTGTGCCCTCGTTGATGTGGATGTCGGTTCAAGTCCAAGCTGCTCAAGAAGTTTTTTTTTTCAATTTATAATCGATTCTTGTGAGATACCCATGTGTTTTGCATTTATGTTACAGTCGGGCTCGTTGGTGTAATGGTAGCAGAGTATGGCCAATAATCAAAGGGTCGCCGTTTCGATCACCACCAGGCTCAATTTTTCTAAAACGCCTCGTCGGGAAATCTGGATATTAAATAGGTGGGAGAAATATCGAAATTCCGTCCGGATCACGAACCACAGATGAAAAACGACGCTCAATCGCGTGTCGGTTTCATTCTGTGTCAGCGAATATTGAGAGCCGAAATAAGTTGACAGTGCATCTTTTTTAGATATTATATGGCTGATGATAATGATGGCTTGTCTACTCTTCTATCATAAAAAACGAAAATGCACACATTTTTGTGACCTTACAAAATCACACAGTCGCACACAGGGTCACAAAAATGTGTCTATTATTTTAGAACTAATCATTGGATTCGATTATTAATTGATAAATTTTGAAAGTGAAACATCAAACTATTATGTTAATATTAATAACTATAACATTTTGACAGTTTATTTTAACTGGTATTGGTATAACAAACCACAATTCAAACCTTGCGGTATGCAGTCCAGTACTGTAATACGACAAAGCTGTTGATTGATTGGGCATAATTAGTTCTAGGGTGCAATATATGCTTAGTTACCGCCCTGCAGGCCGTTACGTCGTTATAATCAAAATGTAGATAATTTAATTTTCAATTTGGGCTCGAATTTAGTGCATGTACCTACGCTGCGTGTTACGTGAATTTAATTAAACTCGAATGCAATGTCTAAATCAAATTGCGTTTCAGATACAGCGGGGAAACGATTTGAATAACAGTAATTATAGGTGACTGGCCGGAGCATTTTCATGTCATTAAGTTATGATTTGATCCCGCTTTATCCATAATAATATGGGATGATAGAGGCAGAGTAGCCTAATAACAAAAACCATTATTTTCAATAGGGGGGATAATAAAAATACGCAATTAAGTTAGGCTAAAATAAATCTGTACTATTATTTGTGTAAGAATTATTTGAACAATATTCGGTCACTGTGCTCTTGTACATTAACATTTTTAGACTATAAAAATATAAATAACTTAAGTCATAAATAATGCAGTTAGACTACTTTGCCTTAGAAATCTATTTATTTATTTTATTTATTTCACACTTAGGTACACCAAACAGAACATACAGATACTATGCAATTTAAAACTATGGAGTATAAATGTACCGTTTAATAATTATTTATTTCTCAAATGATTACAAAGAATATCCTACTGAGAAACTAGGGCAATTTGTTTTTTTAACTTAGCTAGTTTAGTGATACCCTCGCCGTCTCATAGTTTACAATATAAGTTATATTTGTCTATATAAAAATCTTAGACCAATATTTTAACGGAGCGTAGCGTTCGACAAGATTTTTAACGGTTGAAAACTTTTAACGGTTGAAACAAAATATCTTAGTTAATTGTTTTTTAAATACGACCCCACGTACCTTGTGACGACGGCTGCTGAAAAATATCCGTAACGTCGGATGGTGTGTAATAATGTATAGTCGCATATTACGCGTTTTGAATTGTTAAAAGTGTTTAATGTAATAAGATTACTTCTACCCAGTTATAAACCGACTAGTATCTGTAATTTATCTTATAAAAAAGAGAAACAATTTGCTACCTCATTCCTCGAAGTTATGTATGATATGTTTTAGTCTATCTTTTGCCTCTATAATCAGTTTTAATTTTAAACCAATCTCTTAATTTACCCATTATTTTACGCACTAATTGTTCTCAAACTGTTATCATTAAATCGATGGAAAATCTTGCACTAAAAATTATGTTTTACCATAGAATTTCTGGGAGAGAATTGAGAAATAGATTTCTATGGAAGGTATATTAGTCACGGAACATAGTGAAACTAGAAGCAAGCATTGTCTGCTATATACTTACGTGGTAAGGGACATTCACAACTGTAACCATATCATCTTCGGTGTAGGGGTAAGAGGCGTTAGCGTCAAATTCAAAAACGTTCCTAATTCGATATTTCACAATATCGCCGTCGAAATTTTCAATTTCCCTCGTATTAAAAAGCCTGCAAAAGATATTTTCGTTAATGAAATTAATCAATACAGCTTATCGCTGCTCGGCTTAACGTTATTAAATGAATTAATCTTTTAAAATATTCGAATACGTTCATGAACATGAAGTAATATTACTTTGTTCGCTTTGTGGTTTTACATTGGCTTTAAAAGCAAGATTATTATTTCGACACATTAGCGGTTATTAATTAAACATTAGTATTAATACAAGTATTTTAATATTAATAATTGTGTAACTGCTCTTTTGTCTTCCCTGTAAAACTTTGTTACTAAGAGCGAGGTCAGTAAGCCTCGGATTGAGAAGAGACATTTTAAAATTACACAGTCAAGTTTAACAGAATGATAAGCTTGTCTAAAATCGTTCCGGGAAAATGGACAAAAAATGTATCCGTTCCAGGCGAGCCATATTATTGGCACCTGGCAAAAGATTGAATTCGTGTCGTATAAATATTCACTTCATAATAACTTAGTGCTGCAAAGCATGAAATCGACAAAATGGGCATCTTTGGAGGAGGCCTATACCAAACCGAGGCTCTTGTTGATTTATAAGTTTCTTAAATATATATTTAAATAACAAACATATTCTAAGCTTACTAACAATATTTGTTTAATGTAATGTAACAAAAACTCATGTAAAAAACAAAAAATTAAATTGATTAGCTTATTATTATAAATATCTTAGAATAATAACAGTAATAATCAATAAAAATCTTGGTTTCGATAAGCGAAAACATTGACGTAGCATTGTAAAGATAAGCATTTCAATTAACACCTCACAATTACGATGAAGGACATAAAATAATTTAATACACATATTACATTGTAAATCGCATATACTCACGTGAATTTCAATTACATATATTATTTATATATTTTAAAAAACCTGGTAAAATTCCACGCCATAATTACCTACCTGTGAGACATTGACCGATTTATTGACTGTATATCCCCAAAAAATTTGAATACCAGAAAGTTAGACATTTATTATAATTATGGGTATAACTTTCTGGACTAACACCTTTTGACAGATGACAAAATTGGTTGAATTTAAAATTGTAGGATAAGTCGAATACGGTACCCTGTTTTCAGTCGCACCACCAGTCAAGACCAGCACGGCCCCACACTTCGTTATTCGTCGCCTAGCTTGTTCTATAAAGTAAAATATGCCTCTCGTGCTTGATACTTTAAGTTTAACTCCTACTTCCGAATCCCGCGGTATCGATAAATTGTTCGGTTGTGTAAGTAAAATCGATGAGTAAAACGGACCCAGAAATTTGTTCACCCCCCATGCCTTATTGGGAAACTTCACAATCATTTGTTTTTACGGGCGACACTTAGCTTATCTTATTACATAAGCACTTAGGTATTCATATATTAAAAGCAATAAATACTACTTAGGATTCATAGAATAAGCTAAGTCATACTTATAAACATAGGGTCCCATCTCCGTGACATCTGGGACTGCCCCAGCACGAACTTCGACCGGATTAGTTATGTTGAAGACTCTGACTTTGAAATGAAGTGGAAATGGTATCTCTTGAAATCTCTGCATGGCTTCTGTGTCGTTCGCCAAAGCCACTTCCTAAAATATACAGAGATTAAACATGCGCAAGAGTCCTTAAGTTTTATCCTTAATTTTTGTAAACATTTAAACACTTAACGGTTCAAAACGTGAAATATATTAATTTAATCAGGTGTGTCGCATTGCAGCAGCTATGGTACAGTTAAAAATAAATTAAGTATTTCACGTTTTAATCCGTTAAAGTGAAACTTAAAGGAGATTTTTATAACAATTGCAATATTACGTTAACCTTAATACATTGTGTATTATTTATAAACTTGTTTGTTTTAACAGAACACTGAAAACGTTTCTTTCAAGGAGGCAATTATGACATCTTGTATTGTAATTGGTCAATACAACTTTATAGCAATTTTTAAGATCACGTAAAAGTTTAAAACATTAAGGAATTGCGACGACAGAACTATTTTTCGTAGTTAACTACTTTAAACAGATTTTTTTGCATTTAAGTAACTCATACTCTGTCCATCAAACTTCGTACTATCGAAAAGAAATATTTAGGTAAACTGTTACTCTTATATAACATTAAAACCCTATAACGGTTAAATTAAATCAATGTTAAGTTATATATCGGTAAAAATTTTAGACTACTAAGCATCCCCGCTATACTTACGTCGAGGATAATACTTTCAACGAGATTTGGCACCAGAACAAAGCTTATAATACAAGTCACTACAACTAATATTAGACCTACAACAGCGGTTATAATACCGCATGTCAACTTCGAACACATCTTAAAGTAAATGAGATATAAAAAGTCGTGTTGCAACTTCTTAACACAATGAAGCTAATGTTGATAATGTGGGATTGTTAACTTATTGTGTATTGATAGCGTTATAACTATCTGATTAGGGTTCATTGATATAATTCTACGCTAAGGTAAGTAAAAAGTATTAAAAAAATGTTTATTTTTGACGGCCTCACTGGTCTAATGGAAACAATGTATCGTTAATAATCAACGAGCCGTGGGCCCTATCCCCACTGGTTCCAACGTCTTGTTAATAAATTTATAATTTCTACCTTTATGGTACCTGGATATTAAATGAGTGGGAATATCTAAATTCCGTCAAGATAACGAACCACCGGCCACACATGAAGCCGCGAAGATTTATCGAAATTTTCAGTGTATTTCCGAATATCCAAAGCCAAAATATGCAGAAGGGGCGGATCTAGCTTTGGCGCCAGGAGGGAGTTACATAGACGTGGTCAAGTCAATGCCTTTTAATTTAATTTTCATTACAATAGATACAAGTAAAACGTACTTAGATATTTTAATAATGTACAGTACATTAATAAAATATTTATTCTTAGTTGTATACTTAAATAATTTATCATTCAATTAGTGGTCTACGTAAGGCCTGAAACCATTTCGGAGGGGGGGCTGGATCCGTCGGTGACGTTTTATAGCGCTGGAGCATTTCAACTTTCATCAAGTAAACGCTCCTACTACAAACAGGCAGTCGTTAGTTATATTATGTATACATCAAGACCGGTTTAACCGAATTAGCTGAAAATTGGTGGACATGCAACATCAAGGAGTCTCTAAAACATATGAAATAACAAAATGCCAGTCCTTGAAATATGAAGTCTGAATTTAGCAAATATTTTTTGTCTATACGTTTAATAAAATTATCACTGAGTGGGGTTGATACTCGTATTGACTGAGTTATAGAATAGAAAAACACATTTTCTTTATGTACCGTAACTGTATCTCCCAGAACTACTCGAGTAGTAGATAAACTACTGTTCATTTTAATTAAATGCAAATTTTACTGTTAAAATTTTATTTCATTAAAAAAGCGTACTACTTTAGTAACAGAATTTCGCTTGAATTCACCATTTATAGTAAATAATAGCTCATAACTTATAGATCACTAACTAAATTATAATCCGTACTTAGCGGAATTTTCGACTGATGGACATATTTATAAAAAATTAATCCAAGTACAATCAATATTAAAACTTTATCATTAAATTATTAGGTAGGTATGTGTTATGTAAAAGTAACGATATTTCGATAAGGCAAATGAAGAAGTAGAAAGGTTATTTTTTTATTTCACGGTGACTTAGCAATCTAATTAAATCAGGAGTCGAACCCCGGGATGTTCAAATATAATTTTTGAATTAGTCATATATATTGGCTCTGCTGTTCTGCGCTAACACTACGAAAACGTAAATAAACTCGGTCTTTTAAAGAACCTTTTGGTTCTAAAATAAACTACATTTAGAAATTCATAGCTCTAAAGTCCTGTTACCTGATAAGGGCATGGGGGTAGAGTCAAATGTCTTACTGATCGTTTTAATTATAAGTAGTTGCTTGACTAGCAGAGCCATAGACTGCTGTGCCCTGCCCAACCAAATCTATTGCTTACCGGGATTTGAACTCAGAATCTATCTAGAAAATAACCTCTGGCTATTTTATGATAAAAATATTGCTTAATTACTAATACTTTGGAAATATTTATCTGATTAGTCGATAGCGTAATTTCGTAATTGATAAAAACAACTTGCTACTAGATACATCAAGTACAGGCGTGGAAGAAAATAAAATGAAAAAATCATTGAATATCTTTATTGATAACTATGACATCGATTAAAATCTCTCATGGATAGTACAGACAGTCTAGAATCATTTCCAATAAGTGTCTTAAAAAATAATAAAAAATCAAAGAATTTTTTTTAATTATATTCGTTCGATCTGTACCTTCCACTACACAAACGCTGAAACTATTTACATAAAAATATTTGTGCAAGCTCGTTATATTTTTGTAACTGTGTTTAAAATTATAAGGGAATACTTCTGAATGTACATAAAGTTGACGATAAAACTTTTCGATCGAAACATTATATATACTTGTATTAACAATCATTTAAAACGTTTAAAATGAAGTGAAATAAAATGTAGATTTGTATAAACGGCAGTTTTCTTAATAGCTCGGGTAATTTCTGCAAGCTTTACGACTTGCTAATATCCCCCTCGGCAGTGTTAGAACTGGTAATGAACCCAAACCTAGTGGTAGCTTGGCTAACGTTACATTTAGATAAACTTTGAACTTCCACTAGGAAAACTAAGACTTGCTTTCCGTTAAAAATGTTAAAAGTTAAAACAAAGGAATGCGATATGTACAACGCAATAATTGTACTAAAGATTATCAATATGAATTTTTGGCAGTTGCTATGTTAGTAATAAAACATAAAAGTCATCATTTGTAAAGTTGACTTGTACCCGACAATTTGTATTCTAGAGTGTGATAAATTATTGTTTAAAAAGATCCTTGAAGGACATTTGAATACTGAAAAAATCCAGTCAATAATTCTAGGCTTCTATAGTCTATATTTAAAACGGTTTTACCTTCGGTCAACACTGCATCTACATAAAGCCTCTCAAAATGAAAGGCTTCAGACATAACACCATTCAACATCCAGTGAATTAATTATTCCTAAATACAAATAGATTTAAACCGGTTTTAAATCAAGATGGCACTTGCACGAAAGCCACGCAACAAACTAATTTGCGGATATTTTATATGTATTATGAGTTGTTGATCGAAGGCTTTTTCTCATAATTACTTTAGTAACTACCACTATGACATTCAAAGCAGTCATGTGGGGAACACATAGAATCTCGTTTAAATAGACACATATTTCGGATAAATTCAATAGGTTTGACGCACAGCAACTTTTAAATATTACATTTCAACATTTAACATCTGTTGTATGTTCACAGATAGAAATTCTAATCTATTAGTGCCTATCTAGTTTAAAGTAGAGTACGATTAATAATAATTATTAGAAACCTTATTACTTAAAACTTACTTAATTGGACTCGATTTACTGCGAATGTTACTATATATTATTGTATATATGATAACTACATTGAACCACATATTGATTTACTATCCACAGAAACTTACGTCGGTTTGTGTTTAACAGTTTAGGCTTTATTTTACAGCTGAAAACATTTATGAACACCGATACATGAACAATTAATAACCCGTATTCTATTAATGTCTATAAAGTAGGTTTTGATAGAGATCATTATCTAAGCAACACATTTAGGATTAAATTCTAGTTGCGAAGGTTTCTAAAAATTATATTATTACAAATGTGTGTGTACTGCATTTGTCAATAAATTTTGTCTAGGCTAGTTATATGCATTGATCGATACAAAAAATGACAAATATGTAAACACCAATTATATGATTTTACCTAAAATTGGATACATTTTAAAATGAACTTATTTCTATGTAAAAAAGGGTATAATTTGCAGATGCCAGTTTAAAATACAGTCCTCACTCCCCGGTACGCTAAAGGTACGAAGTCTAAATAGATAAATTTAGACCCTGTTTCATTTTACCTCTCAGTCTTATAGAGACATGACTCACGAACATTCCAAATCCGATTTTTTATTCCTATTTACAGATTTCAAAAATAAAATAAAATCGTACAATAAAACTTATTGCTAAAAGAATTTCCTTTTATTTTAAAAGGGATATAAAACAAACAGTAAGAACACTTCACAGCCGTAGCTCAGTCGTCTCCATTTACTACGACAAATTGAATACAATAATTAAAATATTTCACATCCATTTGATAAAACTTTCAAGTTCGCTAGATTATTGTAACATATAAAAACGCGCAGAACCCAATTGCATCGTATGAGACAATGGAACGATATCTATAACTATATTTACATTGCGTAGGAATAATTTCAGTAGTAAAGCTTATCTCACCAACTTAACCTAAAAATAATGTCTTAGATATTCTTTGGATACTGAAAAACGATAAGACCGTAACACCGATAACAATGCACGAGTTAAAATTACTCAAAACAAATGTGACGGGGTCGTGTGCGCTTTTATATTATACATTATATATGGTAAAACTAGTATTATTCGGAGAATATTATATAAATAACATCGATATTCTTTGACAGCTTTATGTACGAATCAAACAAATTTAATTTTTACAAATCTAATCTAAACTTAACCTACGTATGTACATTTCGTATGAACAGTAAAACATGAAGATTAAAACACTGTTTGGTAGCACGGCAATGGGTCAACGGGTACCTTATTTGACGTAGCTTCACGTACGTATCGGACATGTTTCACGCCCGACTCCCACTCCTAACGAGGCGACACGGGTTCGGGGGTGGACCTCGTATCGACGCTACAACGAGTCGACGTCGGTCTCGCGGGCTTAGTCGTATTTGAGTATGGATTCGATAGAGAAGTCAGGCCTGCGTCGTTGTTGTTGCTCAAGGTTAATGTAGGCCTGGACGGTACGCAGCGGGTCGGGTTCGCCTCCGCCGCCGCCGCCCTGCTCATTTCAGCTGGGCGGCTTTGGCTGAACCTCGCGCATTATCAGCTAAGATCAAATAAGTCCCCATTACTTAAGGTAGTTCAACTCAGAAGTATCTGTTCACTTGATCCATAGCAAGAGACTAAAAAAGAACAAAAAGCACGGGGTAATAGCCAAACACGGACAAATAAAAAATGCGACATAATATGGAGCGGGGTTTTGTACTGTCAGCGATATATACACCAATACTAATTGGTACTGATAATAGCTTGGCTTTGGTTCCTAATATTAATATACGCCGTTTGTATTAAACTTACAGTACAAAATCCATCTAATAGCTCTCGTAAAGCAACAAAAATGCCTAATGCAAATAATAAAACGAAAGTTCATAATAACAAAAGCAATCGAAGTTAAAACTCGAAAGCAAGAAAGCAGAAACACATTTATGTTTTTTTTTTATTAAAATCCACTTTCACTTTTTCCCGCTTCTTATGCGTTATAGCTTTATTTTTATTTAGACGCTTCTTGCTTTCGCTGCTTAATCTACGATTGGGGGAAAAATGACATTAAGTGCTATATTTATTCATTTCGCTGCTTTTTGATGTTCACATCCTTAGCACTGCTTTTTGAAAACGAGAATAATATTTTTTTGCTGTAGTTGCGGCGTGAAAAATGCTTATTCTAAAAGGATTTCTTTATTACATACTTAGCACTGCTTTATTTAACGTAGCATAAGAAATAATAGGAAACGTAAAAACGTATAAAAACATTTGATAAAAAAATGACAGTAGAGAGCTGAAAAAGCAGTGCTTAGTATGTGTACACACTTTTTCAATTTAATTGAAATAGGGTAAATAAAATTTGACAAAAATTGAATTAATTTTCTTATTAAAGTACCTGGTGTTGTCTTTCAGCGTTGAGCGCGTCGGGCGCCCTAACTGGCGGTGGTGGGCGAACCTGCGCAGAGCTTTCCCGCGGGCATCGTGGTGGCTCGGGGGGTCCTGAAGTCACTGTTGCAGAAAAACAACAAACTTGATTCGAAGTACAAAAGTCACTTTTTTATTCTATAAGTACTACACTGCGTTTAAATGTGCACTCTATTTTCTTTTTCTTAGCGTATATTATTGCGGTGCATACAAACGTGAAAAAAACAAGATGGCGGATTAATGTTGTCTAAAAAGTATTACGTCATTAATATATTATAAACAAAATTGTAAATTAATATAAAATGTTTAAGTTATTTTAAAGAAGTTTTTATTTCCTAATAGTATATCGTTTTTAAATTTTTCTTTCATTTAAAATTACTAACTTGTATTTCAGATGTATATTAATATCAATTTATGATATTTATTTTGTATTCAGGCGATAAAATGTAACAACTCAATTAACTAAAGGTAATTAGCCATATGATTCGTTGATGGGCACCGGTTCCCTCTCATAGGAGAGTTACACTAAAAGCCACCAAGCTGCTACCACAACAAGCTTTATACGCTCTTTGAAACTCGGGGCGACGTCTTCTACTTCCAAATTCTGTACTGGTATTTCTTAATAACAATTCCAAATACTGAACTGAAGTTAAGCCCTCGTGAACTGGAGCGTGGAGCATCTTAATAAATTTATTAACTTTAATAATTCTTTGACATCTTAGTAAAATTCCATTTGACGAATTCCTGTGTCGATACTGACCCATTACAGATTTCTGTGGCATTTTTCACCGAAATATAACTGTTAGAAGCTATCGAGTTCCCGGGACTCGAACCCAGGACCTTTCGCGCTTTAGCCATCTTCCACTTATGTCACCCCACCCTAAAACCCTTCACTGGTTGCGGCTTTGTCGAGAAAATGAATATAACGCACATTAGGAATCGGGTTCCCATTATGCATCGTGATACAGAAATAACACAAAAAGCCTCTTCACAAATAAAGGGGATGGCGAAGCAGAAATTATTAACACAGAAAATTAAAATAATAAAAACCAAGGCAATTTCAGAATCATATACATTGAAAAACTTGCACATCAAGATCTAGTTGGTGCTAACGTCTACTTTAGTGATTGCAGGAGGTTTCAAGTTTCAAGCGTAAACATCCAGCAAAATGGTTTGCAAAATAACGCCGTTACTAATGGCAAATATTGTCTGTCGTTTACGCGAGTAGTACACATTTAAATAAAACACTTTGAGAGTTTAAAACGCGATATATAGTGGTTTAAACTTATTTAACGGCCCGACGTTTCGGATGTCTTGCAGCAGCCGTGGTCAAGGGGAGACTCCGGATCGGACCTCCTCCTCCAAGTGTTTATTTAAGTATGTCGTTTACTCATTTTTTACTACAACTTTTACCGTTTTGAAACAGGAAATAAATTGTTCAATATGTCATGTTTTGAACTGTTAAAAGTGCTCAATTTAATGTTAAAATTTCACTGTTCCTCCATTATGTTTTATGGGACGTGGCGTTTATTAGAAGACCAGTTTACCCGAGTTATTGCATCGACGTAAGACGTATTAACGTTATTGTATTGTTGAATCTACGAGTATCGCACGAAAATGATCCTAACTAATTCGTGCAATAATAATTTAGCTCATAGTTAAGCGTAACATCGACCACATCATATTTACAGTTGATGCCACTTCAAACTGCTATATGTTGCGCCGATCTCAATTTCCACTAAAAGTAATCTACAATGAGAACGGATTGAAACACGTCACTATAAAGATATCTATTTGCGCTTCTAGATTTTTTCGAAGAGGAATTTTCTAGAACCGCTGTAATTTAACACGGTTTTGACTGTGCTAGTTTTGCGATGCCTTAATGCACCTGCAGTCGGTAATTCACTGCCGTTTAGAGACATACCAGCGGTCAGCGGTATAGCTAGTCGGGCATTGACAGCCAATAAGTGATCGCGCCGCTGCAGTAAATTGCCGACGTGTTCTTCTAAACGTACATTCTCTGTTCGTAGTTGGTGCAGACAGGACAGCAACGAGGCAACTGTTAAATTGAAATCAACCCTTAGAAGTGTACACAAGCAATCCAAGAAACAGCTGCAAATACAGCACATTATATAACTGTAAATAATAATGTCGACATTTCGTTCGTCTCATGGAAGTCTAAAACCAGCTGATGATGTGGTTGGATCGGAAGGTAAAGATTTCATATTACAGTCGTTTAAAACATCAATGAATGCGGGCTTTAGATGTTCAAATGAAAGTTAGAAATAATTAAAAGTAAAATAAAAAAAATGTATTCGTTAAATTTATAGGAAAATGCAAGTTGTTACATACAACATTAATAGGATTTTATTCAACATATGCGGAGGTCATGCACAATTTTATGCATGCTTTGGCGATGCACATGCAAGTACGAAATCACATTAAGGGTGAAGACGATGTATCGCTCATATTGATTTATAAATACACGTAAAAACATTTCTCTGGAATAAATAAAAATAATAATTTCACATTTACTAAATCATTTTTTAGTTTGTTCATGAAACATACAAAGTATACAATTATGGATAAATAAGATCTCTTTTGAACGTATTTAGAATTAAATACTGTCTATAGTTTACGCGAGTAGTACACATTAAAATAAAACACTTTAACGTTTTAAAACGCGATGTATATTGTAAACTGTTAAACTTATTTCAAAATTAATAAATTCAAATAAGTTTAACTAATTTATATCTCGTTTTAAACCGTTAAAGTGTTCGATTCATTTAGAATTATGTTAAATTTCTATGTGGTATCAAAAGAGACCCAAATATCAATGAACCTACCACCAAAGCCGAAACCATTTCACCACTTTTCGTTCATATTTTTAAGACCTCAAACTGAATAATAGCTAATACGAATGTGAATGGCATTGTATGTTCAATTAAAAGGCTAAAAATAGTTATGTCTTTCGATATTATCACAGCAACACATTTGCATAGATAAAAAAATATATTAAAAAGAAAAGATAGATGCCATTCCTTACTAGGACAAATTTAAAATGTTTACTATTGTTTTAATATAATTCTTTGAAATTAGTTTGTAACTTATTTGAAGAATAAACCTATGACCTTCAACGAAAGATGATTTGGTTGAATTTTCAAAAAAACAGCGCCAAGCTATCTTTAGATACCTCTCATGGGACATGCTGTATGTCAGTTACTGTACTCTAGGGAAAATCTTACTGTCAAAGTGTTGAGCCTGTTCCATAAGGAACTGAGATCCCTGTTCCCACTGTCTTTCCAGAAGTTGATCGAGACTTTGGGCACTTGAGCCACTTCTTGTACTTGGACCAGCCATCTGGAATATATCAAATAGACAACATCAATACTCATATATATAATAACATTTAACAATTACGACCCTACGTAGTTGGGGTGGCAAAACAATTGAAAATGTCATCTGAAAACCAACATTTGGCCATTTATATTTATTTTGTGCTTAGGATAATTAATTGTTTGGCAAGTTTGTGATTTAAGAAAATAATTTATATTTAAATAAAACATTTTAACTATTTAAAACGCGATATATATTAGTTAAACTTATTTGGAAATTCTCCCTGTGACCACAGATGCTGCAAAACATCCGAAAAAACGGGTCGTCGTTGAAATAATTTCCAAAAAAGTTTTACTAATATATATCGCGTTTTAAACCATTTAAGCGTTTTATTTAAATGTTTGTTAATACTGTCTGTAGTTTACGCGAGTAACTACAGACAGTATTAACAACGACAGTATTCAACATTTTATAAATTGTGTGGCTCAAGCTTCATACATATGAACATAAGTCATTGTTGTAATTTAACTCATAAAAAAAGGTCGGCGAGTTCTTTGCCAGTTCTTGTTCTCCTCATGAGAGGTGAGTTGGTAGATTTTTTTTTAATTTAAAATTACCTGATGTATTAATTGTACTTACAGGAGCTGCTTTGTTAATTAGCGGCGGTGGTATAAGAGGCTCCGGGCCTGACGTGCCCGCCGCGTGCGCAGCTAGTTCAGCGCTTAGCTGCTCTTGTAGACGTGCCGCTGCTCCGCTCTCGGGGTTCAGCTCGTTACCCAGCATGTGAGGCGCGCTGCAGCTTACATGCATCCTAAGACATTACACAAGAAATGACTACTGAGACATATTTTAAAACAAACATATGTTTGACAATAATGTTTAAAAAAATATTTTTAACTCAACTTTAAAGACTTAAATATTTTTTCACATGATGGTACTATAGAAATTTAAAATCGATATTAGATTGAAAAAGAAATACGATACGGGGACAGGACTCGAACTGGCATCCTCATTTAACAACGTTGGTTAGAGGACTGAGGAAATCCTGCCCGTATAGTAAAATTGTTTCTATCTAAAATCGATTTTTATTTGAACTGGTGCAAAGCAGAAAAATGTAAGACAGACTTACTTGCTTTCAAACTTTGGCTTCAGTGGTCGTTCCGAACCTGAAGCAATAGTCAATCATGTTATTTCAATAGAACAATTAATCAAAATCAATAAGAGTCGGTTTTTGATTATGAGAAAACTTTTCCTGTATGTAAATTACATAGGTCCCGCAAAAGCATTGAAAATGCAACTGTCAAAGTAACGGTTATAAATATTTGTCAATATGACATTGTTAAGAAAACTTTTTATTTCTTTCTTAAATCCACAGATACAATGATTAAGTCAAAAATGTCCAACATGACATATTTTTTATTCCATTGTGACTTTGACATGTAGTAGTAATCAGATAGAATAAATTAAATTGCTTAATCATAAGAAGTTTGACAATTTAAATTGAGAGGGGTGGGAAAAGATAAAATGGATATAAGCGACTGTGAATTTTAGATTAGAAATCATCGATTCTTAGAAGTTGAATGAATAGTTTATATGCGAAATATTACCAGCAACAAAAAAATTAATATTTTAAAGGTCTGATCATTCAATAAATTTTACTTCGTAATTGCAAAGCTTATAATGTAACTATTATTTTTATTATAGCACCACTTACTGGGAGAGCTCGGTGGAGATTCCTTGATGTTTTGCTCGTGGTACATCGGCGGTGGCGTCGGCAAAGGCGGACGACGAACATTAGCCAAGTTCTGCGCCGTCGTTTCTGCAAACGTAAGCGTTATTTTATGAGAAACTATACTGATACTTTCGTTATTGGATTATTAAGTAATTTACTTTAATAATCTACACGGCTTAAAAACTTTATCGTGTTTCTTATGAATTTGAAATTGTCTACGTTTATACTGCAATGTCTTGGCCATGGTGGGGGTAAAAATATGTTATACTTACGCATAGAGGACTGCGGAGCTGGGTTCGTCATAGCGACGATGGAGGTGGCAGTGTGGGCGATAGCACGTTTTTTATTCCGGTGCACTGGTGGCATTTGGCTAATGGCTGGCCCCATCGGGTCCTTGCTGGGTCCAGCCATGTTCACTCTGAAACAAAGAGATAAAGCTGGATTATTATCTAAAAATCTTGTAATAGTGTGGAATTGCTTTGCAAAGTTATACAAAGTTTTCGCAGTAGCATAATAAATGAAATAATTTTTTTATATAACAGCGCGCCAGAGCAGTAAAAATATTCGCCTCGCCAAGCTTTCTTTAAGAGGTCTATTTGTCTCAAAAACACGTTGGTTACAGACCAAGTCTGAGAATTATCGAAGAATTAATGATGGAATAATTATTAAGATTGTCTGCATTTTGCGCGTGTCGTAAAAATTAATACACGATATATATTTTTTATTTATTTTATCTATGACCCGACCATTTCGGATTCTTTGCAGCAGCCGGTGTCACAATGACAAAAATTAGTTTAATTAATACATTTCGCATTTTAAATCGTTAAATATCAAACATTATTAGATAATAATATATTGAAGAACAGAGGCGACACAGTACAAGTTGGATTGTTCACCCTAATAAGTATCTTTTCTTGTTTAATGAATATGACCAGAGAATATGAAGGACAAGTGTTTAAAGTATGTAACCATTTTAATTTAACTCAAAACTCCCACAAACAATGTATTTGACATATTCTGGTGTTATAGAAATACACAGATGAATAAATTCATATCCCTACTTCCATAGGAACTGGGTAGAGACAAAGAGACAAGGATAAACAGTCTGTGTATTCTTGTCTCGAAGTGATAGTCATAAACAGACATACATAAATACATAGACATTAACAATATGGAGATACTTAGGTCTCGAAGAGAAATAAAAACTTTTCAAATAATAATTTTACAAGCAAATATTGAAAAAACATGTCACGAGCGAAATATTGTACATTATGCGTATCCATAAAACCCACAGCAAGGTCGCAAGAGGTGTCTGTTTCTTTAACTGTATGGGAATAAGGGTGTGGATATTCGATATTGGAAATGCAAATGTCGAATCGAGACAATTCCATATGAATAAGTCTGTACGTTTCCAACAAACGTTGTAATATCATGACTTAAGATCTTAACCACTAAATGATTGCGGCCTAATTCGTCTAGTGGTTGGTTGCACACGACTGCAGAATATAGGTTCAGGGTTGGAATCCCGGGTCGCGAAATCTGAGCCAAGACGAAATTTTGCTACTGTAGATTAGTATAGTTATTGTGAGCGCATTGCAAGTCAATAAATAAAATTGATTTAGTAACGTATCAATTTAACGAGTTATATATATATAAAACGCAGGCGATTGTATAGATATTAAATAAAACGATTTTAACGGCTTGAAACGCGGCATATATTTTTAACTACGACCAGATGTTTCGGACACTTAGCAGCAGTTCTAAACCGTTACATGTGTTATCAGGCATTACAGAAGTATTATATGACATAGATAGATAAGTATTAGTACTCACCCGGTTTTGTTTGGATCCTGCAATTCATATGTAACATTTAGACCACCCCAAGCTGATCGGCCCGGCATATGCGACGCGTGAGTGGGTACACTCTGCTCCATCGCAGCCTGAAAGTATACCATCTACTAAATGAAAATGATCAATAAATCGACTAAAAGGCGACACTGCTAGCATTAGTCAAAGGCCTATCAAAATATTTAATAAACTATTAACGGCAACAGTATAAATACCTCAAGGAAATAGGAAAACATTATTACAAATGATATTGAGTTAAATGCGTTCAATTGCTACTAAATGACGACTGTGTGTGTCTCACGGTATTGTAGGTATGATTATTTATGGCTGTAACTTAATACGTTTTTTTTGTCAATTTATAGTAATTTAATAGTATACATTTTATGCAGCGTGTGCCAAATTCTATTATCTATCCTAATATTATAAATGCGAAAGTAACTCTGTCTGTCCTCCGTTCCTTCCGTTTAACTCCGAAACTACTGAACTGTTAATAAATTTGGTACAAAATTTTAGAGCCTGAGAAAGGACATAGGCTACTATTTATAAAAGGCCAAAAAAGGATTGATAGGGGTTGAAAATTTGTGTGACAATTCGTGGTTTTTGAAGCTAGAACCATGAAACTATCTTCTTTGGATTTTTGCGAATAGGAGTGGGCGTGAGTGTAGGAATGAGAGTGTGAGTTAAAATAGGAGTGATGTGAAGTGAAAGTGTTGCGGCATAGTAGCACTTACAACATAGATTGACTGCCTTAAGTGCGCCCTTACATAAATTAATAAACAGCCTAAATAAATTAAAATTCTGCCCCAAGTCACGCCGACGAAATAGCGGGCACAGCTAGTTATCGATAAATGTTCCACTCAGCTAAAATGTGAATTTAAAATAACAAGTTTTAACGTTCCTTTTTTAAAACTTTATTGTCAATTCAAGAACACTACCAAGAAAATAATTCGAAGAAACTCGTCCTGCAGACCTACATTACCCCAATACATAGGGACGGCAGGGTGCAAGATGTGAGGATTGACTGTGTCAATACACTTACACACCCTTCATCGTTAAGATTAACGCAATCTTGTAATGAGCCCTTACAAAAATTTACTTTAGTATAATTTTTTTATAAAATCTTAACTTAAAGAGATCAATTCGTGTCTGAAAAAAAAAACAATACAATAATACATATTAAACGAATAAAAAAAATAATGAAATAACCAAGGTCTCGTTTCAATCCGTTACAATTTTTTCAAATGTGTACCCCACTCGCTCAAGAAAGCTGAGAATTTAGATAATATTAATTATTGAAAAACATATACATAAATGTATAACATAGTTACACCAGTAATATAAACGAATTGTAACATACAAGTGGCCAACATGTGTCCAGTGAAAAAACAAACAAACAAAAAAATTGCGTCGAAAATAACACGTGCGCGTTTTTGCAAACGCAAATAAAAATATGCAACATGAATTGTGGTTACTTATATCTCTTTTAACCATTTTCACATTCATTCGCAAACTTACCATAACCATGTAGAATGCAAACTTAAAACGCACTTAGAACTCTAATCATATCACGGTTTTTCACGAGGCGTCCAAATGCTAAGCGCGACTATAACCGACAGATGTTAACGAAATCGAGGTTACGTTAAGACTGATTTATCCGTGAATAGTCGACTGGTCCATCACATGGCACAAAGGGCAGGTAGCTGAGGGGTTGGGGTGCAGGTAAAAAATCGCAACACTTCACCAAGGGTGAAAGACGCACAATCTAGTTTCACCATTGTCACGTCGGATTTACATAGTTTTGAAGTGGAATCAAGGATGTTCGATATTTATCCAAATTTGACTTTCGTCCGAAGGAGCCCGTGGTTTAAATAATTCATGTCCTATTTCGTAACGTATAAGATGCGTCGGTGAAACGTCGCATGCGACGAAAGAGATACCTATTTATAATCATAAAGATGGACAAAGTAGTCTAATTTAATGTTTAATTATTACTGGGAGTTCAGACAGCACATGTTCCTTCATTAAAGAGTTTGATCTCAAGTGCTAATAATAACTTATTACGCCAGCTTTGTCGTTGAATTTCGTTGAATTAAGTATTTGGTTTTAAAGAGTTTTACGTTTATACAAAAATACTAAAAGATATAAATCATTTGGGTATTCCTAAGGTAAATCGTCCTAATTTTTTTATTATTTTATTGTTGAGCTCTTTTGTTTCGCTAATAGCTACTATTCTAGCTAATGATAAGTGCTGTGACATAAAACTATGTAGACTTACTTGCTTCTGCGCTTGATGGTACATCAAGGACGACGGTCCTGGAACCTCAGTCGGGGGTCCGACCATCTGTGAGAGGAGGTCAGTTTAAATAACAAATAAAACGTCAATTAACCGTCGTAGACAACATTTACTCAATTGGCAAGCATTCATGCTGTAACATTAAAAATAAAAGGCGCTCGCTGAAGCGAAGCTTTTAAATAATGGTGTTGTTCATGCGTCTCTCATAAACATAAAGCAATGGTTACCTTGTTTAAGGTAGATATTTTGTTGTACACACAACTATCAGTTTACACGCCATAAATGGGAACCATGTTCACTCATGGATCTCGCAACCGTTTAACACTTGTATTGTTTAAGATTTTCATCTTGTGTTATGCGATTGGAAGACAAATTGTATTAAAGACTAAATAATATAAGAAAAAGTTCAGTCAGAGAAAGTATGCATTTTTAATCTGTCAAAACTCAGGCCAATGTGAGTGTATTTTGTTGGTATCTAGTTCGTTTCAACATTTATTTTGCTCTAAAGGGTACTATTTAACTCGTTCTTATATAAAGCCAACCTGTTTTCCTGCTAGCAACTTTCGCGCCCTCTTTCGAAATTCGCCTATTGAAAAGTTATTTTCGGGTACAGAATGCTACGCGTGTTTCGCCATTTTAGTCAACCACACGATACGAACCATACAAACACCGATAAGCACTGTTAGCTTAGCCCAAATATCTGACAATTCACCTTAGGACACCACATAGGGGAGCACACACATCGATAATCTAACATATTTAATAATGATTCTAGAGTCAAAACGTTAGTTGCCATCCTCTTAAGGGTGAATAACTCCTGAATTTCAGTGGCAAGTCATACTCTACAACAATAGGGGTTTGTCTATTATTAATATGAATTTATTTATTGATAGACCGGTCTCAGCGCTTTATGCCTATTTCGGTCATATACCACATCCTAACACAGTAATAATAAGTTATTTATTTTAGTTTACACACTAAACTACACGGAACTCCCTAAAAATATATATGGACAACGACGTTTCCCAAGTCAGCTAGAAGTGTTATAACAATAGAAATGGCTAAAACATATAAACCCTGAATAAATGAGAAGGAGAATAAAAATATACATAGAATATGCTGTGTTAATGAACATTAAATATTTATTTATGTTTCATATCGTAGGATTTATTTGTATTTCAATGGAGGTTTTATATAATTTTTCTTTCCATTATAGGCCTGTGTAGTGTCATAGTTGTGTGTACGGGGATGAACCTGGGAATGGTGTGTGAAGTGCAGGCCGTAGCTGGTCGACGGCAAAGGCACGGAGACGAGTAGCGAAGCGGGCCCGCGTCCCTTTGCGCCCTACACAACCACGCATTAGTACGCTAAAGCTCTACGCCGTATACGCCGATCACCTATTCTACTTAGCTTATTTTCCAATGCACGGCAGTAGCAACCTAAACTAACCTAACGTTTTGGGCTACGCTAAGTGTCAACAGAAATATACACATGATAACCTATATCCTTCGGTTTTGGCCAAAAATACCACAAACCATACCAGATTTACCACCTAACAATTATTTCTACAATGTCTTTTTAAGATGGAGGAGGAGTGTCAAACATGGGATTTCACTCAATGGTAGGTGATATACCCCAGCTATATATCATCTAAACAAGATGCGCTGTCGAACTACTTGGCTTTGGATATTCGGAGTTCAACAATTATTACAAAAACCGTGATAAATGTCTAAAACTTTGAATTTTACTCTACTTTACCAATTATAAATTTGATAAAGTAATGTAGTGTGATATAAACGAAATAATTGTTTTTTCTAATGAGCTAGTCGCGAGTCTGCCTACAAACGAATGTCGCTGTTGAGATAAGTTTCTAAAATCTCATTTGAATCCGAAGTAGAATTAAACAATTTATTTAATTATATATACATCATAATTACTTTACATCTAGAGATTATAAACATTTGTTAATTTAAATAAAACACTTTAACGGTTTAAAACGCGATATATTAGTTAAACTTATTTGATGATGACTTATGATGAAATTATTTTTAACTTCGGCCCGACGTTTCGTTTCGTTTAAGTTAAAAAAAAAATTTCGCGTTTTAAACCGTTAAAGTGTTTCATTTAAAGGTGTACTACTCGCGTAAACTATAGACAGTATTTAACATTTGTTAAATCAAAACCTACACGTCTGTATCGGGTTTTAATCCGTTGTTTCATATTAGTGAATGTTATACTCGCTTAAAATTAAGACACAAATATATCAAATTTTCTTGTCGTGTAGTTTAATCTATATACTAAATGCCAAACCGTGCAATGGATAAAAAGCCTTCCGGAAGTTGTCCGCAAATAATCAGTCAAATTTTCTTCATACTTAGAGAATATAGATTAAAACGATATTCATCTGAAATGACTAATTTTTACTATGGAGGTAAACAAATTAGAATTACTTAAAGTTAATAAAGTCGCTTCAAAACGCAAAATACACATACGACGTTCACAATATTTACATTTATGCAATATATAGTTTTTCTTTACAAGAGAATTTAGGCCAGAACTGGTTTGTTTTTATACTGTACAACTGCTTTTTTATATTATTGTTGAAAGTAAAGGAGTGAACAAAAAAGCCTTCTGTATGTTAAAGTGCTAATAATATTAAATTATTGTGATTGTTATTTGTATAGAAAGATATATAAAATAATAAGCGAGCGAAATGAGTTTTTGTTGTAGGGGCATAAGGAAAATATCTCTTTGTATGTTTGTCTGTTCCTGTGTCTCCAAAAAGCTACAAGCTGATTGTAATGACTTGTTGTGTAACGGTAATTTTATAATACATCCCGATATTGTAAGTAACGGTTACACACTGCTGTTCTATACATTGTTAAATGTACAATAAAGTCTTTAAATTAAACAACTACAACTATTACAATGCGTGATATATTATTTTGAGCGAATTTGCAGCGAAAGCGGTAGAAGCAAACTAAAAATACAAATGTTCATAGATACTCTTATCCGGTAGCTTTGTAATAATATGTATACAAGTACTTTAATTGAGGTACTGAGTACTGCAGAGTCAATTGAGATCTGTCAAGCAATTCGAAGGGATTATACTTATTTCTAAAAAGCAGAGCTAAAGTAGGAAGGTTATGTAATAAAAAATGTACCAGTGCCTCCCCACCCTGCAATGAAAACGGGTAATTAACAGTACTGTTGTAATTCTCGAAACGATTGAGTGTAAAGAGAATGACATTTAGTGGATATAGGTGCTTGTTAAACTTATACAAGATGAAACGAGGTGTAACATGCTTCAAAAACATGCGTTAACAATTATTATTAGACAAGGTATTTACCGCAACATAACATGACCGTAATAGGAACGTTTAAGTTTGTTGCAATGAAAATTAGATCTTTCATCATCGACCAACTGCTTAATGCACGGAGTGTGAAAAATAGCTGTTCAGAATATTATGGGACAAATAATAAGCCCCCGTGCATAGCTCACGACGACATTATACTAAACTAGCTGTGCCGACGACTTCGCGGTTTTGACTTTATTTTGGGCGTCAAAATTTGTTTTTGTAAACCTCATTTTTATAAATTACAGCTGTTAGCCACGACGTCGTTCTTGCAAGTTAATCTTAAAACACAGTCGTATACTGATCCCATTGATTCTTCGTTCCTGTTGGTCGCAGCGTGATGTTTTATAGTCTTCCTCGATAAATGCTCTAAGCAATAAAAACTAGAAAAATATTTGTTTTACGCTTTCAAGCTCTTTAGCTTTATAATATTAGCATAGATTTTGTTTGATACGTTCCCAGCACGGTACTTGTGCTCCGGTGAAGTGTGAACGAGACATTGTATTATATCGTTTTATTGGGCCCATAACCAGATGGATCTTAAGACAAAGCAAAGCACTCATTTACAATGAAATCAGTATTGTAATGAAAATACGAAGACGTACCTGCATGTGCGATGGAGATCGGATATTCGTCATTTGGTTCATACCGCTGGGTCCGGGCATTGGACTCGGTAGGTGTCTGCGAAGAAGATTTTATTTTAGTTTGTATAATTTAAACACTATAATGATGTTTAAAAACTTTTTTCACGTGTTTTATTTAATTTTATTGCACTGTATACATAAAAAAAAAATCAAATTTCTCAGTCACCTTGGGCTCGGTTGTAAAGCCGGGCTGTGCGCTGGTGGAGGAGGCGGTGCTTGGCTCACGCTGGCAAAGTGCATCGGCGCTGGGATAGCGTCTGGGCCTTCCATCTTCGCCTGTAGTATTTAAATGATATTAACAGTTTGCAGAGGATTATTGTGGCATAAATACAGAAAAGTAATTAAAATCTTCGGTTTCGGATACGGTTTGATGGGTTTATGTTAAGAATGCTATATACAAGAAATATATAACTAACCTTCTTAATAACTTTGTCCATATCTATGTGTGTTTCGTTTGGTGCGTGTGAACTTTCCCAGGAACTGCTCGAGTTTTGTGTGTTCGTCTCAGTCGGTGGTGGCTGCAACAAATATTTTTTTAACTACCTTCTACCTAATTTACCTAAAGCTCGATGGTATGGAATGCATTATTAAGAAGCTGAATGACTAAGAAAAGACAAGTTTCCCCCTTTTCCTAACTTAGGAAGAATAGTCAGATATTTTTAACTTCGTAGTGGATAAATAGAGTAGATGACGTTTTTAATATCTGGAGCAATTCCTAACTTTTAAGGGGGTCTAAGACACGTTATATCTTTGAATATAAGCTTAAACCCCCCTTCGCATATACGTACCGGTGGTGGGGGAATTTGGGGGGAAGGTGCGGGATTGTACTCTGCGTTTGTCTGCGCGTTCGTCGCAGACATAGCCTTCCGTTTCTTCGTTTGTTTCGTCTCCACCGCCTCAGTGTTCGTTATTACAGACTCTTGATATGTTGGCTTCGAATTGGCCACTTGAACCACGGAGGTGGTGGCTGATGAACTGATGAACAATATTAAATTAAATCACACAAAAGGATTAATCTGTTCAGAATAAGATAATTATTAAGTATCTGCCATAATCGGCTTTGTGACTAAATTGTGGCAAGATCCTGGGTTTGATCCTAAAGATAAAATTCGATTACACTGCACTCAGAAATCTTGTCTCTACTTAAATCCTTCAATGAAATGTTCACGGTAATACGTCTGCAACGGCAAAACACGATTCCATATACAAAATGAATTATTAAAGCACTTTATTCTGTCTGTAGTTTAAGCGAGTAGTGCACATTTAACTAAAACACTTTACTACGTCGGGCCCCAGTTAAAATAAGTTCAATTAATATAGATCGGGTGGTAAACCGTTAAAGTGTTTTATCTAAAAATGAGTTTGCATCAAGTGTTTACCTCGCCGGCGGCGTTATAGTTGGGACACTATTAGCGGGTGAAGCAGAGGCAACTGAGCTGATAACACCCACTGGCTCCACGGACTTGGTACTTGGTGATGCCGCTGGCAAGGGCACCTTAGACGGACCTGGTGTACTTCCACCTGATGCTATAAAGAATATTGTATTAAGAGACTATTCTGGTACTGGCGTTACTACTTGAAAACGAATTTAAGTGTCATCAATACCTTTTGTCTGCTCTTGAGTAGGTTCTGGCGTATGTTGAGGGGACGGCGCCGGAGTACTATTTTTGCTTTTACCTCCAACTTCTAAAATAAATCAGATTTATTAAGTAACATTATGTGACAAATGAAAAATTAATGTACTTAGTAATTAATCACTTTAATTGCCTGCTAGCTAATTAGAGAACGTTGTTATAATGGTCTAAATAATATACTATACAATCTAACGGACACGATGTTACAATGGTATGCCTAATAATCAACTGGTCGTAGATTCGATGCCGAATTTTTGAAACATGTTGGGATACTTTTAGAAATCCCTATACTAAATGCGTGGTAGGAATATCGGAATTCCGTTCGGGTCATAATCCACCGTACACAGATGTAAAAACGGTCAAGTTTAATCGCGTTTAAAATCCAAAGCCAAAACAGCGCATCTTATCAAGATTTTATATGTCTGTGGTATTTCATCTAGCATAAAGTGAACTCCAAGATTGTCTGTCCTTCTATGTCATAAAAAAGTAAGAATACTTTTGCTTCAGCTGCACTACCTTTCTGCCCCTGTGTTTCAACGTTGTGCTGAGGTGACGGCGCCGGAGTGTTATTCTTACTTCCGCTGCCCGCGTCACCGGCTAAAGAGCCGCGGCGATTCGGCGACGGTTTCTTCTTATCTGTATCAAAATATTTCTATACACTAAGCGTAAGGAAGCAGTTTTCTATTTAAAAAAGCTTAGAGCAATGTTGCAATAGCATTTAATTAAAATGCCGTTTACACGTTATACACTCGTAGTTCTAAATATGATTTTAGGGTTCCGTGTTCAATTGGTAAGAGCCTATTACCCCCCCCTGTTTTTTTTATAAATAGTTACTTAGGTAACATAAAATAACAAGAAAAGATTTTACTATTAAACTTGTATAGTTATGATTTAATTAATGGTACGAATTTTTTAAACTTTATTATAAGCACGCTTTAACTGTAATAATGTCAATATTGCCTGCACCTTGTGTTTGTGAAGAGAGAGGAGTTTTCGACGAGCTCGGTGCGTTCTTGTTTGACGCGGACGAAGAATGCGATGCTTTACGTCCAGGCTAAGTATAAAAAAGAAAAATAAATGTAATTCATAGTACTGTAAGGTAAAAAGCGATTTTCTTGACGTTTACAATTTATAAAACCTATTATAAAGAAATAGACTAGGAACAAAGATAGCGGGTTCAAGAATTTTCTACTATAATCGTAATATTGCTACAAATAAAACATTCTTGAGTTAATCTTGACGTACCCCCTTAGATTTTGTGGCGTGAGTCGGAGTCCCGCTGCCAGTGGCCATAGGAGACGCCTCGCCCTCTTTCTCACCACTCGAGTCACTCGACTGACTGTCGTGAGAGACTGGCTTGTATGGCGGTATTGTCTTCACATTTCCGCCCTTTTTCTGCACAGTCAACAACTCTGCTCATTTACGGCTTATATACGGCAAAGTAAGCTATATTCTATGCAGCTCATATTTCCTTTCGTCACTTAGACCACAATGTACGTGAGATATTCATGGGAAATGCTTTACAGGCCACAGGCGGGACAATAATAATTTTATTTAGTTGCGGGGCTGGACTTGAACCAACATTCAGACATCCTTGTTGCATCTCCAACTAACATGTGAAATACAAAGTGTTCAAACTATTACCAGATACTGTGATATAATTCATGTAATGTAAACATACCAAAACCGCAAATGCAAGAAATAATGAATAATTATTATTAATGAAGTAATAAATTTATTTTAAGTAGCGAAAAAACAAAGATTAAATTTGTGTACTATTTAAACATGTTTTCTATGATAGAGAACAGACAAGCTTGGGGTTCGCTTTATGTTAAGTAAAATACCTCAGCCATATAACATCTAAACAAGATGTGTTCTCGACCTATTTTGGCTTTGAATATTCGAAAAACGAAAGACTGAAACCGAAACGCGATTAAAATTTATGGCTTTCTTTCCAATATCCTTACTACCCATCTAATATCAATTTCTAGACAAAGTCCAACGTGTTACAGAATAATTATACATTGATTAAAAACATATTGGACCCGGTGGGAATCGAACCCACGACCCGTTGATGCCAAGCAATGCTACCATTACAATAATGTACCCGTCAAGCCTACCTTAAAATAATCAATAGAAACAAATCTGGTTAGTAGAATGCATCTTCAACATTTAAAAAGATAGAGCCACTAATAAATAGTATAAAAGGCATTGTATTGTATCTGTTGAAATAAAAAAACATATAAACGACAAACGTAAACAGCCTACCAGTTTACTGTAGTGGTGCTGGCAATAACCACAGTATTTGACGTTGTCCAGATAATTCCCAGCTTCTTCACACAATAAGCCTAGAGCCTGGGCGCAAGTCACGTGGAACTGTTGTCTGCATCCTGTATAACAGTGTCTCAATATCATAAACTTGTATTAGGATTAGATAAATTGACGCTATACGTTACAAATGTAAAATGTATATTAAAATAGTGAGTCTCGAACCACAACATTCCATTTTGTTTGCTTTACAACGGTTAAATTGGTAAAGCAACAATAAGAAACTCTGTATAGGTGTGACCTATCGTCTCGTAGTATTGATCAAAGTAAAATAATTTTGTATTGAACAAATGCTTACCGTTTTTATTACACTGCATACATGCACCAGCATTGGCACGGTGAGTCTTGCCCAAATCCTGACAAATGTAGCAAATCTATAACGAAAAGATGAAGTTGTATATCTTACGGCCTACCATTCCTTAAATAAATTATAATACATACTTTAAATGTAATTTAATGTTACCTTATTGTATCGTTCGGGGGGTATGAGTCTCAATACAATTGGCTCCATAGATGTTACATTGCCAAATCTCACTTCCGGTATGTACAGTGCACATACAACGTGAGCCCATCCACCAGTATCTGTCCTCTTCAGAGCTCCAGACTTGGATGGACAGAGTTCACATCTCTGTAAGAAAAGATAAAATAGGAATACCTTGAAATACACTATTAACCTCTATGGTGGACCCATAATAGCAAAATCCATTCACAGAACAGGTGCAAAGTAACCACTGCACCAAGGCAGTGAAAATACAATACAGGAATTTTGAAAAGGAACTTACGACTTTGCCTTTAGTTTCGGGACTTTCACACTTCCTGCAGAACCAGGGTCCTGTGGGAACTGCAATTATCCCATAACAGGCTGAAAAGAAATTACTTGTTAATTTTTTTTTGTTTTATGAATCACGAATTTAACAACTGTATGGATATATTTGAACTACCTTGATGGACTGCGACAGTACACCCGTTTCCATCACAATAGACTAGCGGGTTGTCGGGCCAACCACGCTCATCAGAGCATACACAGCATCCTCCTACCATCTCCTTCATATTGAATGCAGCATTATTACTTCAAAACCTGTAAATGACCCTCTTTGTCATATAGCCAAGGTTTTATAATAATAATATGAATCGAATTAAGAGCAATGATTGATGACATACTCTATAGCTAAACTATATTTTATCGCTACCAACTCTGTAAGTACCCAATCCTAATATTAAATGAATGACAAGCTTAATGAAATTGGCGAAATAAATTAGACACAAAATGAATGAATTCAGGATTTGCACATAATTATGTCTGAACATAAAATGAACACCACTAACTAGAGCCACTTCAAATTGTCAATGCTACATAATATTATAATTTTAAGCATAATGTTCATATTACAAAGTTGTTTCATAAAATATATACATATTGGCAATCATATAAAAATACATAAACATTATATAGAATATGGTAGTCTTCAAGCTTGATCTAATCCTTACTAATATTATAAATGCGAAAATAACTCTGTCTGTCTGTTACCCTTTCACGACAAAACAACTGACCGGATTTGCATGAAATTTGGTACACAGATGGTCTAGACCCTGAGAAAGAACATAGGCTACTTTTTATAGCGAAAAGGGGGTTGTAGGGGTTAAAAGGGGGGGTAAAAGTTTGGATATGGAAATTCGTGGTTTTTGAAGCTGGAACAATAGAACTTTCTTCTTTAGCTTTTTAGGAATAGGAATAGGAGTGAGAGTTGAGTAGGAGTGATGTGAGGTGAGAGTGTTGCGGCAAAGTACAACATAGATTGGCTGCCTGAAATGCGCCCTTACATAAATTAATAAACAGCCTGAATAATTAAAAATTCTACACCAAGTCACTATCCCACGCGGATGAAGTGGCGGGCAAAACATTGTCAAGCAATAGCCATAGGGTTATATCTTTGTTTTTATTCTTTGATATAAACCTAAACATTAAGTGATAAGAGACCACATATTTCATAAAATAAATTCACTTGATATAGCAATAATGGCCTATAGCAATTAAAAATTTGAGTTTCATTAATAAAAGTATCATTATAAAGACTTCTATGTCACTTTTTTTGATTCTTACAGTCTTCAGTGTCTTTAGCGTTCTTATACCTTTACCGATTATGAATATACAGTGAAAACTGTTTAAGTAAGAGCTTGGTAAGAAAGAAAACTATTAAAAAGAGAGTTTACCAGGTCCCGTCTCTTTGCAACAGTATGATACTAACATCTGTATAAATAAATGGCAGTAATTTATGCATAAACCATTAAAAGTGACTTTGACATTTGTGTGTACCTGTGCTACAAGGGAAAGTTAAATGTTTAAATTTCTCTTTCAATTATGCGTTTATATATCTACAAGAGCCAGGAATGTGCTTTTTTTTTACACAGAATTGAGAAAAAATTGTATGTTCAATTTGAATTAACAAAATTACAACAATTTTCAATGTATTAATTTTATAATATCTGAGCACATTTGTATGAACCTTTATAAGATAGACTGGGTGAACCCCTAACTCTGTAAGCAAGAATTGTGGATCCCCTCAAGCTTTCACCTATCCAAGTTTGAGGACATTTTACAATAATTACAAAAATTATGTTATTAAGAAAGGCAATGATCAATAAAAGTTGATGCTCACTTTACTTTTTGGATTTGGTACAGAAAATAGAATGCACAAAAATATAAAATAAATTATTTTTTTATATATATATATATATAGCAATTCTAACCTCCAATTTTAATGGTCCATGTTCTCGAAAACTACTTTTTAAGGGGTGCACAAATAAGGGAGACAGAGCGTCTCACATTCGCGACAACATAGAGTCAACAAGAAAAAACAATGAATGTGAATTGATAATGCGATTGAGTTATGTTTGGTAAATTTTCCATCCAGTGAGTGATATATAAATAGGCGGCACTTAGTTTCTCTATCATGACAAAATCAATAAAGCGCAAAATGGGTCACGGGTTCGCAACTGCGCAGAGATGCAAAGATGCGAGTAATGAAATTGATATAGTTGCAGATGCAATTCTATGGTACCATAAGCAGCGATGTTTACACAAATAGCTACTACATATATGAATTTGTACAAATACATATAGGGGCTAGCATTGTAGTGCGGTCGATAAAGCGTCGACGATGCGCAAACAGTTTGAAGTGGCTCGATCAAAATGAACCGTGTACAATGGGAATGAAAAACGTTTTTTCACCAAATCATTGCATATTTACCACGAGAGAAAATATTTCTTCATTGTAGTAGGGTATAATATCCAGGTATAATTACTTATTCATTCATCTTTTTCCAATTTTGTAAAAGCATAACACCTCACCTGCGCGTAGCAGTAACGTAATAAAACGGAGTCAACGCACTAAACTGAAACCCATTGACGATAGAAGAAATAAAACAACTCAAACAAAAATAAACTGTTTAGTTATTAATTGATAAGTTAACCGCGCACACGAAATTATAGGTATTGCTTTATAACATAGATATACAAACAAATATTCACAAAATATGATGGCTTCTGTTAGCCATATTTTATCCGGGATCGAAACACACCACAGACTAAACTACACCACTACGACCATATAGGTCCTACAGAGTAAAAAAATGTTGTCAATTGTCATTGACTAGTTGGCATCCTGTAAGTTATAATGTAAACATTGCACAGCTAAGGTAATTTTTAAATTCTTTTCGTCCAGCGTATGTTAAGCCAAAGCACACTTATTATAGAATTATTTTTAGATACAATTTTGAAAGTTAATAACGCAATCTCATCTATCAAATTAGTTTTTACAATTCATCTACGATTTTCTTAACCGTAGTATTATTTCTTAGAGAAATTAGCAAATATATTAAAGACAAAAGATAAAGATAAGATAAGATTCCGTATTTATAATTTTACTTCCTTTTATTTCAAACCGTATGTTTCGACCCAAACTCCCCCTATTTGTAAAATATCACTTATCGATATTGAAAAAACTGTGTAAACGAAAGCAATTTAATCAAATCCTTAAATTAAAAATGATAAATGATTATACTAAGTTGGCCACAAGACGTTTTTTGGGTTTAAACTTTTAAGATATATATTTGTTTCACGAAGACTAATAAATTAAACAATTATAATAATTTAAAAGAATGTAGTAAGAGCTAGAGGGTAAAGTTTGTTTAATGGATATTCTCAACGTGGCGCTACTATCGCGCGAATATTTAGTATATTTAAAAACGTGTCAGTTTTAAGTATAAAAGTTAAATATAACCTTTATTGATAAAAAGGTGACCTTGTATTAATGATTTCACCGCTAAAGGACAATTCATATTCTAATTTCTTTACAAACGTCTTCATCCAGACTATGTTTTTCTCGTGGTCACGCTCTTTAGTATGGATGGGAGACTAAAATGAGCATATACTAAATAAATATAACCGACGTTCCGTCGCTGTATCCTTAGACGTCACCTATATTTTATGGGTAGCCATGACTTGTTTGCAAGTCACGCATTTCTCTGCCCTGACGTCAAACTGGGTGTAGACAGGGAGACGCCGTTCAGATCGATCCCAGGGCATTGAGCATCTTCACATTTGTGTGAGAGCTGACCTTTGAGGTGGCCTTAATTTTACACGACTCTAATAAGTTCCATATCCCAAAATAACTTCGCAAATGCAAAATACGTGAAACAATTTCTGGTATGATTTTCATAATATTTGTAGAATTAGTGAGCAAAAGCTGTTTCTCAGCTATGTCTATGAAAATTATAATTTTCAATACTTATATGTATAGGTTAACAATGTTCTTACGGCGTCTTTAGGGCCGCTTAGCCGCTTCCATTTATCATCACAAATCTAAGAACAATAGTCGTTAAAGCCCGTCCTGCCTGCTCTGGAAGAGAAGACCAGTGTATGTGACATGGTCGTAACGATAGGTCCAAAATACTAAGACTAGTATTTGAAGAACTTTTAGAGTAGGTACCTGTTTAAAACATATAATAAAAATAATTTCTATTTCGAATTGTTCATCAACACCACAACTAAAAATCTTTTGATGGATCGTTGTAAATACAGGGTGTCCCAAGAAAGAACACCCCTTGGAGCATCCGAAACAACCCCATGTATGTTCTGCGATTATTTATAGTTTTCGAGTTACGAATTTTTTTCTAAAATTTTGAGAATTTTTGACCTAAACAACTAAAACGCTAATTTACAAAAGGTGATAAGACTTTTTCTAGATTTTTAATTAATTCAGTAAAAGCTGCAACATCTCCTCGAAAGCGAGATAAAGAAGACAAATGCTTGAATATTACAACTATTATAGCTTGAAGGCAGCTTAAATAGATTTTAATGATAGTATAACCAAAACAACTAAGTAAGTTTTACGCAGGACATGTCAAAGTGATTTCAAAATCTGGATGATGATTGAAATAATTGGTCAGTATGGATGTATTAAGTGTTTCTAAACATAAGTTATATTTTAGTAAACATGAAAACATAAACGTAACCTCAACCAAAGTAGGAATATTCCAAAACTTGAACGATAAGTTCCATTAAGTGTCATTCCTAAAAGTGATTCATTTGTTGCAAGCTATATTTTACTTTATACATATAGAAGCAAAAGGTTTAATTTCGTATAACCTCCGGTCACTGTTTGAACACAATAGGCGTGTCATTGATAACGGCAGGTACCTACGTAGATAGATTTGCAATTACCGTGGCAGATTGTTATGATGAAATAAGAATCCTGTGTTTCAATATAACCGATGATGAGACCTAAGGATTATTGATTAGTACGTGGTTTATTGATATACCTAGGAAATAAGATGCACATAGAATTTATAAAGGCAGAGATGTGTATATAGTATGTACATAATTACTAAGAATACTGTTTGAGAAAAGATCTCACTTTGATTTGGCAATATGAACGTATAGAGAATTTATGAGCTAAGAAGACCCACCATGCTACTCTATGTCAATAAATTAAAACCAGGGATTTGAACCCAAGACTCTTGATCTGTTGTCGCGTGTACTAGACTATCAT